GTATCATCTTTATATCCCACTAAGCTAACTCATTGAAAAGATCGCGGGCTTAAAGAATTCATTCAGAGGCAGGCATCTCTAGTTCCATACAGTTTCAAGCTCAGCAACCGTGACATATTGAGTGCAGCGAACCAAGTTATAAATAACGCAAATAAACATGTTCTGTATTTACATAACGTCTCTCGGTATATTACCATACAGGTCACCATTCAGCATTACAGAGAGCAGCGCCTGCAAACTGCGCAGCCTCGAGCGCCTGACCGACTGACTGATGCTGCACTTACCGTCGTCGCCTTCCAGAAGATTCGGTGGAGGGGTTTCCATTATTTTCTTTAAAACTACTGGAAATGCAGCCGAAGTTTCAGCGCCAGCGTCCATCGTGATGGAAATAGGCTTCATGTCCGTTCCCCCGACGCTTTTTTGTGCAGCGCGTAACTTTAAAACCGACTTCAAATCCTTACGTTGATTTAACCAGGAAAGAGACTTTATGTCTTCAATACGTTGTGTACACGAAACACGCACTATACTTGCAAATGCAATAAACTCGACGCGTCACACCTTTTCATTCACAGTACCTACTTGCCTGTGTTTGACCTGATTCGACTTCCAGCGCAGTGTTTTAATATTCACATTAGCCACGCCTCTTGTTGGAGAAAAAATACACTGTTTTCGAGCATCCTGATTGGTCGGTTTCGTTTTCATCTTATGAATAATTAAACAGAAGAGGCTCGTCCGTGTGTGCGTAGCAAAGACTTTACAAAGTCTCCTCTTTGGTCTGTCCAAACCAACTTAACGCATTTTTTCTGTAGCGTATACTAAAATTGAGTCACAAGATATGAAAAAAATAAAAACTTTAAAATTACAGGCCTTTTACGTCTGTAGTTTACAACAAAACATGCTTGGTCACTGCTCATGCCTTGCGGGAGAACCGCTTGTTTCAGCCTGTAGTTAATGGGCTTTGGCACATGGCCCTGCACGTGCACTCACAACACGTTCACTGTGCACACAGCCAATCACGAAGCAGCAAAGATAATGCAAAAATGTTGTATATATTTCACGTGTAAAGTGAGGTTGTAAACACCTTGCCCTTAAGGTTATACTTGAGCTTATTATGCACATAACATAGTTTCCACACGACACATTACAAATCAATATCTAGCAAGCCACTGATATATTTATTACTTGGACATTATTATTTTTTCGGATATAGCATAGCTTTTAAAATATTTAAATTTTAGCCCCAATTTGCAAGTTTGTTCTAATGCAACGGCAAACTTAAATAGTAATTATATGCATACTATTTAAATGAGAAGATTGCCCATTGCAGGATGCTTTTTATGTTTCACAAAATACTAATGCAGGCCCATCTAAATTCCACTTAAGTCCGCTCACACACTAGTTATGTCGTAATTATATTAGAACAATAATATATTACTTATTGAGTAATGTCCACTACGCGATAAATTGAATCAGAATAGTAATAAACACTTTATAGTTGTATTGCATACTTATTGCACCATTGCCATAACATTAATTACACGCCCCCAACCCAAAATAGTAATAAAATCTATATATATATGATAACGTTATGCACATTTATGATTTATGAAGAGGAAGGAAAACACATTTGTCTTTAATACTGCATTCTGTGCTACTAATCTGTATATCTTCGTCCTACGTTGGGGTTTTGATCACACGTACTGCTTGGTCTGTTTGACGCATGGCGTAGCATCATAAACACAGTCCTGCAGAATACCAGTTGCGTCCAGTACAGACTGCTTTATAAACACAGTGGAAATACGGATATATTTGGGAGACTCCACTTTACCTGTATTTCCACTGTACGCATAAAGTATTTTAGCCAACACTGAAACATTCTTACCGTTATCATCTATCGACGGGAGAGAGAAAGGGTACTCAAGCAGAGCTTTGAATATTTCCGGAATTTCTGAAGACATCTCAGAACGGTTTCAGTTGATCAACACCCGGAAAAAAGCAGTGTGCTGGAGACGGTTAATCAGAATCAAACTGTCTCTCACATGAAGAGTAAATTGACTGTCAAGTGAGAATTGTGAAAGTTTTTATCTTGGTCACGAGGTCTGCCCTATCTACGAAGTTACTTAACTAGTCCCGCCTCAAATCGCTTCATTTCCATAGGGGTTGGTCATTTTTACCAATGAGTGTCGTTTAGTTGAGCCTACTGCTTAATATTTAGCAATACGTAGTCGTTTATTGGTCATTCCAGCTGCATGTCCTCACTCTGACAGCCAATAGGAACGAAGACAAGTTATCTAAGGGTAAAAAAATCTGCGCAGCGTGTGTCAGTTACGAAAGTCAGGGCAGAAAGTCAGGGCGATTTAAACGGTGATAAAATCTCAGTTTCATTCCACGGAGACAGAAATGTGGAAATGCGAATTGGCAATATGATAAATTATACCACTTCTGAGCGGAAAAATAAACGAACGACAACGGATTTGACGTAAACAGAATAAAACGCACCTGTGAGCAATAAGCCATGGACCATATTGACTAAGCATTGATATAGTTACTAGATCCAAAAGTAACTTCATAGATTTTTTTAATAATAAGGCTACTTTCTTCAGTTTTGAATAGATTACTGACTGAATGCATCACTACCCTGTAGATTATTTAATGTACAATTAATAACCAGCTGCACAAAAACCTGTATTGTTTGTCCGTCAGATCTGATCAAAATGTTCTATTGTCATACTGCATTTTGCATTGTTTTGTAGTCTACTTGCTGGTAGATGACAAGATATTCTGAAGAAAGTTAGAAGTCAGTCAACTACAGGGTCAGGATTTTGTTGATAATCTTTGGAGGAACAGCCTGTGCATATACATATATCAGATGTCATGCAGGGATGGGCAAACGGTGTCCTGGAGAGGCCTGTGCCAACAAAGTTTTGCTCCAACCATAATCAAACATAGCTGTTTGTAACTTGTTTACTTTTTTGACACCGATTAAAATGTTCAGGTGCATTTGATTAGTGTTAGAGCAAAACTCTGTAAGACACTCACCCTCCACTGACCAAGCTTGCAAATCCCTTATACCAACACCCATCTACGGCAATAGTATTCCATAGTGCAGGGGTTCCCAAACTTTTCAGTCCGAGACTCACAACCCCCACATTCCTCAGAGGTGGTTATAAATATACAAGTGTTGGACACACAACAATAAGCTTATATAAACAAGAGCACAAAACACAAAAAACAGTCTAACAATAGGCTATAATTTATATAGTCATTTAATAAATTAATTTCAAGAGTTCACACTTAGCTGATGATTGAATACAAAGCGGGTTTGACATGCTTTCCCAGGAAAGAGCTCGGGGCTCCCTCCTTTTTGCAGGGGAGTTTGAGCTCAGATAGGTATCAAGAACTCCCCCTTTGTTTACGAGTATATGGCAGATGATAATTGCTACATAGAGTTAAGCTGCGGTCACACTGGGCTTTTCCTTCCATAGACTTCCATTCACAAGCACGCAAATGCGTCAGACCTGAAACGCAGATCATGCGTCAAATTTCGCAGGTTGCTGCGGTGCAAAGACCAAGCTTGATGAACTCTGACCTGCGAAATCGCATCACTTGACTGCGTGAGACCAGTCGAGGATCAAAAAACTACCTCTCGGGACAGAAATTTAAAACATGGAGCATTCGCTTGTTTTTTTAAAAGTCTAATAAGCTTGTTAAATCCCGCCTCTTTTCGCAGCGGCGCACAACATATTTCGCACACACAAACTCTAGTGTGCCTGCAGCTATATACTGCTGGTAAGGAGCTTGATGATAGTGCTAATTTAGATTGATCAATTCACTTATGACATGTTTTTGGACTGTGGGAGGAAACTGAAGAACCCAGGGAAAACCCACACGAGCACAGAAAGAACATGTAAACTCCACACAGAAATGACAGCTGGCCAGTGTTAACCACTGGGCCACCATGCCGCCCTATAAAAGGAAAGGTGGAAGGGGGGATCCTTCAAGGCTAAAAGAACTATAGTACGAAACTCTGGCTATTTATAGTGAGTTAGGAATCACTTGATTGGTGAATCATGCATTAGTTAATGCGGAACCAGCTGTGTTCAATCATAATCACATGCTCCTCACGAAATTGGTTTATAAATAATCTTCACTTAATAACTTCACCTAACGAGAGTGGTGAGCAAAAGGTTATCAGCACAATTCCTGGTTGATTTTTGGAGACCTTCACTCAGAGATTATCCCCAATGTTAAGTTGTGGCCTCTGTTTTTTATGTATTTGATTGCCATGAAGGTTTCAGAAAGTTTACGCTAGTGCTATAAAAATCAATCTGCTGCAGTTTTTTGATTTCACACTATCGATGTGTTGTTGATCTAAACGTAAACACAATCTTATGAAAAACAATATTGAAAGGCTGAAACCTTTTTACTTGCATGTTGATGCTTCTTAATGTAACTATTAATTGCTATTCTTATCGTCTTTGGTTTATGGATAAAATAGGCTAATTCTAATAGTTTAATAAAATTTATTTGACTTTTGAAATTCACTAAGCGACCCCCACTTTGGGAACCACTGGCCATATGGAAGAGTAATCTTTCTACAGGATAATGCACCCTGCCACACTCCACAAATACAATAGTTTAAGAAACATTATGAAGAGTTTAAGGCATTGCCTTGGCCTCAAAATCCCCAGAGTCAATCCAATTGAGCATCTGTGGAATGTGCTGGACCAACAATTCTTCCCCACAGAAGTTCTAACTTGTAACTTCCAAGACTTTGTATTTATCACAAGACACCTTCAGGGGTTTTGTGACCTCCATGTATTGGTGCTGATTTGGCAACACACAGAGGAACAAGAGCTGCACATTTACATCTTTAATATAACTTCTGTAATTTGAACATTTGTTTGGGCCTATCTCAATAAATGACAAGTCCTCCTTAAAAGGAACATCTGCTCTAGGTCTAAGCTTGTTAATTCAATAAATCAATAAAATCACACACATTTTTCTAAAACAGTCTATTTATTGTTAAACACGTTCATGAGATTTGGTCCACTGTGATCAATAATTCACTTCCAACCAGGGAGAAAAAGGAGAAACAAAACAAACAAATGTAAAAATACAGTACAAAAAGAGGCATTGTTGTTTTTCCTTTTCATTTTTTCAAAACCCTGATTTTTTATTTTAATTTTTTTAACTGGTTATCTAAGGAGGTGAAAAATAAACCCATCTTAACAGAAATTCTCAACCGATATAATCCAACATTGGCTAAATCCCACACTGAACATGAATAATGAACATATTTCTGTTTTACACTCCACCAAGAAAGTGTCAAACACAAATGTGACTTAAAATGGGCAATCATCCTTGGTTTCAAAGACCGAGAGCCCAGAACATTCCAGTTCTGTGGTACAAAATTAACTCAAGAGGAGAATGATGATGGTGAGTAGATGACCAATACTGCTGCCTTCGGCCGGTCAATGGCCAGCGGTACTAACCCTTTGATATGAATATGAATGATTGCAAACTACATTCCAACGTTTTTGAGCAACAGAGACTGTTAACTGAGCTTCTCGGCTCTCAGGTTGAGCTCGCTTTCTCTTTACGGTTACTTCACGTTCTACCTCGTCATCTCAGTTCGACGTAAAATTTCAGATGAGAGATTTCAGATGTCTCTATTGTCAACCAGAGAACGTTAACGATACACTTCCCTCCCCTGTTTCCTTAAACAAGTTGCCTAACAGCGTATATATCATAATACCGAAAGAGTAGGATTATTCGTTAAGGTATTTATAATTGTATATAAATGTATAGTATAAGGCGCTATGCAGACAAACATAAATATCCATGTATGCTTTGTGTTCTGTCACAGAGCTGCGAGTATCTCATTCAAATAAAGACGAAGAGAGAATTTACTGAGGTGTGTAGTTCAGAAAGATGAATTTGAACTACAACCACTCGATAAACACTCTCAAAAGAGATCCCAGGTTTCAGATCAAGCAACAACTACGAAAACATCCCAAAAGCATGACACACTATGGGTAATGGGGTTTCATTTTCATTCTGTTTGGAAGAACGTGAACGGTAAACCAGCCTAGGATTTCAAATCGTCGATTCTGGACAGCTCACCAAGCATACATAGACATAAATCACTGTTAAGTATTATATTCATACGTGGATACATATATTTAAAGTGTTATACATAGCAATTAACATATACATATATCAATAGCATATAGGAAGATAGAAGTAGTCATAATGGCAATCATTATCATCACTGTCATCATCATAATAATAGCAGAAGTAATAATATGATCCCTCGGTAAAGCGTACTAGGTCACTCCAGAACGTCCCTCTCAAATCTCCATATCATCAGACCCAAATCTGCTCTTCATGTGTCATTTAAGCCCTGGAAAACATTGCCAGGAATGTAAATGGATTCTATTTTCCATAACAAACCATCTCAGGGTGCTTCAATCCTCTATAGCATTCACAAGCAGTTTAGGCTCATCTAGACCTTACAAAACCGACAGGTCCGGAGTGACGCTTAAAAAAAAAAAAAGTCACTAACCATCTAATCAGCAATACATGTCATATAGCATAGCTTAATAACAAGAAGTTCTATGTAATCAATACAAGTAAGGTTATACTTAATTAAGCTTAACTGCTAAGTTATCAATAATCATTAGTAGTATGCCAATATAGTAGATATAATCGTGTGTGTGTGTGTGTGTTTGTGTATATTCATATTTATATATATTTATATATCATGTCCACTGAAAGTAAGGACAAGGCATACTAAGGGTAGCACTGCATGTCTCGACATATATACTTGGAATAGAACAAGGCATGGACAGGGCAAGTTCTTTGTGGTCTATTTTCTTGCTAACGCGTCTCCGTTCATGCTTCTAATATGAAATGAATCAAAGTTAAATATGGAAAAACTAACCAGGCCACTGGCCTGCGATGAACTGTGGTGAGTCTCCTTATAGCAAGCTTATGGGTTTTATAGATTATGCACTTCAAAATCTCAATCTAACAGCTTGAACGTGACAAACACGGAAGCTTTTTTCAACTGTCGATCACTCAATCTAAGCAAAAAAACAAGACAAATAATGTATACAAAGTGTTTCAATCCAAATTGACAACTCAAATGTGCATTCCATCCTCAGCTTTATCAAGCACTGCCAGCGCAAAGCAAAACGAATGAGGGAGTGAGTGCATGTCAGTGCAAGGTCTGTAACTAGCATTATGCAAATATCTATGCAAGTGTTAGGGTGGTTTAGTTTAGTTTATAGGTCTCAAACTCGATTTCTGGAGGGTCGCAGCTCTGCACAGTTTTGCTCCCTGATCAAACACACCTGATCCAACTAATCAAGGTGTTCATGACTCTTTTGAACACCTTGATAAGTTGCATCGGCTGTGTTTGATAGGGTTGGAGCAAAACTGTCCAGAGCTGCGACACTCCAGGAATCGAGTTTGAGACCTATGGCTTAGTTTATCGTTAAAGGGAGAGTTCACCCAAAAATGAAAACGTCCTCACTGTTTGCTCAAGTGGTTCGAAACTTAAGTTTTTTCTTCTGTTGCACACAACACAAGATATTCCGAAGAACATTGGGGGAAAAACAGTTACAGAGTAGGAATAAAAACTCTTTTTTCCCCAACATTCATCAGAATTCGTCATAGTTCAACAGAAGTAAAAAACTCAGACTGGTTTGGAACAAATGGAGGATGACTAAATAACAGGTATGTTTTTTTGGGGGGTGGGGGTGGGGGATTGGGGTAAACTATCCCTTTAATTGCCTTGGTGTCTCAAATACATTCCACATCTGAACAAATCTCAAATTTCTTGTAAATGGCCACTTTTGGCTGTACATTCAAACTCTTCTACCAATATGGCAGGAACACAGAGTTAAGCACCGCTTCAGAAATTCATCAAAATCTGACACCACATACATGACTGAGGAATGCGTGGTCTTCACGGCGGGTGCTTTAATTTGATACAGGGAGAACCAGCCTGTTTTGGGTTTAAGTTTGAAGAGCACGGTGGGAAAAGGTTGAACTCAATTCAACTCCTCTGAATTGTACAAATGGAAGAAACTGCCCTTATTTGAGTTAGCTGTAAAAGTACCAGTGTGCATTCACATACACCACACTATGAGCCTGTGCCAAGTGTCATGTCGGTGAGTGCACAAGATTTTGTTTGATAATAAATGAAAAAAGCATGTGGTGTGTGTGTGTGTGTGTGTATGTGGTAACAATCAGTGTGTGTTAGTCCTAAAGTCAGACACTCTGCCCTGAAGGGCAGAAGAGCCTGTTACTTCCCAGAGTGGCACTGAAAGAGTGGAGAAGGGCCTTCGAAATTGACATTTGAAAAGGAAGACTCATCCAGACCACACACTTTTGGACTGGTCACAGGTCTCCTCCACCACCAGACATCCGTCGTCCAACCTGTCAGAAAGAACGAAGATAAATTTAACCATTAGACATGTCGATATTCAATATTACAACATAATGTGATAATGAACATATAGTAATAGTACAACAGTGATATCATGGGCACTTCAAAATACTGTGAATAATTATTTATTATTTAGGCCCAATCCCAATTCTACCCCTTAGCCCTTCCCCTTACCCCTCGTTTTGAGCATGCACGCCAAGGGGTAGAGGTGTCCCAATTCTCTTTAGCTTTAAGGCGTAGGGCTAAGGGGAGGGGATGAATAGCCTTCGATCAAAGATTTTTTAGGACCACACTCGAAACCAAGGGTTAAGAAAATTTTCCAGAATACACCAACCACAGCAGCAGTATTGCTGAACCCGGAAGTAAGGAGATCCACAAATTAGTATTTTTTGTCATTATTACGAATTTTTATGACAAACAAACACGTTTTAATTTATTCATAATCGCGTTCGTGTTTTACCATCATGCTTTAAAAATAACGAAATGAATAAAAAAAACGCTACATTTCGCAATCTATAATCCCTATTAATAACTCCTGTACACCAGTTCCACAACATTGACACTCGAATACCCTGTCAGTAATGTCTAATGGCTGTCATTGGGCTTTTTACAGTGTCTGCCATAATGTTAATGTTGTTTTTGGTGTGTTTACATTGATGAATATGGCCACTGTGTAAATACACAGTAAAGTTACGATCTTTTTGCCACATTAGGTTGTTATGATAACATAATATATGTCTTCTTTAATTTCCTAAAGATAAATACCAAAAAATAACACAACTGGAATAACTACAGCAGTCGTGATCGTCTGATCTCACATGAAGCAGGAGAACACGAGGACATATGATGACGTGTGCAGGTGCTGTAGTGCTGTCCCATTTCTTAGGGGTACATTTTGAAGCCCTTCCCCTTCACCCTCGGTTGTAAGGGCCAAGGGGAAATGGTATAGGTACAAAAATAGAATTGGGATTGGGCCTTAAACTGTGCCTTTTTATGACCTCGGATTGTTATATTAGTGGTTGTTCATGACAGCACCAATTAATGAAGACTTAACTGCTTCTTTATTTTCAGAAAACATTTTTTTACATGTTAATCTGGCTCATAAATAAAATTCTGTGACTATCCGCTTGTTAAGTCATGACTTATAAAATACTGTTTCCAGGTTGAAGCCTCGTTTGAATTGAGAAAATATTTGTTTATGACCACTTTTTAGTTATCTCACACATTAAAGTGAAATTCATTTAAAAATCATGGCGTACACAACAGTCTATGCACTTGCTGCATCACAGACACTAATATTTTAATTTATAAAAAAATGAATCACTTTCTGGCAGTCTGATAATAGGCATGGACATATATATTGCAATTGTTTTTTTTTTTTTGGACAGTATTAAATTGCTTTGTAAACATTTATTATAACTATTTGTTAAGTCTTCCCATACAGTCTGATATGGCACCTGGACTCAGAAGCCTTTTTACGCGACGTCACACTTAACAAGCGGATTTATAGGCCCTTTGGTTGTAAACTCTGTACAGTAAGGTTCCATTTGTTAACATTAGTTAATTTACCTAAACTCACAATAAAAACGACAGAAGCATTTATTAATCTTAAGTGTTGGTCATTTCTAATAATGTATTAAAATCAGAAGTAGTTATTGCTTTATTAAACTCAGTTAATAACTAATAACATTTAGGTGTATTTTCTAAGATTAACTTTAACATAATACCAATAAGAATTAATCCAAATCAAAATCAAAAAATAATAATAATTACTATAATAAGGCTATTTCACACTGTTGATTTAATGCACAGGGTTCTCACTCTTTCATAAACTGCAGATTCAAGGACTTTCACACAACCAATATTTGTAGCGCTATGCATTTCCTTACTGTACGTGACATTTCATTTGCACAATATTTACATAAAAAGTCAGAATAATGATGATGTTTTGAATGTGACATATTGTGTGAAGTTTTAAATAGTTACAAAAAACTGGTGATATTCAAATGCAGTTTCTAAAATATTGTTAACATGTGCATTATTTGTCATGATTTGTAGTACTTGTACAAGATTTAAACATAAGATTTAGACATTTTTTTCAATTGTTTAATTGTTGAAATAACACCAAACGCACCAAATTTAGATTAGGTACTTTCCAGGCCTTAAATCAACATGTCTGAAATTCAAGTGCTGTCAATAAGCATGGGAACCCTGACAGCAATAACTAACATTTATTAATGGGCATTTAGTGTAAAGTGTTACCTATTGTACTCTAGAATTCTTCTGCAATTTAATATTAAAACATTTTTACATGCCTGTTCAAAGTAAAGTAAGTATTTTTGTTATTATAACTGTTAAAGGAACTTTCAGGCGTTTGAGACAATACATGATAGTATCCTATTTAAAAGCTTCAAACTATTTCATACCGGCAGATGCCTAATAATGATCACACAAACTAAATTGCTTCCTCTGCTGCCACCCACCATTGACTCAGAACAGTCAGTTGGCATGGCGATCTGTTTTTCCTCTGGGGGCGGAGTCATAAGGTTGCTGTCTGCACGCCGGTGTTGATTGGTCAACGACAGCCACATCTCGTACATCTGCTGCATGTCTCTCACTGACAATGCACAGAGAAATACACACCTTGTTTTAAAACACACAAATGGGTAATAGACACACAGCCATTTAGAAATGTGATCACAGGATCACACCCATAAAAACAAAAACAAAACAAAATCTAGTTTAGTTGAATAGTTTAGCTGAATTAGGTGCATTCTCACAGCTGTTGTTTTTCATGTAGGTCCACACATCCCTCTCCTCCAAACTGTGTGCAAAAGAACAGTTCCCAATATAGTGGCACTTCTTCTGTTTCATGACATGAACACACATCTGCAAGCACAAATTAATATTATTGCAATTATGAGCCAACATTACACAGTAATAGTAATAGTACTTTGAAAGTCAGTTTAAATGAGAAACAATGGTCCATCTGTGCGAAGGTGTTTTCAGACTTGGGTATTATTCGTTTAGTTCAGCATTTTCTGTTTGGTTTGTTTTTCTTTAAAAAAGGAATATCACAATGCATTTATGCAGGAGAAACAAACTCGGAATCAAGACACAGCTGTTTTTCTGTAACGTAATAGTTTTTTCCGTGTCAGTGTAGGCCCAAATAAAGCAAACTAAGAACAAAATAGGTCAGCCTCTAAAAACAAACGTTTTAAATGTGCCAGCATATATGAGTACACCCCTCACAAACATATCTTTTAAATTTATATTTTTAATAGTAAGCTATACAATACTATATTTGTGCATATACATTAGATTAGTCAATGCTAAAGCCAAATCTGGAGCTTATCTAACCAAAAAAAAAAAAAAGTGACGATAACGGTCCAAAAACTGGTACACCTAAGTTTATATGCTATAGAAAAATATTAAATACAATTTTTTTTAAAATTTAAAAAAATAATAATAAAAATAAAAAATTCAAGAGAAACAAACAAAAAATTCACTTGAAATTTTGTAGGTTATAATTTTTTTTGCCATATTTTGCTTGAATTTAATTGTATTATCTTTCTTGTTTTTTCATATCATTTTTACAATGAAAACAAATGAAAGAACATATTCGATGGCAACTCTTGCAAGTAAGTTATTATTATTATACTGCCTAAAAACCTACGCTAAAAATGACCAAAAAGTGCTTTGTGGAGAGCTGATACATGACCATTCCCTAAACATTATTGTACAGTAATGAGACCCATAATATCTTACAAACATTTTGAGCTTTTTGGGTTAGAAATTTCTTAATTTAGAACATTAACTAAAACCAATATCTATTTCTTATAAAAACATTTACACGTTATTTAGTGTTGATCATTTCTAGCTGATGGGTGAATACAAATAATTACATTGATCTTATTCTTCACGTATGAGCGGGCTCTGCCACTAGAGTCTTTTAGGATAAAGATTTCCAGTCTGATGAACACACTTGTTTGTAGAGCAAGTAGTTTTACCGTTTTCTGCCTTTTATTATTCTTAGTCATTTCTCCCATAGGCAAGTGAATCAGAAGTTCTTTAACAATCACAAAACGAGCACACTTTCACATTGAAGAAAAAGTTCAATATGATTTGCACTGTGCCTGCCATCCAATAGTTGCAAAAGGTATAGGTTTATGTAAAAGAAAGTCTTTCACGAAAGTAAACAAACATCGAAACATACAGACACCGTATGATTAAATAAAACAAAACTTTCTGAAATATGTTTAATCACGAGTAACCTGCTAGTTAACTACAAAAAAAAACTGTTAAGGATCACTTAGCCTAATATATCTACTCCTTTTTTTTATTGCTATATTTACCCGTTAGTAATGGCCTAATTATTTTGTTAGTTTAAATAGTTTTAATAGTAAGCAGTTATGATAGCCACTTTTTCAATGATCATATTTCAAAACAAACTGCTGCTGAAAATGTTACAAGATTAAAATGTTTTTTATTCAAGTCACATTTACTATGCAAGTCAGTTTTAATCTAAAATAAATGACAATTAGAATACAGTTCAGTCTTCCATTACTTTCCGATAAGTTATCTGGGTAGACTGGGACACAGGAATGTAAAATAACTTTCTAAAGTTCAAGTATGGTGACCTCTGACTGGCAAATTCCTCTCACATGAAGCAGTGTGACTAGCAGAGGAATGATTTGTAACAATGAGTATGTTTACATGGACACCAATAATCTGATTTTATTATGATAAGAACAATACTTTGATTACGAGTCTACCATGTAAACAGCGATTTCCAATTACAGATTATAGGTCACGTTATTGAAGTGCAATACAGACATGTAAACACCGCAATCAAACTATTACCTGTGTGTAGGATTTTCGCAACAGTTTATGCAGGACAGTCTATACACACATGGCTGCTTGTAACTATTTTCTGCACCGACCGAGTCAGTGAAGGACCTGCATCGCGATATGCAGAGATTTTTCCCCCATACAGCATGCAGTAATTACATACTAGAAAAACTACACTCTTCTAGCAGTTCATACTCGCATTTAATATCTCTTTTGTCACGGGGGCACGCATGAAATGTTCCTGCATGAAAGTAAAAGTGCTAAAATGATTTTAAAAGTAAAAAAATTAGAAATAAATCACCCAAAATTACTCAAAACTCAAGAGTAAATGTGGATTGCGCAATGACATTAATCGAATTATGTGCTATAACATGTAAAACAGGACCATGAAAGGAACATTGAAAAAGAAAATGACGAAAAAGCTTAATCATATCATTGTCTTATTTAGATTTAGGGCAAATAGATTGATTACTGATTTCCAAGTAACCTCATTCGCTGTGACCTCTAAACTGAACAAAAAAGAAAAGACAAATTTGCAATAGTGCAAAACTCAGTGCAAACTCATCACAGAATTTGAAATGTACTATACTATATTATATTTCAAAGATGCAATGTGTTTCTTCTATTGTAGTCTTGGTCTGATTATAAATAATTGTACCAAATTTTTGCCTGCTAAAAATTGGATGAAAAGGGTATGTTTGTTTTTAGCCAAAAGTAACACAATGAAAATATGAGACAAACTAAGGGCCATGCTTTGCCATACTGTCCAGCAGTGTTCAGTGAGCTAGTTTCACTCTCTCTCCACTCTCCCCCCTAGTCACTGCACAGTGTGAAGCAGCTTTCAAACTGGATTTGTTTCAATGGCATGAACAAGCAAGGGCAGAATTTTGTACAGCTAAAAGAAAAGGTGCAAGACAAGTGGTGCACAATCTCGACCAGTTTGTGCATGCATTGTGGTCAGTTCTGAATAAATGCAAATTTTCTGCTCTGTGGATATTTCACTCATGTAGCCATATACTTATCCATGCATGTACTGCTCATTAAGCATAGTATGTTCAAATTATGCACTGACACAACATTTCTTTGTAGTGTATTTGTTCTTACTGCTTGCAGTGTTGTCATGGCAATGCTAGTAAAATGATGCCTCTCAACTCATTCACTAAAGTCAAAAAAATATGGTTATTTTATTGGCTTATAGTTTTACAAATATGTATAATTTAAGTTTTTGAATTATATTTACAAAAGGTTTACTAAATTACTCTACATTATTCAGCAAAATAATAAATAATTATTACAAATCATTTTTGTTTTGGTTTTCAGCCGAGTGCTTCCAGAATATTAAGTCTTGGTCCAGAATTTCATTTTGTAGCATCATTAATGACAATTATACTATGGTACTTTAAAAGTGGACCAACTATGCCACTTATTACAAAATGTAAAATAAGTCTATGATGTCCCTAAAGTGTGTTTTCAGCTCAAAATACTATAGAAATAATGTTTTAGAACTCTTTGAAACTGCCCCTTCGAGCATTTAATCCCAATTGTGGTGTTTTGGTGGCTGTCGCTTTTAATTCAAATGAGACTGTGCGTTTCAAAAGAGGGTGGAGCTATAAATGCCTGTGTGACACCAAAATGGCAGATTCAACACTAATGGCAGACGGCTGCTTCAAACTCAGGGCTGTTAATGCTAATAATCAAAAGATCTTTACTAATTGGCTGGGCTTTTCCCCCTCTGATGACAAAATAGATGTCAATAAAAGTGTTTCTGCTGACTGTTTTTATCAAGTGTCATTATAAAAAAATAGAATAAATTCATTATCATTAGAAGGCTGGCCATATTCACACGGTTGCCACACAACTGTATTGAAACCACTATGAATGTTATATTTAAATGTTTGCAATAATCTTTTATCTGTATAAACAGAATCATCAACATAAAACAAAAGTTTGTATTTCTCTTCAATGAACCACAGGAATGACAAAATCTCTTTTAAGTGCTATGATATTTAACAGACACAGCTGCTCAGTGTCACCAGTAATACCTGCCTGTCTGAATACCAGACAGAACAGTTTCTGTCAAGATAATTTAATCAATGCTGACTTACATCATATTGTTGTGGGTAGGTACGTGAAAAAGGCAGCGGTCGCACAACCACCCACTTTTTCTTCTCAAACGATTTCACTAGCAACACCCTGCGCTCCTTTGTCCAACTGAAAGAAAAAGACGACAAAAGAAACACTAAGAACTCTCATTGGAGACCTTAGTCAGGTTAGGCATCTTATTGAATTTAACAGATGAAAGCCAAGCTGTTATGAATGGATTTAAAATTCTTTACCATGGCACATATCTTCTTATAGGTCTTATATTTATTTTATGAGAAAGAAGTTTCATTAGCTAAACAGTCTGCACATTCTAAACCTCAAATAAACCCATCAAATAAATTGTAGTTTTGAGCCTTGTACTATTGTTAATGACAAAAATTAATTATGATGGTACGATAAAAGGTATTGACCTCAGGCAAGGATGGAGTTTACAGTGTCCAATAATTGCAGTCACATTAAAGCTGTTCCAGTAAACATTAGCATGTTCAATTTTAATGAGCACGTGCATGCTGGTGGTAAGATGATGCCTGCTTAAATAATGCAACCTGACCTGTGCCTGGCTTTGGCAGTGCAGTATTTCAGTGACTTGTCTGGCTCGTTGACCTGGCCCTCCCTCCAACACTGTCCACACACAAACTTCATCTTCAGATTAAGGCCACGCCCCCGACCGCATCCCACCAGTCCTCCGCCTCCTCCTCCTCCGCCACTGATGCTGTCTCCACCTCCGCCAACCACACCGCCTGAGACCACAGAACTGCCACTGATACCACCGCTGCTGCTCCCACTGGGCTGATGAGGCCCTGGCATAGGCTAAAAATTAGGAGAGAAAAGACACATATAGAATGAATTAATTACAAATTAAATGTAAATGAAATTCAAAACCTTTATATTTACTGTTAATTAAGCAACAAATAATTCACTTGAACACATTTCAAACATATGCATTAACATCCACTTTCAGATTAAAAGTGGTGGAATGTAAAAATGTGTGCATATCAAATATAGGATGTTGGCTGATAGAAATGGTAACAAAAAACAACGGAAATGATAATCTTCAATTAAAGAGCCCCTATTTTGCATTAAAAAGGGTAATGTTCTGGTTTTAGGAGTCTCCAACAACAGGCTGATCAAAGGTCAAAAACACTGTCATTGTCTTATAATGAGCATTTACTTTAATCTAATTATCCCAGCGCCTCCCATATGATTTGTTCAGCGATTTATTGGTTCCCAACCCCCCCTTAGCGCAATGTTAAACTGTGCTGATTGGTCTGATGACCCAGTCTGTAGTTATTGGTTGACTGCTTTCAGCGTGAGAGAGAGAGAGAGAGAAATGCCAACTATGGCTTGTCAGCAAATAGTCAAAGAGTGCGGAGTGTATGTGTGAGCTCAACGCAGGAGTGCATTAAAGCAACGCAGTTTAAAACCTGCATATTGCTCTATTCTTAACCATAAGTAAAAAAAGTGACACACATTCAGTATTAATCCACACAGTGGCAAAAGCTGAACTATTCTGAAACTTGACCACTGCACGTATGTAGGAACAGCTGACGGTGGCCATAGCAACGACAAATGTTGTGGATGTGGATGTGGACAAACGCATTAAAATAAGTGAATAAAGCAGCAAGCAGCATGTTTTTAACGTGCCTTCAGACATAATATGAAAACATTAAGAGTTAAACTACGAGCGGTTACGAGTAACAAAACAGATTAAATACATAATTTGCAAGCTAGAGAAAACGAGGCTGCAACCATTTTAACTGCACTTATTTACACTTGTGAAATGGATGAAGGAACTGGTCCATGAACTGTGTACCTTAAAGTTCCTGTCAAGCTCCGACAAAGTCCCATATATTCTTTTCTGATCCTTCCTTTAAAAAACGGCCAACGAATCCCGCAATGTAAGCGTGCAGATTGCTAAACCACTTGTCAGAAAAATGACAAACACAGCACAAGGCTGAGGCTATAATGCTAAGGTATTTTTGCAAAAATAAATTTCAACCACTGACTCTTCACATGTTTGGGTAGGGAAAATAACACTTAACTTTCCTTCACTTCAGAGCACAGCGTCTTCACGACATTATTCAGCTGGGATCTGCTACAGTGCACTGCAACTTTTTCTTTCTACAATGTTTGTGGGCAGGGCCGGGGGGTTAAATTTTACCGGGTTTGTGCGCACAACAACTGGGCAGGGCTTGAGTTCTGTATCGACAACACGCCGACAGAGCTAGAGACTCGTTACGGTGTCGATTCATTCCAACCACTATGAGTGGACTCTTACAGATGACGGTGCACTTTCAGATTTAAGCCTTAGCTGGACATTTCACTTCACTTAGAGCTGTGTTACACACTGCATGGAAGGTCATTTTCAAAAACCCATATAAGGGGCTGTTTTAGAAATAATACAAAGTTTGGGGAACTTTTAAATTTTAGTTCTTAATAATGTGGAGTCAATAAGGTGCTGAATGAGGAATTAAAGAAACATTTTGTATCAATAAAAAAAAAAATACTGAAAAGTTTGTTCTTTCTCTGTAATATTGAAACCCATAAGTTTAAAGTAAAAATGCAATAAAACAAGTGGTGCAACGGTTTGCCAAAAGATATACATGTTATATAGTAAAACTCCCAAGAGTCTTAAAAGTCTGTTAGACGTGAAAAAATATGGTTTCATATGGTTTCATAATGGTTTCATTTAAATGCTTGTATCTCCAAACAACAAAGTAAAAATAAATCTTATTGTAATTAAATATGTATTTATTGGGTATCAATGCATTTGCAAATGTTTTTCCCCTTACTAAGGACAATTTAAAAAAATGCATTTCTTTTGGTACAAAGATGAACATTTGAGGACAGCACAGTGTTTTTGTTTTGTCAAAGCCTCACCTTCTGTCTCTGCGCATTCTGTTCCAACCTGTGCCAGTGTCTTTTAGACTCCTGCACCATCTCCTCATGGGTAATACCTGAGCCAGTACACAAGCACAAATTAAATCTCATTAAGTGCTTTATACTACGAGTTCCATCTATGCCTAAGACCACAATACAGAACAAAGACGGCAAATCTCTACACTGCAATGTCAGAACATTTGTTGTTGTTTTAAAATAAATAGGGCAATCTAAATTGAAATCCCACAACAAACAAAAGCTCTATAAAGATTTAAAAACAGTAGTTTGCAGTGTACATGCATGTATACAAATAGCACATCCTTAATACCTGTGTCCTGCTGAAGCACCCAACACTTGAGTTCTATGACTGAATGTGCAAAAGAGCAACTGTCCTCCCGTTGGCAGCCGTATCGCACTTCATGACGACACACGTCAAACTGGCAGAGTGGGTGAAGAGGGCGTATTTTACTGTAGCGCACGTTTGCTGAGCGAACCACATGCACCAGGCACCTGTTCAGATAGATGACAGCATAAGACACATCGATATGAGAGAAGATATGTGATGGACACTTATAAGGTTAGTTCACTCAGAAATAGAATTTCCTCTCCCTCAAGGCATCCTAAGTGTTTAGGACTTTTTTGTTTAATCAAACCCAATAGGAGTTATTTAAAAATTTATCAAAGGCTGTTCATAACACAAAGTTTCTTAAGTTGTCTTAAGTTGCTCTGGGGGTTGAATAAAGGTCTCCTCTAAAGAATCAATGGGTTTAAGAAAAATATCTACATTTAAAACTTTAGAAACAATTTTTCATAATGTCCGATGAGCTGTGGGGCCATCTTTTGCTTTTAGGTGCATTTTATGCCGCATTTAGGGCTATATGCTGGATATCTAACCATTTAGGTACTCTCTCTCTTCACTGCACTCTCTCTTCACTGCACTTCCGCGTTAGACAAAGCGTTATACAAAACGATTTATACGCATCGATTCACAACAGGAAACCTTTATTTCACCCACTGGAGCAATTTTTGGCACTTTTTATTATGAATGGAAATTTAATGCAGTTTATGGATCTTCTTTTGGACTTCTGATAAATATTAGCAGACTATTGCCATTGTAGAGATGGAGAAGCCCAAAATAACGATTAAAAAAGCTTCTGCTGGATACTTTTAGGTGAACTAACCCTTTAAGTGCTTCAAAAAGTACATAAGTAAATTTGAGGTTAAAAAAGACAATTCGGGAGAGAATGACTCACTTGTTGTCATCAAAGGGATGTCGTGCAGTGAGATTGGAACACACAGCAAGATTTTCTTTGCTTCTCTTGCTAATTATTCGAGGTTTACTGTCAAAACATTCCTACAGGAAGTCAGAGGCCAGAGTTAGAAGATATATCCTAACAAGGACCCATTGGCTAGCATTAAACATGAAAATAAGCATTACCTCACAGAGGAACATAAACATGCCCATATGGAGCTGGAGGAGACGGGTGACACTGAGGGCCCGACGTTCATTTGTGCCCAGAGGGTCAAACAGTAGCTCGCGACTCAGAGCTCCCTTCCTCTCTTGGGTCCAGACGTCGATCTCCTCCTGGCAATAGGCAAAAGTGCAGTTCTCACCATACTGGCACTCCTGACGCTCTTGTACCTCTGCAAAAAAAATAACAATCAGTGGAAATCTAAATGATCATATGTGACCCTGGACCACAAATCCAGAATTTTTTGGGGGAGAATGAGATTTGAATAATTAAGCTTTTCATTGATGTATGGATTGTTAGGATACAACAATAACTGGCCGATATAGAAAAATGTAAAAAATTTGAATCTGAGAGTTCAAAAAAATCCAAATATTGAGAAAATAACCTTTTAAGATGTCTAAAGTTCCAAGCAATGCATAATACTTAAAAAATATACTTTTTTGTATATTTACAGTAGAAATGTAAAAAATATAATCATGGAACATGATCTTTAAATAATTAATGAATTTTGGCATAAAATTAAATCCATAATTTTGAGCCACAAACACACTCATGGAACATAAGACTGGATCAGGTGTAGAGTAACCACATCTTTTTTTTTTTTGCATCATTGCAGAGATGGGTGAATGCAGTCCTAAGCTCATAGGAGTCAAACACAATTTAAAATCTTTTCCACTGCACCATGACTTTATATTCTATACTGTACATTATTTCTGTTAAGAGACAAGACTTGTCTCAGCAAAGTCAGACTTTACTGTCCTAATAATACAATTAAAAATCAAGGTATGATCATATTGTATTTTGGAAAAATAAATGTATTCTAGATGCCTTTGCCTCTCAAATATGTCACTTCTGATACAAAATGATCGACTAAGATCAAGAAGGTAAGTTATTATTTCTTCATTCTAAAACTTGGATAGGTAAAAATACATTTTTTCAGGTAGTGTATATACTGAACAATGTTGGAAACCTCAAACAACAGACTTACTTATTTGATTTCCTACTATGGATTTCAATAGTTAACAATTTTAACACTCCTGAAAATATCTTTAGGATGCGTTCAACACCACACACACACATACATACACACACACAAAAAAAAACTGGTTTAAAAAAAGGGTGAGTTATGATCACAATATTCATTTTCAGGTGAACTATCACTTTAATACTCTCTAAATATCTGTGGTATTTAAATGTTTCAATCACATTGTGTCTGGTGCGGGTAGCCAAAATGCTTGCCACCGGAATCTTGTTGTGTTGCGTGTTTTATGACATAATGTTAGGCAAATAGATAGCCATACCAAATCAGGCTTTAGAAAGATTGCCCAAAAAGGGAAAAAAAAGACTGCAAAATATGCACTAAAGCCCTGTCATACATATGTAGTCAGCAAATCTTCAGCAACTGCCTTGAGGTATAAAAATCAATCTACGTAGCAAATTCTGAGAAATGATTCCAACACATTGCTAAAGTCAAGTTATGAAATATTAACCCAGTACTAGCAAGGTTTTAAGGTTTGCTGCAGTGTAGAAAAGTCACAGTAGACATTTGAAAAACAAATTGCATATGCACCAACAGCCAAGCATGACAAAGATGTGTTAAGTTGCAAAAAAATCTGTTTTTGAAATTAATGAAGATAGCAGAAGTAAATAATTTCCATTAATTATTTAGTCTGACATATTTACTTTTCCAAAATATTTGAAATGTTTCTTAAAGATCTTTTCAAAGACATTTAAAAGAACATATTTAGAGCAGTAATCTCAATTAGAGTTGTGCCGATGAATAGACGATTGTGTATTGACGATAGGCAAAGATATCGCCGAGAGCTGAAACCTATAACGATTTTAAAGACGATATTTAGCTCGTTTTGCATTAATGTAAACCTATTACATGTTTGATGTGCATTATTGAATGAAATGAATAGCATTATTATTTTTAATCATCATTATTAATAATAAATGAACTACAAATAATTTGACAGCTTCAGCTATTCACATCAACATCACTTGACCTACATCAATAGGTCAAATACATTTTTGAATAAAAATGCATTATTTCGATTGCACTCTTGCGCGTGGGCTCTTTTCTCTCTTTCTCTCTCTCTCTCTCTCTCTCTGTGTCTGTCTGTCTGTCTGTCTGTCTGTCTCTCTCTCTATCTCAGCAGCAGCAGTTAAAGCACGAGCTGCCCGTAACGACACAGCCACATCTCTTTTTCATCAAACTTTGTTGCTTAGGCCTATAAATAATAGATTAAATAACAAAACTGGATTTAATTAACAATCAAGTTAAATAAAATGATTTTTAAAAATGAAACAACTGGAGAAGAAAGTTAAAGCAACTAGAAACCAGCTCAAAATTTCTGGAATAAAATTTGTTGCTATTGTTGGTCATTTGAGACTGCTTTATAACAGCACTCCCGCAAGATTCTCTCTTGCTTTCACAAAAAAAAAAAACTATTTATCTTTTGTAGATGTTATTAATAGCCTATTTAGGTTTCAAGGTGGCCTATAGCCGGTTTTCTTCAAGCATGCATTGATAGCTCCTTTAAATACACAGAATATACATACTTGTTTATTTGTGTTTAATTTGATAGATGATAAACACAGACATGAGCATTTTTCAGAAAATAACCTATTTATTTAATTAAAAAATATGTTAGGCCTATATTTATTTATATAGGCTATTAAAATATGTTTTATTTATTTATTTAAACTAGCCTACATTAAATTAAATTACAACCTGTATTTTACCAATCATTTTGGCATTAAAGAATTATTGAACAGATTATTAATAACTTATCAAAGAACATTTTACTGAGCTCAGTGAAACGTTTTAGGTCAAATAGGCTATTTAATATTAAAGCAATAGGCTATTGCCGATTCGTCGCAGCCATGTCTAAAATTAATCTCTTATCAGAAAACAATAAACACATATGCCAAGCGCAACATTGTGTTAGATCTTAGCAAATACAAATGTGACACTGCTGATGATTACTTTTGTGATTGATTAGACCTTAAGCCGAACCGCGCTTATGAAACAAAACATTGGAAATCTGCACCGCATAGAAACAGTCACATGCGGGTGGCGAGTCCTCCATCCCCATCCCACCTGAAAGGACCGTAATGCATCCTTGTTTCTATGCGTAGATAAATATAATTTCATTTACTTTCATCCATGTGTATTATATCCATTTTGGGGCAGTCTCGCAGTACGAGGATAACGGCATAAACCCAAAGTCACAATAAAATCCTGTCCCATGCCGCACTGAAGCAGAGTCTTGTTTAAAATAATTTTGGTCTCAGCTCTTATATAGCTGTAAGAGCACAGTGATTTGCATTGCTTTGAATTATAATCCAATGTCAAAGCCAAAGGTAATGCAATTACAGTATTTTATTAAATGCATTTAAACAAACCTATGGCTACTTAGATATTAGGGGGAAAAAATCCTAATATCTTTTGTTTCCAGGATGAGATTACTACGGATATCAAAACTAAAACTATCATTTGCCAATCCCATTGTAGTATCCATTACAATTCCCTTGTAGTAGTATGCATCCCTTACTAAAACATCTATCCACTGTAAATAGTTTGCACATTTCTCTAATCAAAACAAAGCCATACCTTTGCAGAGAACAAATGCCCCAAGGAAGTTATTACGAGCTGGACGAGGTCGCACCCTCTTCCAGATGGGGTCGTCTGCAGTTTTGAGGCGACAGAGCAGCACATCTCTCTTACAGCGGTGCGCTGCCTCAGGCTGATAATGGTAGTCCATAACTCTGGGGCCTAATTCAGAAAATTTTAACTTACTGAAGATCAGACTGGTATAAAATGCTCTGGAAAAGTTTTGATATGAATTGTTTTTCTCGTAGCATACATAACTATATACAGCTGAGAGGTACAGTACCTATGCGACTGTAGCAAGCATTACAGGCCTGTCTGAACTCATGTGTGGCAGCCAGAGGGTTTCGTGACAGCAGAGAAAGGTTGGTACCAACTGGCCCATTCTGTTGGCAGAAAAGAACAATTCTCAGACTAGGAAATAGCTCAACATTTAAATTATTGTACAGAGGAGAGTTAAAAGGGACAAACTGTGTGAATTAACAAAAACAGAGGAGTTTTGACTCACTGCATTAGCGGCATTATGATTACGCAAACCAGGGATGAAACAGTGAGAGATTCGTCCACCTGAGATTTGGAAGAAAAGAGAAAATGATTTGGATAAAATTAGTAAAACTCGAAATATTGTGAAGACATTCATAATAGTGCCACATGATCCTTTAGCTGATCTGGTACTCAAAAAAAATATTATTATAATAGATAAGAATAGATTTGCTGAAAACTTTGTGAAAACTTTTGTTCAGGATTCTTTCCAGAACAGAGATTTTGGATAGTTATGAATAAGTGGCACTTTATTCATTTGATGCAGTCCAGATGAGGAGAATTTTTCGTTCTAAAATGCCATTTTGAAATGAAAACACACTAGCGTACACTGCATCACAGAACAGCAGTGTTTTTCACACGCCACATTCATTAGGCTGATTTATACATTCGCTTGGGTCTGCAGGGCGTGAAGGCTTCTTATGCCTCACTCACAATAGCAGTGACTTTGAGGCTGCCTATCACTCTGGGTAGCGACCTGCTTCAAATGCAGGGCTGTGTAGGTCTATACAACAGGATCACGTTAGCTCTACTGGTGCTCCTATTGGCTTTCGCTCAAGAAAGCCACCTAGTTGCCAATTGTATGAATGAGGCTTTATACTCCACACGCTCATCATTGTGCTATTATTTGTAACAACAGGGGGCGACTCAGTGTAACTCTCATGATGAAACAGTGGTAAAGTCATTGGGTGGAGAAACTAAATACAGTGTTTCTCAACCAGGTTCCTGGAGGACAACCAACACTGCATGTTTTGCATGTCTTCTTTGTCTGTCACAGCCATTACAGGTTTTCAGTCTGTGCTAATGAGCTGCTGATCCTAATCAAGTGTGTTTGGTTAAAGAGACATTGGAAATGTGCAGAGCTGGTTCTTCTCCAGGAACATGGTTTAGAAACAGGGCTCGAAATAAATTTTTTACTTGGTAGCACCGGTGCTCCCAACTTCAAATATTTAGGAACACCAAAAATAAATTTAGGAGCACCACCAAAAATGAATGAGCACCATTGCAAATTGTATTTTAAGAGATTTATTGTATTTTAAAACATCAATAGGACTAACAAAAACCAGAAACAATTATCTAATTAATGCTGAGATGACTTGATATTTGTGCAATAATTCCAAAATATATGTCTAATAATCATAGAATATTAATGATGATGAAAATGACAATAATATTAGTAACAATAAATTACATTTATTATGATGCTGCTTTGAATGTGCTTCAATGGGAGTTATCTGCTATAAAACGTCTGTTACTTTATGAAAAAAATGGTTTGCATCAAATAAAAAATAAGCATTGCAGTATTTATTTAGTGCTTTCGTTTTTATTTTTATTATTTAAATAATATTTCTGCTACAAAACAAATGAAAGACTGTAATAAATCAATCAATTCAATGCTGAAAGCTGCAAAACAGTCATGAACTAAATAGAAATATAAGATACATCTACAGAAAGAACTGACAAAAGAAAGGAAGAAAAGTCTCACTTCTATCACTCTTTAAAAGTTTTGGTTTTTGTCAATTTAAGTAAGCGGTTGAGTGAGCAACGTATCTGAGTAGGGGCGTGTGCGCACGATACGTACCTGAAGGGCGGTTGGGGTGAGTTGCGCGCAACATACCTGAAGAGCGGTGAGAGTGAGTTGCGCGCGATGTACCCGAAGAGCTAGAAGGGATGCGGTCAAGAGAGGTGTGAAACGAATTTAGGGACCGGGCGGGAGATGCGCGATTTCCGGGAGATTATCATTCATTTGCGGGCATCCGGGAGTCTCTATGTATTTGCGGGATACTCCAGCAACATCCGGGAGACTTGGGATGTCTGCACCTTCTCCAAAAACACTCGATTGATCTCGGCTGGTGGATCAACATTCAATACGGAATGATTGCTTTCATCTGCGCCTCAACTTTAGGTGGGGTTTGCAAACATGTGTGCTTTTTATTGTTCAGCCATTTGCATTTCCTGCGGTCATAAAAGCTTCCTCCCTGTCCTCTGACAGCGCAAACACTTAAGTGACTGACAGCTCATATGAACCAATTTAGCAACAGGAAAGAGCGACTCAGCACGATTTTAGAAAAAAAATCTAAACAGCACTACAACCATTATATGCAGTCACACAAATGCTCCCAAATATATTATAGGGTCGCATAGATTAATTTTCGGGCGCATATGCAACCAAATGAATGAATTTAGTTAAAACACAATTAAAGCACAAACATGTTGTGGATGATAATTGTGGACACTCAAGAAAACAGTTGGGGAAATTAACTCAAGATAGATTTTATAAATATCCAAGCTAACTGCGTACTCAAAAGTAAAACATTTCTCAAATATTTAAAAATAATTTACTTAAAAAGCCTTGGACAATCTTTCCACAAATGGTTTCCTAAAAACTTAAAAAAAAAAAAAAAAACCTCAAGGACTTCACATCAGGCAGTTGTTTTGGATTCCCAAATGTTCTAAATGCACAGCCACTCAACTCGGCCAGACTCTGCTCGTTTATATGTGGAGTCGTTCAGCACTCGTGAGCACTGCAAGCTGAAATGATGTTTACACACCAAAAGCAATCATTCGCTAACGCCTTGATAACTTCACATTCACCCAGGCGAACTTAAAAAAGCCTTGAGACTCACCAGGAAGTGTGTACTCAGAAAGTGAATCCAGTCCCCCTGTGATCAATGATCCTTTCCCTGCAGTGTCAGCAGCCCCAGAACTGAAGGAACCAAGAGACTCCATTGTCTGGGAAGAGGCTTCGCTTTGACCCAATGCTGTAAAGGGCTCCAGTGGTGGAAGTGGACTGACAGCAGAGTTGAAAAATTGAGCTGCGAGCTGAGGTGTGGATCCTGGAAGACCCGGAGAGTATGGAGGCCTCAAACCCACAGCAGTGTTAGGTAGGTTTGTAGGAATGGCACCTTGAACTGGGTTCTAATGACAAGAGGAATAATCAGTGAATGCATTGACCCATCCAACATTAAATGACCATGTCTTTTCTATTGCACTCACCACGCTGACCTCTGCCCCTTTGGGAATACTTTCCAGCAAGGTGTCCAGACATGAAGTGTCCTCATTCATTACACATTCTCCCATGTGTTCAGATACAGGCACGGAGTATGGCACCCGTCCCGACGGCTCCTGGCTTGGGCTTTCTGGCATGTCTTGGGGCTCAACTGGGTCCAGTGAAGGAATCTGTGGGTCATCACTGACAGGAATTGGTGTAGCCAGAGGGGCAGGGATGCATTGGGCACTTGTTAAGTCTGTGGAAGAAACAGATAAACAAACTGAATCACCCAACTCATTTGCACAATATTTTTTATACATGTATGGTTGTAAATACCTGATCCAATATCATTCAAAGTCTCAAGACCATTTGAGGAGGTCTGGAAAAAAGGGGGGGAAAAAACAAGGCAATTTGCACATTTAATCCAAATTCTGAAAAAATAAATATAATTTTTATATTAAAGGTGCAGTAGTTGATTGTCTTCAGAAACATTTTAGTTGTGCTGGTTAAATCTCTTCACATCCCAATAGTGCAGATTGAAGTAAATGATCTAAATGTATTTTTATATGCCGAGTAAGACTAAAAAATTCGATTTAAATTTGTCATGGTGACAATTAACTCAATTAAGACAGGTAACTCAAACTCTGTCAACAAATTTAAAATCGTATTTCTGCGCAGCCTCTTTATGCAGGAGTATCATCAATTGTGAGAGCATGTGAAGTGGTCAAGTAGAGCTGACAGAAAGACATCAGGCAAACTCTGCATCAACCTAAACTTCTTTCTGAAAAAACCCTAAACAATAATTATATATATAAAACATTACAGGATATTTAAGCTTTTAGCACTCTTTTGCTGATCAGATTTTTATTTAGCTGAATAACAAAACATAAGTAAATGTGCTCTTCCACCTAACCAGCTTTACTAAGGTAAAGTTTGATTTATATTCGCACATTCATTCATTCATTTTTGAACAGTGACCGCATGTGACATGCTCCCACTCTGTTACTTTGAATACTCAGTCTGAAATAGTGGGTAGGTATGACTTCAAAACAACATTAGCACTATTTCATTGACTGTGAAAAATGTTGTATTTTATAATCACTGGCAGAAGATTTCACTATTTAGAATTTGCAAACAATGATTTTCTGAAATTATATTATTAAGGAGAAAGTTTGAATGTGCAGATATAAAACCAACTTTACCCCAATGCCAGTTTTGGGGAAATATAATTCCTGCACCCGCTGGCCTGTCAACAACTACGCTAGACAAAGTGCTTGTCCCCATAGAGTTTTTTAATCTGGTGAATGACATGACCTAGTGTTATATAAGGCTGTATATTGTCATCAAATCATTATCTATTCGGTGCGCGTAATGAGGCGTGGCTTTGGATGGCAGGGGAGGAATGTAAATTTTCAAAGCAATTATGCTAATTCCAGCATTCTGGCTGATCTCCTACTGCACCTTTAAGTATATGTATTTTTTTAATAACAAACTTTGTTGTTTAATGTAACTTGCCTCCCCAGTAGGAGAATTAGTTTCTCCATTGTTGTCTGTCCCAGATGTAGTAGAATCAAGCTGAAATAAAAAAGGTGTTGTTTTAGGGAGGGTAGAACTGTAAACAGCAATAATTTAAACTAATGACATTTTATCTAAAGGACAAACCTGAGGGCTGACGTATGCTTTGCGGATTTTCAAACCAAGTTTGTTGGCTAGATCCTGAGCAAGCTCACTGACTTGCCTGTCCTGTGTAAAATAAACCAATCTGTTAGTTAAATGAATACACAAAATAAATCATACTAATACACTTCATATATTATAAATATAAATAAATTATGTTCCTATAGTAGTAAAATACTTGAGTCTGTATGATTTATTTAGCATTTTTTGATAAGGCTACACTTGCCCACTAAACCAAACAAATAAACAAAACAGTATAACTAAAATATTATATTTGCATTATTATATTTACAAAAGCTTAAGTCTCTGCAGGCTTTATTTTGCTCTCACGACTCTTCACATATTATGCTAATATGGAGCTCATAAATTATTAGTAATGTTGAAAATGGTTGTGCTAATTAATACTCTTTTATATCAATCAAATAACAGCAAATATATTTATGATGCTTCAAATTATTATAAAATAATTAAAAAAGGTTAATAAAAAAGAAATCACTTGAAGCACCATAAACATCAGTTTGGAAGCATTTATAATCACATGGTCAAAGTGGCCCAATTCTGATTTTTCTCTCATGTGGCACAGATCAAAAATGACCCACGCAGGGAAAACATCACAGATTTAGCTATTTGCAGATCAGTTTCAGACCTCTTTCAATTGTGGAAATCAATCTGACACGATGCAGACAAGTGCATTTGCATCTGCCATAGGGAGAGATCAGACTGGCTCTTGATGAGAATTGTACATCACTAGTATTTGATGTCAACACAAGAGACACCAACCAGGATCATTAGACTCTCTTCAATTGCACAGTGGAGGAGAAAGATTTGATCGATAGTAGGTTTAAAGTTTGCTGACTTTTAAATGGAAAGTTCACACAAAAATGAAAAATTCTGTCATCTTCGCTTACCCTCCACTTGACTGAGTTTTTTTTTTTTTTCCATTTAGAGTCTGTGTAAAGCAATATTAAAATGTGTTCCAAGTGTGTCACACAATAAAAAAAAATGCATTATTAACTCTTTCCCTGCCACCGATAAGTTTTTAATTGCAAACCATGTTTTAGGTAATTTACGAAATGTAAGACAATCAAATAAAGTAAACGTTAGATCATGTGTAACAGTTATAGCTAAACAGCTTTCTTTTGGCTTATTCTCTTCTTTATTAGTGCTCACCACAGTGAAATGAGCTGCCTCTGTCAATCTGGAACAAGTTATATATGTTTTTTTTTTTAATACATCAAATGTTTGTGTATTTGATCTTTCTGTATTCAGTTAATGATAAAACATGACCACATGAAGACAGAAAAAAATGCTTTTCTTATTTACTTTAAATAATATTGTCATATATTCCTTGCAGAGAATATGCTGGCCTGTCAATTTTAGGTAAAAATCATAAACTTAAAAAAATATGCTGACAAGTAAAGAGTTAAAGGTCCAGGACACCCTGGAGAACTTTTTTTTTTATATTAACAGATTTGTGTGTGTTGAGCATCAGTTAAGACAATGTTAGCACCTGTCAGCTTTAATTGTGGGGAAAACTGGATAATTTTGAGCTTTTGTCAGCTAATTTCAGCTTCCGGGCTTAAAATAATTTTTGATTATTTGATTTGACTAATCTGAGTGAGACACAGACCAACGGCACGTAGCCGTTCATGAAGGCTCATATGTGTTTGTTTCCATGATCCACGGGGTTTGTTGCATGTTTTTTCCCCGCGATCCTGTCAGGGCCAAACATACAGCAAAGCTGTGTGTGTGTTGCAAGCATTTTTGTCGAGAGAGCAGCACGAGAATTAGAGAATGGCGGACGTTGACTTTTATCAGGAGTTCGTTCACATTCAGACACATCGCCGTGCTGCTGTGTTTGCCTAAATTCTCTATATTACCAGCAGGGCTAATGGTTAAAATTGACAGGTCAGGAGACCTGCTGCACTGAGTCTGCATTCAAGATCTATAATTTAGACACGGGGATCGAGGGAGAATCCTTATAGTGTTTACATGAACACACTTATCTTTATAATGATATAAATTGTGGTTATGTGTATATGAAATGACGAATAACAAATGTTGCAGGGCATTAAATTACTGTTTATTTCTTTGCATTTTAACTTTGTGAACTATAAACTCATGCGTCTCACGGTTTGTGTCTCAGTTTGTGAGCTAACTGACAACAACAGTTGTTCGCTCCCCTTCTCCCCTGCTGGCCACGCCCACTCCTGCCTGATGCTCGCGGAGCTCCACGCCCATTAATCATGCATCTTATGAAAAAATTCTGAAGTAGACTTTAACCGAAAGTGGGGGGTGTCATGGCCCTTTAACAATCCCTCTAGTAATCAAAATCTCTGATAAATTAGCAGGACTCCCTTACGCTCTCAAACGGCTGGAGGCAATAAAACCACGCCCACTCAGAGGAAAGTGAGTCTTTCTCAACAATCAAATCCACTGCTACAACCTGAATAGATGCTTCCTCTGGTAATGTTAGCTCATTTGGCTTTTTACAGACATACATGATTGAGTGCGCTCAAATAGATAACAACATGGGTCAGAGCTGTGCTGAAACCTTCTTCAATGTCATTGTGGCTCAAAATTGCTTAGCAACATCAGAGTGCTCCAATGTGCTTTACAATAAAGAGAAAGCAGTACAGCTTGCACTTACATGTGCTTTAGATGCAAACTGTGAACACTGTGCTTTGGTGATGCAATTTATATATTGTCCATACATTAAAAAAAAAAACAATTCTAACCAAATTTTAGCTGATTGCACACCCTCTCTATCTCTACTGGAGTCATCAGTGTCAGTATGGTTATAAAAAAAACTATAGTATTTAGTATACATTCCTAGAGTATATTTTCATGTGGGTGCCAGATGACTGAAAAGAGATTCGTTACAATTTTCTAGTTCTTTTTACCTTGGACATTTTTGGTAACATTTATTGTTATTTTATATTTGTTTACAATATCTGTTTTCCCATTCTGATTCCGATACCTAATTATTCAAATGTTAAAATGACTTTAATTAAATTAAATACTCTTAAGAATAAAATAGTGTTCACTGGAAGAGTGTACTTGCATAATGATGCTATTATAGTGTCAAAATGGTCCTAAAATCACAATAATATTGCTTATTGCAATACATTGTGTTGCTATATTCTGATAATAAACAGTGAAAGTAATAAAATGAACAGTAAAAGTAACTCAATATTAAGCAAAAGAATCAATGACACAGTAGGTGTTATGAGGATAGGGAGGGAGCCACAGATTGTATGAGACACAGTATATGACGTGCATAAACACTATATGATGTGCATTAATTTTTCAAATTGAGCTTATAAACAGGTCGGTACCAGACATTGAGGTTGTCAGCATGGTGCATTAAGTAAAATAAACAATGATAATAAAAGAAATAAACGGAAAAAAAAAACAAGAGAAAGGGGAAAATATATTAAACTAAATAGGCTGTGGGTGGCACGTTCTTCAAACTTGTGGTTTTATGTTAAGTAAAAGTTGTACGTTTGTGCTATATCAGCAGCACTAATACTCATCTTGAAGGCACAGATCAAAACAAAAATGCAAGAGAGGCAACCATTCACTCCAAAGTAACTCCCTCCAGTCTCAGAACCTTGACATGTTCCAAAAATGGCAACCAAACATTAGAAAATTTGACCACTGAACCTCGAAGATTATGTTTAATTTTTTTTCTAATTTAACAAAAAAATAAGGCATCTTTTATCCACTGATTATGGGATGGGGGTTGAGGAGACTTCCACTGCAACAAAATGCACCGCCTAGCTAATAATGACAGAAAAGCTTCAGCTATACATTTATGACATTCAGAATGTGTTTGGAAAAAGCTCAGAAATCTCTTCAACCTGACTTTAACACAAAATCCAAATTCTTTCCTGGTATAGATGTCAATGACATCAGTTTCCAATATTATTAATAAAAAATCCTCTTTGTGTTTAAACAAAAAAATTAACTTGCAAAAGTGAACAAGCACTTGATTGTGAGTCAATTTCCATTTTTGGGTAAACTGTAGTGTTTTAAATACTGTAAAATACAAATAAATATGCAATTGATTCTACAAATGAAAACATACGTGAGGAGCAGTTAGTAGGCATCCAGTGCCGCACTCATAAGCCTCTCTAAATCGGCCCTGGTCCCTCAGACAAAGTGCCTTCCTGTAGAGAGCCCTGCGACTGCCCTCTGACACACACAGTGCACTGTCACAGTCCTGCACTCCCCGCTCATACTCGCCCTAAGCACACAACACAAAACAAATCTGATTTGCAAATAACACATATACAAAATAACACATATACAACATGTAACTGTTCTTGTCATTTCCGTACAATGAACTTCTCAGTTTACATGACAGATTTACACGTCAACCAATGAAAATCAAGCTCACCAGACTATAATGTGCAGCTGCCCGGTTTACATAAAGGCTCTCTAACAGCTCAGGAGGAATGACCAGAGCTTCTGACTGAGCGTAGCGAGCAACATTCACACCCTCGCTGTAATGGACTGCTGCCTGTCTCCATTCTCCATCACGATACACTGCATTACCTTCATCCAGCAAATTACAGACCAGCTGAGTCAGGAATGCCTGGGAAAAGAAAGAAAGAGTGTTTCCATTCAAAATTACGCTAGCAAAATACAATCACAATGGATTATCTAGGTGGGGCATTTTTTCTTAAGGGATAATACAAGTAAGTCATACCTCATAACCTTCAGGTTCGGGAAAAGGCAAAGATGACCTGTGGCAAAAAGAAAAAGTACATCAAGCAATATTTGGATTATTCCACATAAAGAGAGAGCGGAGGAGAGTCTGTTAACATCATATCTGTATTGTGGAAAGAAAACTACAAACTTACTGGATGAAGCCCAAAGCTTTTTGTATTTCTTCCTTGCGCTTTTGTCGTTCTAGATCCATAGCTGCAACATATCACAACAATTTACAACATGCATCAATCATGAAAAAAAATAACAACAAAAAACAAGCAATTACTACAAATGGTTTATAATAAAAGTAAAATATATAACATTCTACATGAAAACATTTGAGTTGTGTGTTTTTTTCCTAGCAAGCAAACGATGTTGAATACTGGGGTGGAAAACGTAATGGCAGTAATTAGTCAAGAAGAAAACTAAAGATGAAAAGTTGTATACACTTAATTAAACACAATCATGGCAACTAAATTATAACTGTATGCAAAAATACTAAGTATTACAGACATATAATCTCCAAGGCCTTTGAGGGAAGCAAGTGTGAGCACATCCCCGAGCTCGCCTAAGAGAAACACCCCCTAATGTAACTCTCTCCTGACTCGATGAGATAACAAACAACTAGCATTATTACCATATCGGTACTTGATAACACTCATCGATGGATATCGCTATATAAGACATTTTACACCGATATGTGATTGAAATGAGCTGTACGTGCTACACAATGAAAAAGTTAACTTGCACTGGTTGCGGGTTAGCATTAGCTTTACCGCGAACTAGCGCCCGGCTAGCCCGCTAATGCTGTCAACTTCAGATTTGTTTACACCAATTATTATCAATGATGAGTTTAGTATACCCACACAAAACGTTACCAACAAAGATCTAAAACGCATATTTACAGTTTAGCATTTTAAAATTACAACCCAGCGGAGCGTTTCTACACCGGATGGTATAAAATCGCTTTAAAAAATCTCCTGGTAGCCAATTAGCAAGCTAACTTACATTTTCCGATCTGCTGCAGCGAGGCCGCATTTAAAGATATTTTAGCTTTATTCACAAAGCAGCAAAGGAACAAATGAAAGCTACAATGCTTTGATTTGAAAGATGTTAAACATAAGTCAGTTTGCTTAAAAAGTCAAGCTAAGAAGCATGCTAAAACACAAGCTTGTTGGAAGGACATTCAACCCACCTAAGACTTTAGATCTTCTCTTCCACTAGAAGCTGTTGTTAAAGAAATAAATCCCTTGAATAGTCAGGTAGAAGGTTTGAGTGTTTTATTCCTTCGAAATCATTATTTTAATTCATTCGCCTGCCCCGAATCAGCGGACAGATCATGTGCGACTTGAGCCGTTTGGTTTACCCCAAGTTGCGCTCAAGTTTAACTCAACCGTCCAGACTGTGAGGTCCTAAAGGCAGAGAGACGGATCCTTTTTTGTTCAAAGTAGAGCATTCAGCCACTAGGGGCATGGGTGATTTTCTGTAAAAAAAAAAAAAAACTTGGCAACTCTTTCATGAGGAAAAACACAAAGCTCTACTTTGCTTTTAATAAAAATGTTAACTGTATGCCCATGATAACAGTGAAAAGCATTCAGGAATCTGTGTCATCCATACACGCATTTTCCCTCATGTTTGAGGAAAATTCATTCATTTTCTTTTGGTTTAGTCCCTTTATTCATTAGGGGTCGTCACAGTGGAAGGAACCGCCACTTATCCAGCATATGTTTTACACAGTGGACGCCCTTCCAGCTGCAACCCAGTACTGAGAAACATCAATACACATCATTCACTTACATACACTATAGTTTACAATTTGGTTTATTCAATTCACCTATAGCGCATATGTTTGGACTGGGGGAAACTGGAGCCAGAGGAAACCCATCCGAACACAGGGAGAACATGCAAACTCCACACAGAAAGGCCGACTGACCCAGCCGGGATTTGAACCAGCAACCCTCCTGCTCTGGGACGACAGTGTGCACTGAGCCACCATGTCGCCCGTTTGAGGAAAGAATAGAGTTAAATATTTTTAATTGTCTGTTGTAAAAGTACAACAGGGCCTCAGTGGTCAACTTTAGTACTATCATTCACACTTCAGTGCTCATTTGGGATGTCATAAAAGTAGGCTATTCAAAATGAATTTAACCTCGTTATAAAAAAATAAAGTAATAAGTGTAAGAAATGAAAATGTAGAGACAGTGAATGTGTAAGACATCTAGCTCATTGGTTTCAAATTTTTTAGAAGTCACATTCCTCCCAAATATGATCATAATTGAGTGATGTAAAAATCCGGTAAAAGGCATCTAAATAGCTTCTAATTCATTCATACATTTTCTTCGACTTTATTAATCAAGGGTCAACACAGCGGATGCCCTTCCAGCTAAAACCCAGTTCCGGGAAACACCCATACACACTCACACACACATCCATTCATTTTCTTTTCAGCTCAGTCCCTTTAATAATGTGGGGTCGCCACAGCAGAATGAAATGCCAACTTATCCAGTATATGTTTTACAAGGCGGATGCCCTTCCAGCTGCAACCCATCACTGGGAAACATCCTACGCACTCATTCACTCGCATACACTACAAACAATAGGTTTCCCAATTCACCCATACCATGTTTTTGGACTTGTTGGGAAAGCTAGAGCACCTGGAGGAAATCCACATGAACACGATGAGAACATGCAAACTCCACACAGAAATATTAACAGACCCAGCCGGGACTCGAGCCATTAACCTTCTTGCAGAGAGGTAACAGTGCTAACCACTAAGCCAACATGTCATCCCATAGTTTCTAATATAAAGAAGCAGTTTTTACTGTAAAGTCTTTGTTCCTGCTGTTACATTATTACATTCTTTCTGGTCATTATAGTATTTTTTTACTGTAACTAGATTACTTAACTACATATAAACTTAAATGTATTTATTTACTTATCAATTATTATAATTACATTATCTATCTATCTATCTATCTATCTATCTATCTATCTATCTATCTATCTATCTATCTATCTATCTATCTATCTATCTATCTATCTATCTATCTATCTATCTATCTATCATCTATCTATCTATCTATCTATCTATCTATCTATCTATCTATCTATCTATCTATCTATCTATCTATCTATCTATCTATCTATCTATCTATCTAAGCTTTTCACTCTTCATAGGCATAGCACACGTGCTGCTGCACATGATGTTACAATAAAAGTGATTTGATTTGATTAAATTCAATTAATAGACATTTGTCCAACGCTATTCTTATATTTATTTTAAGCCCTTTGTTGTATAATATATTCATTTGAATCTTATTTAATAATTGTTGGATTACTGCATGTTAAGATGTTTGAGTTTGATGAATGAGTCATTTTATGGGAAGAAGAGAGGTATGTAATATTTAGCTTTTAATATTTTTTTTACTATTATTATTACATATATATTTGTTTATTGAAGTGTCAGGAACAACACATTTAGCTTTCAAAGCTGTTAACTTGTTTGTGTTTCAAAATATCCTCCTTTTTTAAGTGTCCACTTTAGTGGACACCAGGCATATGATTGATAATGACTGCATGTTGTAGAAGGGAGAACTGAAGCAGAGAGGATTCTTTAAAAAATAGTTGAGGTAGACTCTGACATAGTGTCTGACAATCAGACAATTAGAGAATTAGAGACAAATAGAGAATGACGATAATTTTTAAATTGCTTTTATTTTAAATTGTTTTGGATCATCACTTTTCATCACATCACTTTTTTTATTTTGGCTCTTTTTCAGACTAAACTGTTTGAGGTATTTCGATACAAAAGGGAAAAATGTCTCTCTCTCTCTCTCTCTCTCTCTCTCTCTCTCTCTCTCTCTCTCTCTCTCTCTCTATATATATATATATATATATATATATATATATATATATATATAATGATATAATGTATACATTTCAAATTATATATGTTTTTTGTCCTTATATTTTCACGAATCCCCTAGCTCACCAGAAAATCTTTAAGATCAGTGTAATCTATGAATGTAACCTCTGGATCCAGTGAAAATGTTTAACAACGCCTCAGAATTTTTGCAGGCGTTGGATATTTTTGAAAGGGTACTTTTATCTAACAAATATTAACTTCCGGCGTTGCTAGGCTCCCCCCGGAATTAGCCGTTTGTTTACACATGTCTCTTATGGTTTCAGGAGCATCTAAGAAGCTGTCGTGAGGAAAATGCGTTTGTTTTATAAAAGCAGTTTCACTCCATCAATAAATTGAATACTATGTGTTAATAACGTGCATGTAAGTTACTAGTAAGTTAGCGCGAATCTCGAAGCTAACGGTAGTCTCACCTCCACGTTTGGTGAGTCACTTTGAGATCAAGATGAACTGTCTTTTGTTCAACTTTAGTTGACTGTAATCAAAGCCGAACTCGAACACTATCACGTTGTAAAATGTTGTCGATTTACGCTTGTGTTATTGATGCAGGTTAAGAAGTCAGACTATCTACTTCAAAATGCCCCTCTTTGGCAATATTTTCAGTCCCAAGAAAACCCCACCTCGAAAGTCTGCATCGCTTTCCAATCTACATACAGTAAGTACACGTTTCTGTTAATTAAACCAATAACGTTATCCCTATAAAAAATTGACCATGTTTTAACCGCAAAAAAGGGGAAAAAAACTGTGGTTGTTGTAGGAAACAATAGTACAGTGCTTACATCCCATTTTGAAATTGAAAAAAAATAAATAAATTTCTCCGTGAATATGAGCAATATATATATTGAGGCATTTTAACAAAACAAATTTATCAAACAGATATATTTATTCAAATTATATTTAAGTCACAGAACATCTTTAAAAATGTAAAGATAATACAATAATCTCATGAAAAAATTCAAACTACATTTCAACAAAATATATATGTAAATATTGTATGTATATATAAATATGTATATTTTTTTTGTTTCTCTTGATTTTTTCAATTTTTTTGCTATTTTTATTATTTCTATATTTTCCCCTAACATATAAATTTGTACTACTAATTTTTGAACATCCTATAGAAATATCAATTTAAATGAAAGATTTGTGGGGAGTATAGTCATAAATTGCTGAGTACTGTAACCACAAACTCACTTAACGTTAGCATTATCCATACAGTATCCTATACTAAAATTTCAGATAATCATCATATATCATTGTATCATATAATGACTGAAATAAAAAATTTGTATCCATTGTATGTTCTTTTGAAAGTTGGATCGGTCGACCCGTGAGATTGAATTGGGTCTGGAATATGGATCTCCTGTGATGAACATTGGTGGTCAGAGCCTCAAATTCGAAGACGGACAGTGGATTTCAGGTATGGCCTTGCATGCTGCAACAGTACCCCCAATACATATAATGACAATTAGCCGTAATAAATAAATTTGTCAACACCTCAGAATCAGGTGGAAATGTGTCAGGAAAAGAAGTTCAGCGACTGAAGAAGAGGAATCTACAGTTAGAGGAGGAGAATAATCTGCTCAGGCTGAAGATTGAAGTTCTTCTTGATATGGTGAGAGTTAAAGGATTCTCATTTCAAAAGCTGCCACATCTTGAAAACATAACAATATTCTTTATAATTATGTGGTGTCAAATTTGATGGATTGTTATTCATCCTTTCTAGCTTTCAGAATCGACAGCAGAAACACATCTAGTACAGAAGGAGCTTGAAGATATGAAGAGCAGTTCTAGGAGAAAGAAATAAAGGGAGGACACCTTTTATATTACTTTGTATATTTAGCTTTTTTACATTTCATTTGATATTTTTATTGGCAATTATGTTAGGAGTCAATGAAGAAAAGTTTTTTAAGGATATGCATAACCGGTCAAAAGTTTGGGGTCAGTTTTAAATTGTTGAATATTTATTACATTTGAAATAACTGCTTTCTTATTGTATGAAGTTTTAAATGAAATCTATACTCCAGTGATTATTGCTTTTATTACTATTACCATTAATAATAATATTATTAATAACAACAATAATAAGTAATGTCTGAAGGATCATGTGACTCTGAAGACCGGAGTAATAAAGCTGAAAATTCATCATTAAATCACTGGAATAAATAATTAAATAAAAATATAAACTACTTTTGGACACTTATTTTATAGTGCAATAACATTTCACAATTTTACAAATTGTACTGTACTGTTGATAAAATAAATGCACCCTTGCTGAGCAAGAGAAGCTTATTTTAAAACATTTAAAAACCTGACCGACCTCAAACTTTTGACCAATAGTGTATAAAATTTGTTTAGATTTTTTTTATATTACCTTAAAAGGTGCTCCATTTCAAAAAGAATCTTTGTTTTTTTTTACATTCATACCAAAAATCATAAACACAATAGTGCAAAATTGATTTATAAATACAGGACAATCTTGTCCAGCGTATTTACAACTAGAATCATCATTATGCAAAATCAAAATACTTTTTAAACATACCAGTGCTGCCCCAAAATACGAATTATATTTAATTGAAATCTTTTTTACTTTGTAGCTATATTCGTCAAGCCATTACCTATTATTAAAAAGAAACATTTCATCATTTAAAATATAATAATATGCTCAATCACGTCTGTTCTTTTATATATTTTAATAACTACAGGTCTGAATAAGTATGCTTTCCATATTTCCATATTCCATATTTTGACGCTTTGTTCTCACAAATATTGATAAATATTTATAAATATTATTTTATAAATATTTAAAACATTAAAGTAATTTGCTTGCATTTATATGCTTTCTATGAACATAAAATCGCTTAAGTGAATTTAATTTGATGACACTCAAATGTCTTTGACTCATAAATAATAAAAACTAGGTTCATATAAAGGCATCTTTATGCATACTTTTTTTTTTTCATTAAAAGTTGTTTGTATTGTGTTTTAAAGTGACTCCCCCCAAAGCTAAATCTTTCATAAAACATGCTGCTGATTTCAATCAAATGATTTCAGATCACATAAAAAGCTGAAATTCTCACTCTTTGTGTTTGAATACAATAACCTGTAACTCTCCATGTGTAGTTCTGAACGTGTATTCAAATCACAGAAAAACAAATACACTCTTTCTTCGGTTTCACAAGATTATCCAAAAGCTGTAAAGGTTTAAACATGTACATGCTGATTTAAGAGGATTTTCATATGGAGTGTGAAGCACGTACTACATGCCTAATGTTATGTAACACTACTCATGTTTTTTCTTTCTTCATTTTTAAAACAATTAAAAGAATATCTGAATAAATGTTGTACTGAATTTATTCTCTAGTGTCATTTTAAAAAATAAAACACAATGTTTTTCTACACACACTCACAGAAGGACTTATTTAACCTCATTTAATTTTCACTAAAGCACAAAGCTGCTTAAATCTTTGTAATGACTCTGTGTTGTTTTTAGATTGAAAATACACTGGGCAAATGACTGTATTAATGTTCGAAAAACAGCCAAACAAGAGTTCAAATTAAACAAATAATTCCACTGTCCGGTAATTTTACCTCATTTCCCATGAGTAAGAGCCTTGTCGGGCATTACAGCTAATTAGTAGGAAGTTTGGGAAAAAGAAGGCGGTGCACCAGAAGGTTTATTTAGCAGATTATTCTTAAAAGTAATTCATATGTATGTGGCTCGCTTGATGACACAAGACTTGTTTATCTATATTAAATCCATGATGTTTATTAATGGGTTTACAACTACTTGAAGAGATTTTGAGAGATATATAAGGTAAGACTTTTTACTTGTATTCTGAGTTGCTTAAAAACAGTCTAATAATCGTTCACAAGCTTTGTTTTATCCATGTTTGGATTTTTAATCTTCCAGGGTTAGGGATTATTTTAATAATTGCCATATGCAGATTTTACATTTAAAGTCTGTTAAATCACACAAAACATTTTAATTTCAAAATATGATTCTGTGAAACAGTCATTCATTTGCTTTTCGGCTTAATCCCTTTATTAATCCGGGGTCGCCACAGAGGAATGAACTGCCAACATATCCAGCACATGTTTTACGCAGCGGATGCCTTTCCAGCCACAACCCATCTCTGGGAAACACCCATACACACACACTCACTCACTCACACTCATACACTACAGACAATTTAGCAAACCCAATTCACCTGTACCGCATGTCATTGATTTGTGGGGGAAACCGGAGGGAGGGCAAACGAAGGGAGAACATGCAAACTCCTCACACAAACACTAACCGACCCAGTTGAGACTTGAACCAGCAACCTTCTTGCTGTGAGGCGACAGCACTACCTACTGCGCCACTGGGTTGCCTCTGTGAAACACAGTAAAAATAATGATGACTTTTATGTTAGATCATCGAACCATTTTAAAGTAGCAGACAATTACAATAACGTTCAAAAGGTAAACATGCCATTTTAAAAGTTTGCAAGGATATTGATAAAAGTGTAATCCTTTAATATTTGCTTTCTTTTATACATTTCAGTAAGGTCAGGATAGATATTTTTTACTTTTCTCCATAAACATATTGTAAGCTAAAAGACAATGGAACATTATTTCACCCACATTTTGTTTTCACAAAAGTTAAACAAAACATAATTTTACTTAAATGAAGATGTGTTTTATGTATAAAGTCAGTTTTATAAAGTTAATTTGAGGTGAATGCCAAAATGCTACATCTCTGACACCTTTGTGTTGCTTAGGGCACTGTTTTCCAACCCTGTTCCTGAAGGCACACCAACAATATATATTTTAGATGTCTCCCTTATCTGACCCGTTAAGTTCAGGTTTTAGAGTCTCTTTTAATTTTCTGATGATCTTCTGATGAGTTGATTCAGGTGTATTTGATTAGGGAGAGGTTGTAAAATGTGTACTGTTCGTGTGTATTCAGGAACAAGGGTGGAAAATACTGGCTTAGAGATGCCAAGAAGTTTGATTCTGATTTGACCTTGTTAGTGAACTATTTCTTGGTAAACAGATAGTAGGACTAAACATGTGTTCTTAAAATGTCAGTAATAGTAACTTTTTAAAATCTTTATTAAATTCATTTGAGCACAAGAAATACTCCTATTTTTTCACCAAATAATAATGTACAAAAGAAAACAAAAGCATTTTCTAAACCTGTTAAAACTATTCTTTAGTGCTAAAAAGCAAAAAAATAAAAATAAAATAATAATAATATATTATTTTTTATAATCATTATACAAATCATTTTACACCATTAAATATATATTAAATTGAGCATGAGATGTATTTTCTCTACTTGCAAAAATCATACAAACAAAAATGAGTGGTTTAACCAGAAAGTGAGGACTCATTCAGTTCAATTAATTCAGTCAATAACTTTACCGTGAATGTAGATTGAGATGCTTGCTGATCTATACTATATATAAATCATGAGTGTCATAAGTAGAAATATGACTGTACTTCCTGTGGGTAAATAGAAACGTGGCTTGTGTTCATAAAACTTCCTCTGTAATGTGGCACAGGTGCAAGAACAGCAGCACATGTTCCGTAGTGCATCAACTATATAGAAACGGTTTACATCTTTATACTTAAAAGATTTCTAGATTCTAATCTGTAATCTAAACTAATACTGAAGCGTTTTTGTGTCTCTTTTGGAAGTCTGAGCAGCTATGGGAGGTATTGTAGAAGATCGAGAGACGGCAGGTGCCCCAGATGGCGGATGGGGCTGGGTTGTTCTTTTAGGAGGTTTTGTCATCACTGGCTTCTCATATGCCTTCCCAAAAGCTATAAGTGTTTATTTCAAAGAACTGATGCATGACTTTGGCTGTGGATATAAAGACACAGCCTGGATTTCATCAATAATATTGGCTATGCTCTACGGTTCAGGTAAGATAATGTAAATTTATTGTTTTCATATGTCAGAAGTCTTCTGACAATTTCTAATGGTATATTCATATATTGGATTTAACTCAGGTCCCATTTCCAGCATCATGGTCAATAAATTTGGATGCCGTCCAGTCATGTTGGTTGGAGGATTATTGGCCTCACTTGGGATGATAAGTGCATCTTTTGCTACCAGCATTATCCATCTTTACATCACTGCGGGTGTCATCACAGGTAACTTAAAGATATTTATTATTTGATTATCAGTTCCAGGTCTCAAACTGATTGTTGAGTCTTTGTATTTCAATAACATAACGTATTACTGTCTAGTAAGTCAATGAATTGTTCATTTAGCCAGTTTGTTTATATGCTCAGCTCAAAATAATTGTTTAATTTCTGTATAAATGTGTGAATGACAATAAAACACTGTTACAACCTTTTTTGGGTATAGTATTTGAAACAGGTTCTTAAATTTAATGGGTTTAATAATAAATAAGTAATTTTATTTTGCACTCATGGGCCATTTTATTAGGTACACCCTACTAGTACCAGGTTAAACCCCCTTTGCTTTCAGAAATGCCTTAATTCTTTGTGGCATAGATTCAACAAGGTACCGGAAATATTCCTCAGAGAGTTTGGTCCGTATTTACATGATAGCGTCATGCAGTTGCTGCAGATTTGTCAGCTGTACATACATGATCCCAATCTCCCGTTCCATCACATCATTTTTCCAATCTTCTATTCCCCAATTTTGATGAGCCTGTGTGAATTGTAGCCTCAGTTTCCTGTTCTTAGCTGGCCATTCTCCTCTGACCTCTGGCATCAACAAGGCATTTGCGTCCCAGAACTACCACTCACTGGATATTTTCCCTTTTTTGGACCATTCACTGTAAACCCTAGAGATGGTTCTGGGTGAAAATCCCAGTAGTGCAGCAGTTTCTGAAATACTCAGACCAGCCCATCTGGCACCAGCAACCTTGCCACATTCAAAGTCACTTTTATCACCTTTCCCATTCTGATGCTCTGTTTGAAGCACAGGAGATTGTCTTGATCATTTCTACATGCCTAAATGCATTGAGACTGAGAATGATTATGCGCTGAAGGGTCCTCATCCTGTTCTTAAGGACTGATATTTTATTCCATCTAATTTCTTAAGCAAAGATGCTGATGCCAAATTGTACTTCATACTCATTACATACTACTGGCATTGTGCAGTATACTGTATTCAATGACTGTGGACTTGTTTCCAAACATTTCCATGCCTTTTGTCTGTTATTTTCTTTATGTGTGCGTAATTTCCATCCATACTCTAAGCATTGACCACCTTCTTAGTCTATCTCAAGCCTAGGCAAATAACTGAGTATCTGATCTGGCCTCATCAATCTGAGGCCACATTTTAATGATGCCATCATGTACTGTAAACTTCTTACAAAGTATTTACAGTATTTTAAAATAGAAAAATACAAGACAGTATTTTGATACAAAATATTCAGCGGTTTTTATGAACCCTTTTAAAATATAATTACAAAATGCTATTTTAGATTTAAAAATACGCACTTGAAATACATGTATCTTAAATAATGCCCATCCCTGAATGTAATATTTCTCATCTGACAGCATGACATGTAACCATATTAAAAAGAGATGAAGGTGTGCTAACAATTATGGTAAAGACTGCAGCCTCTAAAATCAATTGCTTATGCTCATTTTAAGCCAGAGGAGTTAGCTTAACCTGCACTTATAATAACTGACTTCTATTACACTCATTCCACTGAAGCTTACTCCCATTCAGTTCATGGCACCAATAACACTTCACATCTGACAACATGAGAGGCAAGCATGTTAAAAAGGGAGGAGGGTGCTCTAACAAGAATCAGGATGCTAAAAGACTTCAGTTTTTAATGCACCTCTTGAGGCTGGATGAATGAGGTTTAAAAGGCTCCTGACCTTGCGGATCACTAGACCAATATAATACTTTTTATCTGACAGGATGGGAGGCAAGCATTTTAACAAGAATGCTAAATACTGCAGTCAGTGGTGTCATGAGATAGTGTGCCTCTTGAGGTTTACTTGTATAGCTCTTACTAGCTTGTCCCCATCACCTCATCATAGGTCTGCTCAATTATGGAAAATCATAATCGCAATGATTTAAACTGATTATGAGCTTGTCATATGATCAAAAAGTTGTTTTGATTCATATTTAGTTTTTTCCCCTGTAAATACACTTCAAATATCATGAAATTTCACAATTCCCAATGCCAACGAAAAAAGTTAAATACCAAAATAGTAAAAAAAAAAAAAAAGTCCTCAAAATGATAGAATAAAATATACAAATAGAACAAACTGTGCTTTAAGCATCCTTGCTGTAAGAATTAAACTTGATCTGTTTTATTTATTAAAGCTACAAAAGCAGTGATTGATTTTGTCTTTGTCCTTGTGTAGTTTGATTAATCATAATAAGCACAGTTGCTGTCACTTTAAGACCATGGTTCCAATTTAGGCTACACGTGCCTTTTTGTTGTCAACTTTTTATATTCATTTATCACATAACAAACAGAATTTATGTGAATAATCACTAAGAATAACCACTTTCGATACACTTGAATGTATTTGACCATTTAGACACACACCTTAAGCTCAAATATGACTTTACATGTGTGTGTTCTGCTCATTTCTGAGGCTGAGAGCATGTACACACTGCATTGTGTCTGACATTGTATCGCTGAGTGATGCAATCTCAGCTTGCATCATAAAGGCTGCATCCAGATAAAATTGGCTCTTTGTGCTATTAAAAACATGAATGCATCAAATACACTTTTACAAAAATCAAGCACGTCCCATGATGCAAAAGTCACATTAAATGATACAAGAAAGGGTGTGGGATATAATGCAATAATCATTTTATCTCGATTAATGTTTTTTCATAATCATTGTGAGTCCAAAATCTAGATTGAAAGTCATGTCATTGCACATCCTTACCTCATTAAGTTGTCGATGTCAGTGTCTTTGCTTCTGTTTTTTTTTTAAATAATGTGTCTCTTTAAAGGTCTTGGACTGGCATTGAACTTCCAACCATCACTGATTATGCTGGGGGCTTATTTTGACAAGCGCAGACCACTTGCCAATGGACTGGCGGCAGCTGGAAGCCCCGTATTTCTGTCAGCCCTGTCTCCGCTAGGACAATTACTGCTCGATCAGTATGGATGGAGAGGAGGCTTTCTCATTACCGGTGGTCTTCTGCTCAACTGCTGCACATGTGGTGCTGTTATGAGACCCCTGAAACTTAAAGAAAGGAAAGCCTGTAATCAAGAGCTGAAGGAAATGCTGCCTCCTGAGGCTGGACAGGAGAATATAGTTTGTGAAAACAATAACGATAAACAGCCCAGTAAAAAGAAGCTTCTGGACTTCAGCGTACTTCGTGACAAAGGGCTTATTATCTATATTATTGCAAAATTTATAGTTGTTCTTGGTTTATTTGTTCCGACTATTCTCTTAGTCAACTATGCTAAGGACCAAGGAGTGCCTGATAAGGAGGCTGCCTTTTTGTTGTCTATTATTGGATTTATTGACATCTTTGCTCGTCCTACTTGTGGCGTTGTGGCTGGTTTAAAATGGGTGCGACCCAAGATGTCATATTTCTTCAGCCTGGCCTTGCTCTTCAATGGCCTGACAGATGTGTGTTCAGCTACGAGCACAGACTACAAGGGGCTGATTATCTTTTGTGTGTTTTTCGGCCTGTCTTATGGCATGGTGGGAGCTCTACAATTTGAAGTGCTAATGGGTATTGTGGGAACAAGCAAGTTTTCTAGTGCACTAGGCCTAGTGCTCCTCTTTGAGGCAGTGGCTGTGCTGATTGGACCTCCCTCTGCTGGTGAGTCATGACAAAAACAGGCATCAGAGTGAACCGTGTGTTAGGAAATGGTAGTTTTATCATAATTTGATCAATCTTTTGTTCTTTTTTTTCCCCAACAGGCTATTTGGTGGATAAATACAAGAACTATGAACTGATTTTTTACATGGCTGGCGGAGAGCTGATCACTGCTGGAATATTTCTGGCCCTTGCTTCATTCTGCTGTATTAGCCAAAAGAAACGCAAAGACTCGCCACAAACACAGCAGACAGATGTGGAAGTCAATCCTGAAAGATAAACAGTAGAGAGATGTTTTTGTTTTTGCAGTGGGACATTTTGTTTAGCTATTTATGTTATTGTAATGATTGTCTTGTTACATGAGCGTATTTAGATTTTCTAATTCCTGCATATTAATTTGTATTATTTCACAAATCAGTGAGAACATATTTGATTATGGTTCAACGAATAAAATGTCTAAGGTAATAAAATGAAAAGCAAGAGTGCCATGTTATTAGAAACGTTATTTTATATTTATGTTGCTTTGATATTCTGTATGTATGTAATGTAATATAAATACTTTAACATGGCCTAACAGTTAGGCCCTGTTAGATTATGTGTTGCTATGTATATATATATATTGTGGGCGGAGTAATACACAAAGGGTAAAGAGGCTGTAGGAGTTCTGATATTGCAAAATACAGAACCAGACAGAACTGTTGTATATATATATATATATATATATATATATATATATATATATATATATATATATATATATATATACAAGAAAATAAATTAATATTTACAATGATTCTTTTATAATCATCTAGATGCATGTGCGTGTGTGTTTGTAAGCGTATCACTGATGTTTTCTATACAAAGCTATACAATATTATATTTGTGCTTATACATTAGATTAGTCAGTACTGAAGCCAAATCTGGAGCTTATCTAACAAAATAACTTACAATAACTAAACAGTAAAAAGTAATACACCCAAAGTTATGTTATAGAAAAATATTAAATACAAAAAAATTTGCTATATTTTGTTTGAATTTAATTGTTTTATCTTTCAATTGCTAAATATGTTTGGTGACTAAAATAAATATATATGTTTATTAAAATATTGTTTAGTTGTTTAAATGCACTAAAATACATTGCTTATATTCACTGAGAAATGGATAAAAATATTCATTTTCAAAATGGGGTGTACTCAAATATGCACTGTATATAATCAATTGTCGTTACTGATTTTTATTACATAAAACTACGCAGATAGTTCGTTTCTACCATTATAAAGATGAAGAACTAAAGTAATACAAAAAAGTAAGGAAATAGTCCAAGAAAACAATATTGCACATATTATGTTACCTGGATATAAATCACACATCCGTTCATCATGTATGTAAAAAATCAGCATGTAGTCATTGAATATAATGGTAGGCTATATAAATAATACTTTATACAATACTTTATATAAAATAAATTCAATACAATACACGATTTTTTCCACTTTATTAATTCAATGCCACAAAAACAACAGGTATTACATATTCAAATATAATTCACGAATTTGCAAAAACAGCTCTGACGTAGAAAGCGTCTTAAATTTTTATTGGCCAGTCCAGCAGTCAATCATCAAGAGCAAATTCGGCTGACGTCACTCAGGAAGCGGCAAATAGTGCTTTCACAGTCAGGTTTTGCGTCGGCGAGGTTTAGTCACATTTACTTTAAAACAGCCCATTTTTAGATAATTTGACATAATATAATAAAGTTAATCAATCCTTACGGGTATATGCAATTGTAGGAGCGGAAGTAATATTTTTCCTTTCAGTATTTTCATCGCCACAGACTGTTTGCACAATGCCGAGAGGAGGTGAGTGTCGTTTGGCTGCGTGGTCGCTAAATTGTCTTTTCCAGCTCACCGACAGAGCCAGGGTTTTAATAAAAGAACTTACGAAACGATTGTATGAGATTAAAGGTGAATTTAAGGACACGGTTAGTGTTTACAGCGTCTCCATAATGTGTAAATCACAGTGTAAAAAGCAAGTATGCTAAACTCAGGCCATGCTGGAGCAGAGCAGCCACATGTGATTATCTGATAGTTTCAACGACTAACGTTACCGTTGTTCTTGCACAACATAATGGTGGTATAAAATAACCGTATTTGCTGAGTTAAGTGTATTCGGGGTTTAAGGTATTGCTCACTTTGCTTATTCTTAGGTAAAAAGGGCCACAAGGGCCGTGGAAAGCAGTTCAGCAACCCCGAGGAGATTGACCGTCAGATGAGAGCTCAAAAGGAGTTGGTGAGTTTAATGATGTTCAACAATCGTCATTTACAGTTAGTTGTTAAATGACTGTGATGTTTGCCCAGCATCAGTGTGTTTGATGGAAACTGATTCCTCTGGATGCAGGAGGAGAATGGAGGAGCTGAACGTGGAAGTTCTTCAGAATCAGAAGAGGAGACCAGCAGTGATGATGAAGTGAGTCACTTTAAGTAGTTAAGTCTGGTAAACTAATATAGTAAATGGAGCCTCTGACATTTTCTTTTATGAACACATCAACTTTTGGTTTTCTTTGAAATACAAATAAAGATGTTTTATGAACCCTAAGAAAAACAAACTAGCAGCTGAAGTTTCAATTGTTCACATTGTTCATTTTCTCTGTTAAGTTTTTGGAAGAGCCACTCTCTTTTTAAAGTTATTTGAGTTTTCAAAAGAAAATGCATAAATAATTTACGTAATCTCATTGTATTAAATTTTAAAGTTACGATTCAAGAAAAATACAGGCATATTGGTGAAATATACTGGAAATTTTCTTCATTTACTATAAATTAGGAAAAAAGTATTCAGTCTGTGTTCTTTATGAAAACAATCACTGCATCAATCCGTTATTTAACTGTGACTTTAATTTAAAAAAAAAAATTTAATTACTTTTTTTACTAGCTACCAAAAGAATAAATTACAAAAAAAAGTTTCTTGTCTTTATAATTCCATCCATCTAAATTTATATTAACTAAATATAAAGATTCACAAGTAAGAGCCATCTCTACTTCAAACATGTTGTCTAAATGTATTTTAATTTCCAGTATTTGGTTAATTTCTGACAATCCTAAAAAACATGATAGTGATTAGCTTCTGTTTCCCCACACATTTCTTCTGCAACTTGTGGCTTTTCCTCTGTGTATTTTCTGTGATGGTGTGATGAAAAACTTTAGATCGTTTCCCCAACAGAATTCTTTCCATTTAAGTTTTACAAATATTCCCCCAATCCTCATTTCCTTCTCATATTTTGTTTATTATAGGTTTTATTGGAACTACATACCAACTAATTCTCAGAGTTTTAGTTTAGTAGACTGTAAGCAAAGTTTCTTGTAGTTAATTAATTGTCTGCTGGTAGTGCAGTATCTGTGGACGTCTACTTTTGAGAATTAGTTGGCATGTAGTTCAAATGTAACTTGACATTGACAGTGTTCAATAAGGACCATCATAGCAATGGGATACCACCAGTATTTCCAGTTAAATGAAATCATGAAACTTCTATTTAACAACAAGATATTAAGAAAACAAAACATAAAACCTGATTTACTTCTGATTTACTTTATTCATAAACTATTTTATTTAGTGATTGCTAAAAGAAACTTTGTGTGAAGCTCAGGTGATTTCTCATCTGCTGTATGGAAAAAACCTATCGCAAGGTTAATTACCTTACTATACAATATGACATGCATTACACTTGCTGTTGTCACTTGATTCTTGTTCATCTTTTTTTGTGACTACACAAAATTTATATATATAACTTGTGAACTATGGCTATAAAAATATGCAAGTGTATTTGTTAAACAACTTCACTAATTTGTATTCTTGTAAGAATCAGTCTAGAACATGTTAAGTTTGTATTGCTTTGAGAAGTTCATGCTATTTATACATTTCTGTCACAATTTCATCAATACGCGGATCCAGTAATGATAGATCCTACATTTTATAGCAAATTATACCATGATTATTTTTTTTCTAATATTGTCAAACTGTTTATATTAGGTTATGATTGTGCTGTGGAGGCTGTTCCTGATTTCTTTTTTTTATGTAATGATGTGATTTTATTTATATATTAATATATTTTTTATCTTTCTCTTTTGAAGCAACCTAAAAGGAAAGGTGTTGAAGGATTAATTGAAATTGAGAATCCCAATAGAGTTTCCCAGAAGAGCAAGAAGGTTGTGGAAATTGATGTCAATGCACCTAAAGAGCTATCGCGACGAGAAAGGTATGCGAGATGGCATATACTTAACCTCAAAGCAATGAAATGAAAGGGTTATTTGACTGTATGTGTTTCCCTTCGAAGGGAGGAGATTGAAAAGCAGAAGGCTAAAGAACGATACATGAAGCTGCATCTCGAGGGGAAGACGGAGCAGGCCAGGGCAGACCTTGCCAGGCTGGCCATTATTAAAAAGCAGAGAGAGGATGCAGCGAAGAAGAGAGAAGAGCTGAGGAAAGGTGAGCTGGGCTTCTGATGAGGGCGCGATCAATAACAACCTGTATATTGGATCAAATCAGTTTACATTTTCTCTAGCTGTTTGTACATTTAAAATGTGCTCAAGTATGTCAGGGAGGCAAATCTGTAATTTTAACTTTGGTATTTTTTGTTCTCATGCAGTATTGCCATAATAATCCCCTCCACACTTACACAAAACTACTAAAAACCAAGCATATATAATTAAAGGTGTAACTGTGTAAAACACTACGCACATGCACGCATTATGGCCCTGTAGTTTGCAGATTACATTATTGTTTTCTTTTTGTTAGATTTTCGCACACGTCTAATCTCTGAACACTTGATGTGTATCTGCAGGATGTCAAGGTTTCACAAAATTGCTTTTCTTATTGTTTGAGATTGTGCGGTGTGCTTTTTAAAAGGTGAACCTGTCTTTAATCTTTTTCAGAAAAAGAAGCAGAAGAGGCGAAGTCGAAACGCTAACCTGTGCATCATCACACCAGACGGGGGCTTTTCTGGGGAGGGAGGGCGGAAGGGAAGGAAGGGGGCTAGATATTTAGAGAAAACAGCTCAGGGGTATCCATACATGTCATCCTCCCTCCATCCATTCATCTAATGCTGGAGGGAGATTTTGACATTTATAGGAAGTTAGATGGGAGGCGGTGTATGGTGTTGGAGTTTGGAGTAGTCATTTTCAGTACCACCAAACTTCACACACCTTATTCCCTTCCTTGACACATTCACTGTGCTCAGACTCTAAAGCTGCTGAAGTTTACTCTAAATGTCTACACTTCTATGATGTTTTCACCATTTCATTAGATTGGGAGGTTATGGAAGATTGAGGTGTGGGGTTGCAGGTGTTGCTCACTTCAGCTGTTGTGTTCTGACGGGGACAGATGAAGCAGGTTGTAGACTAGAACAGTCAAACACTAAACAGACATTCAGTGTTTTTATGTAAAGAATGACATCAATACTGGTACTGTCTTCAGTTTCGTCCACCTTTGTGGCCTCATTCTGTTTAAGTGCAAAACAAAGCAGATGTTGTCATTTCAAGGGTATTGGTAGGGTGTTGCTTGAAATCAGGACGTGCATGGACTTAATGCTGCAGCTTTTCAATACTGAAAGACAATATAATGCAATTTAATTTTGGAACAAAGTATCGCTTTCATCAGGACAGTATTAAAGGAGCTGCTTCAGCACAGCTGACAGACTAAGCGGTTGAATTTCTCCGCAACACCTCAGGATAGAGTATTCACTGTATCATCTTCTATAATGCCCCTTTACTCAGGGGTTTTATACTTCTCTTCAAGTGGGACCATTGTTTTGGCACAACCAGACACTGATGTGTCCTCAAACTATTTAGAAGTGTTTTATGCTTTAGCCCAATTCTGGGACCGGACATGCCTTGACTGTTTAAGGAAAGCAATATTGTATTGATGCTGATGGTGCAACCTTTTTTTTCCAGTTCTTAAACACAACTATTTGCATAATGTTTTAACGTTTGTAAAGCATTCATCAGTACTGAAATATTTACATGGGATATTGATCAATCAATAAAGTTCCTTATTTGAAACTTGTATAAAAAATAAATAAATTGGTAAATGAATAAAATTGTTTCGCTTTTGTGAGTCAATTACTTTGAGTTTGTTTTTAAGGAATGTTATTTTTTTGGGAAGCTTTGTTTTAGTAAAACTACATTTGATGCAGAGGTCATATTTAGTTTTTTTAGTATTACCATGGCCACCCCTGTGTAAGCTCTGCCCACCCCAATATGATCTAGCTGTTGATAATATTAATTAAAATGTACTTGCATAAAATCACAATATTTTAATAAATAAAATGCAGCCACTAAATTATTGTGGATTGATTGGTGCCACTGACGTAGCTGATTCACTGCCCTCTCCGGTTGTCGTTGACAGCAGTGGCAATTTAATATTTACCTTAAGGTCCATCAATCGAAGAAGCTGTATCAACAATATTGTGGCTCAAATAGGGATAAATGATATTATGTGAGTCTGTATAGTGAGTGTATGTGTGTATACAGTAATGCCTTTTTTTCATTTGTTTTATTAATCTTCATTAATTTTAGACTTGGCATATACTGTATGTTGTACAAAAAGTATATGAAAAATAACTGAAAAGTTTTATATATTTTGTATTTTATTGAATATGAATTTATTTGTTTTTTTAGGAATAAATTGCAATATTTCAGAAGTAATTAATTAAATTTGTTAAAACCACATTATTTCACTTACCAGAAACAAAAATAAAACATTACCGTATGTGTGTGTGTGTGTGTGTGTGTGTGTGTGTGTGTGTGTGTGTGTGTGTGTGTGTGTGTGTGTGTGTGTGTTTGTGTGCGCGCGCCACTTCAAGATTTGGTGTGGCCTCTAGCCATCCCTAAAAAATTGTTTTGGGGGGCGCCACTGCGAAGGCTGCGTACATCTGAAACCGCGAACACAGTGTCACGTGACACCACTGCTTGTCAACGCGGATGTGTAAGGACGCTTGTGGTACAGTCTTTTGCCTTTTCAGTGTGTATTGTAACTAAGCAATTAGTTTATAAGATTTATGTATTATATTATTATTAAAAAACGAAAGAATAGCACCTTAAGGTAAATATGTGACAGACCCGTATTAATATTTGTCTGAATCAAAAACTTTATTCTGTTTGAGTTTGTTGCAAACATGACCAGTGTAGCCATTCACTGACCCAGTAAGCAAAGATTACACACTTATTGTTGTATATTAACTTATACTTATGTTGTTGTAAACAATTTTTTTGCATAACAATAACAATAACATACAAAAAATGAGGAACACAATCTTTACATTTTTTACATCAAAGGAACAAATCAGTAGAGAAAAAATTACAGTGGATATAAAAATTACAAAAAAAAAAAAAAAAAAACTATAAGAAAAGCATTCCAAAATTGCATTGTTTTTTAAAACATGAATATTAGGCTTATCCATTACTATTTTTGTTTGTGTACATGGTACTTTCCATATATTATAATGAAATTATTAAACAATTTTTATTGTTTTCAATTGTTATTATTGTTATAAATGAACATAATATCTTGACAAGAAAACTGAATTTTTAATTTTGTAAGTTTAAATACAAGATATTTAACATTAAACCAAAACATTTGGGTATATGTGCATTCAAAAAATAGATGTTTAATTGATTCCTCCTCTAATTCAAAAAAAGTGCACGTACTAGATTACATGCCTGTAAACAACTTTTAACCACTTCTTTCACTGGATAAATTAAATGTATGAGTTTATATGTCACTTCTTTAACTTTATTGGTGAGACAATATTTACTAGGTAAGTTCCAAACCTTTTCCCACTCAATTTGCTCAAATAAGGATTTTCAAAAGATTTGCATTAAGGCAACAATGTGGTTCTGCAAAACTTTTTAATGTACCAATTATTAAATGTATTGTCTATAATTTTCACACCATTGATACTTAACTGATTAGTATGTAAACGATTTGATTCAGTGGATAAATTACCAGATAAGAGCTGAACAATTCCACTAGGAATTGCATCAAATACTATTGCAAATTCTTTAGCAGTTATGGGGATCTTGTAATAATTGAGAAATTCACAATAAATAAAAAGTTGTCCATTTTGAATAACTCTCTTACCAATACAATATAATTTTTGTACCAATTTCTATAAAATAAGGATTTATTTTAAAGGTTATACATTTGTTGTTCCATATTATTGATTAATGTGGAGAAAAATTATGCTTATAAATAAGTATCCAAGCATACCTGTTTATGAAAAGAGGAAGGTTTTATCGGCACCTTGTTAACATCAAAATTACATCTTAAAAAAAGTTCTAAACCCCCCACCTGGTCAAAAACTAATTCAGGGATGATGCTCCAAATTTGGCCTTTAGAATTCAGGTAATTCTTAACCCATTTGTTTTTAAATACACAATTAATACAAATCTTCCTTTGATTGACAAATCTCTCATTAACCATAAGTTTAATTTTTGTTTAATTTTCTTAATAATTGGTGTAAAACTCTGATTACTTCTCTCTTTTTGATCTTTACAAATCTTTATACCCAAATATTCGACCATCTCCTTTACTGGAACACCATATATATCACTGTCATTGCAAATTTTCAGAGGGAACAACACACACTTTTTAATATTTAAACAAACCAGATACAGACGAAAAAAGATTGATGCAATCAAAAGCATTTTTAGTTTCGATTTCATTTTTTAGAAAAATGGCAGTGTCGTCTGCTAACTGAGAGCATTTTAATTATGTTGTAGTAAACTATACTGTAGTGTTCTGTATTTTAGAGGGTCCCCCTCTCCTCCTCATAGCGTTTGAATGGGACATTCCGCTGGTTTCAGTTCATGATTCTCAAGGAAATGATCTGCGTGACGACACTGCTTATAGGATATAAAATGATTTCCCCTTTCACCTTTTTCACATCCTTCTGTTTGCACACACAAACAGCGCATTAAATAGCTGTTAGTATTAACGCCATTGAAACTCACAGTTTACATTATGATAAGCAATCAGATATAGGGAGCCTACATATTTAATTTATATATTTACCCTATAGTACACTAGACTCTAAAGTTAAGCCATATGCTATAAAACCTGGATTTTTTATTCTTTTTCAAATATGTTTTTATAATTGAGGTTTAGCAAGGCCTTTTTCACATTATTTCCTACAATCGTTATTCTTCTTCAGAGGACCTTTTGTTTGGCTGGAATAAAAGCAGGTTTGACTTTATAAAAAACAAATCAAAATTGACAGTATCACTTTTTGGTTTAAAAAAAATCATATCTATATAAAAATGATATAAATAACATCTTCAAGTAAAAACTGTTTGTAGAACAATGATATAGATATTTTGATGTTCATCGATTTTTATTATTAATTTATTATCAAGTAGTACCTTAATACTGAATTAACATTTCAAAATGAAATGACACTGAAGATGGCTGATAGACCGCGCGGTGGCGCAGTGGGTATCGCTTTTGCCTCACAGCAAGAAGGTCGTTGGTTTGAGCCTCAGCTGGGTCAGTTGGCATTTCTGTGTGGAGTTTGCATGTTCTCCATGTGTTCGCGTGGGTTTTTTCTAGGTGCTCCGGTTTCCTCCATAGTCCAAAGACATGTGGTACAGGTGAGTTGGGTAAGCTAAATTGTCCAGTGTATGAGTGGGAATGAGAATGTATGGAGGTTTCCTGATGATGGGTTGCAGCTGGAAGAAAACATATGCTGGATAAGTTGGCGGTTCATTCCACTGTGGCGACCCCAGCTTAATAAAGGGACTAAGCCGAAAAGACAATGAATAAATGAAGATGGCTGCTGATAATTCAGGCACCATCACAATAAATGGGATGTCAAATATGAATATATAGAAGTTATATAAATTTTATTTATTATATAAATTTAGCCTGAGAGGACTTTCACAATACTACGAAAGAAATATTGTGTTTTTTACATATTGTATAGTGTTTTCTTTTTACATATTTTATGGCTACTATAAAAAAAAAATACAGCTTAAATAATAGTAAAATATAAATTTATTAATAAAATAAAATAATTTCTATATTTTTATCCAAGTTGTTATACAGAAAATAAAAGCTCTGTGCTTTGCAAATCTCCCGTTCTTCGGCGTTCTCTGTGGCCAGAAAGGTCTGCATGACTTTCACAGCATGAAATGAAAATGTCTTTCCTCTTATGCTGTTGGTAACTTCCTCTTTCTCCGAGTCGAGAGGTGTGCGTACAAATGTGAAACAGTCAAGTGGAGGCTGCTGCTGACACACGTCTGAATGAGATGCCTGTCTAATGAGTCCACAGAGCAAGAACCTTCATCAAATGATACTAAAATACTCTTGAACTGTCTGTACTAACCAAGGAGGTGAAGAAGGCCACAGATTCTCCACAATCATGCTGAAGCAGTTTAACATCTTAAAGCAGTTTGGAAATGGGGGGAAGTAAGTACTTTCATTTGTTGATTTCAGACCATGGTTGTGGCGTTGTTTGTGACAGTGTTACTGGAATGTCATCACATGTGATCTTTTTATTCTGTAGACTTGCTTATTTTCTGTAGAAAAATATAATATTAATAGCTTGACTTCTACTAACGTGACTGAAATGAGGAAGGTGATTTTTTAAATAGTGTGTTGTGCTGAAAATGTGAATCTGATAACAGTGTGATTAGATCTTTACTACTTTTTATTACTCTGACCATGCTATTTTTGACTTTTTTCAATTGTTTAAGCCTGAGGAACCTAAGGTTGACTGTAAAAATGAAGTATGAGAATTTAGTAAGTTCAGCCACATTTACCCTCTGGTGTATGTTCTCTGACATTATATACTGCTCAAAAAATAAAGGGAACACTTTAACAACACAATGTAACTCAAAATGTTCCCTTTATTTTTTTGAGCAGTATATTTCGCTGTATTTATTATTTTGTGAAGTCAAAATAAGGTGTTAGGTATCTATTATCTTATTATATGTGTCATTTCTTTTGTGAGGGTGGAGAGCATACTTTGTAGGCTGCACAGAACAAGATGCTAGTTTTGCAAGCCGCCTTGTATGACGTTAACAGGATATTAATAAACTTCTAAAGCCCAGACGCAAAGCACACACAATACCACGCTGGTGAAATTGTTTTTGTGACCTTTGTAGCTGAATACGTTAAAAACATGAACAGTATGTGCTTGCAGGAAAATTAAATAATCTGTATTGTTAATTGATGTATTGTATGTACAGTAGCATGTAAATGCTTTAGGTCAGCTCGTTTTGTAATTGTTAACTTGTTTATTTATTATTTTTACACTCTGGTGCTGTTCAAATTGTCAATCATGTTTTTTATATAGTATTGAAAAGGCTTTTTCAGGGGATCTTAAATTATGTTTATATTTTATATATTTAGATATGATCTGTTTTAGCATATACTTAGCAGATAAACAGATGAGTAGAGTTTTTTATAACAAAAAGTGAAAGTAAAGACATTTATAACGTTACAAAGTTTATTTATCAAATATTTCTGAAATCATAAACTGTTTTCAACATTTCAACAATGTTTCTTGAGTATAAATCTGCATGTTAGAATCACTATCCAGTATAACACTGAATACTGGAGCACTGTTTAAAAAAATCAGCTTTACCATCATAAAAATGACATTGATTTTAGATTATAAACCATATTACAATTCATTTAACACAGCCTTTGCTCAACTGATGCATTTCAAAAGCACAAAAAACTTACAACCTTAAACTTTTGAACTTTACTGGAGATTGTAAAAGTAAAATGAAGTGCTTTAAGCAATATTATTTTCTTTTTTACTAACCTCAGATCTTTTTTTATTGACTAATAAGATGTTGATTCAGAATATAAAATCTGCTGCAATAGTGATGTAACCTGATCTCCTCATCAGTGTATGTGTGTTTGTATGTGTGAGTCTTGGCTGCTTAGAAAGCATTGCATAAAAGTGCACGTCACCTCGTCTTTATCAACTGTTCCGAACAGAAGTGCAGATCCAGTTTGTGTATTAATGCACAATAATACATGCAACACAAGGTTGTGGTTAAAAATGAGGGAGAGTTAGTAAAATGGCTTCAGTCAATACAGTCCACTTCCCCTCACTCTGGCCTATTTTGTACAGCGGCATCAGCTGCTCTAATTTTAGTGTGGTGTTGCTGTATGTTTCTGCATCTTAAAGTGGTTGATTTGTATTTTCAACATGAAAACACTTTACAATAAAGTCTCATTAGTAGACATTAGTTAATTCGTTAAAATCAGCAACGTGAAAAAAGACAGATTTATTAGAGTTACTATGTTACATTAGTAAAAAACAATCAACAACTGGATTTTCTTAGTTATTTACTACACACTTATGACTTGTAATGAGATTAGGACTGATTTTATCATGTTATTAAGAATTAACCATCAAATGAATATCACCTAAATTTAATATAATCATTTGTAGGTTTCATGGTGAGTTTAGTTAAATTAATGTTAACAATTGGAGCCTTATTGTGTGTTGTGGAAAAATCATACTCATGTAAAAGTACAATTACTTACCAAAAAAATGTAGTGCAAGTAAATTAAAAGTATCTTTTGTAAATTTTACTCAAACTATGAGTATAACGTAGCCCTTGTAAAAGTGATTAGCAGTAGTGAGTATTGAGTATTACACTGTGAAAGTTTGATGCGTTTACATCTAGTTTGTGTAAAAACGTAACATCCTGTTGTGCATTTAGTTATTGTTTAAGAAGTTATCGTTTAGTTTGACAATTTCAGTCGTCATCTGGTAGGCATCCATCATCTTCTCATTAGTGATATGCAGTCTAATCAGTCTCCTGTTCTTGTGTGTAACGTCTTTTTTATTTATTTTATAAGAGATAGTTACATTTGGTACACATCATAGAGAAAAACATCACAACAAAAGAAAAAATAACAGAAATCAACACTAAAAACAAAGAAATATCAATAGAATATCTAGTCTGAGGATAGAAATAATAAAGAAATTGTGATTGAAGAGGGCAAAATAAAAAAGACAGCAGCGATTTAGAGATTTAATGGATTATACATGTTAAAGGTCATGCAAGTTGTTTACATTTTTAATGTGTTCTTGTTAAGTGAATCAGAAATTGTAAGTAAATTTTAATCTTTTATATAAATGCTGCAAAAATGGGCTTGCAATTTGAAAATGAATATCTATGAATATAAAACCTACAGAAAAATAGAATAAGGTTTATAATAAAGCAGACAAGGTTGACACGGTGGCTTAGTGGTTAGCACTGTCGCCTCACAGCAAGAAGGTCACTGGTTCGAGTCCCAGCTGAGTCAGCTGGCATTTCTATGTGGAGTTTGCATGTTCTCCCCGTGTTTGCGTGGGTTTCCTCCAGGTGCTCCGGTTTCCCTCACAGTCCAAAGACATGTGTTACAGGTGAATTGAATAAACTAAATTGGCCAATGAGTGTATGTGTGTGAATGAGGGTGTATGGATGATTCCCAGTACCGGGTTGTAGCTGAAAGGGCATCCACTATGTAAAACAGATGCTGGATAAATTGCTGGTACATTCCGATGTGGCGACCCCAGATTAATAAAGGGACTAAAGGAAAAAGATTGAATGAATGAAGCAGACATTAAAATTTGTATAAACCTTTTAAAATATTTATTTTTGGATTCACAGAAAAAAAATTCAATAAAGTGATGACTACAGGTTAAAGAAAAATAGATGTAGGAAAATTACCAATACAGAACAAAAAATGCATTTAAGTGAAAATAAGAAAACACATTACAAATACACGCACTTACTTATTAAACAATTCCTGAGAAAACCTATACTCAATGGGCGATATGCACAGCTAGTGTTTTTCAGCCAATGACGAACCTCCGGTGAAAGCTTTATTTGACTTTTCAATTTCACAAGGATCCTTTCACAGCATTGATGTTGTATTGTAGTTAAAATACAATCAGTAAATAGAGATAAGCATCCATTTGGTTGTGCAAAGTGTAAAATAAAATGAACAATCGTATGAACGTAACGTTATTAGCAGCAGGCTAGCGCAGAAACTCCATTGAAAATAGTGTTGTAAAATTAATTTCCATATTGTAAAGACATGGCAGGGGAAAATATTATTTAATGCAGTGCTTCTTGTTTGGTCTTATACCCACTTTATATCGTATCTCAGCCAGGGAGTGAAGATTTGATTTTTTTTTTTTTAAAGAAATCAGATCTTGAACACTGCAGTTTTGTATGGGATGAAAATTCACTAGAAGCTCTGGGGCTGGCTGGCTAAAAATTAAAGTCTCTATGCATATACGCCATTACAGTAATTTGAATATTTGTAATACAGTAATTCACACCACTGGTGTTAACATACTGTATTGTAGCCATACATATTGTAACATATGTATAAATATTAACAGAATTTTCAGTCAGCATTTCAGCATGTAGTTGATCAGATTAACACGCGAACATGTCCTCAAAAAGCACTCTAAAAGTTTAAATAATAAAGAATTATTCAATGTATATCAATACTGTAGATGTTCATTATAATAATTTTAATAATATCGGCATTTCTCTAATTTCACCAAACAATTGACTCTAACTTGAGTCATATTTCTCAGCTCTTCTACTTGTACTCAAGTGAGTCATTTCTTAAATATCAAAATATTTTCAGCCCTCAAGGATTCAGCAACTTTAGTAACAACAATGATATCACTTTCAGTTTGTGTCGGATTTTAGGAGATTCTTTCATCGGAAGACAACATTAGTCACTGATAGATTATTGAATCATTCATTCTACTGATTCATTAAATGTTGATTTACCTGGAAACAATTGAATGGACATGAAATTTCATACTAACTGTGTAGGCATGTCTTTTAAACAAGTGCTTGTGAATGCAATAAATACTTTACTATACCATGAGAGTTTTCGTGAACCTCAGTAATAAGGTGCAGATGAGTCATGCAATGATAGAAACATGATTAATGTATTTCCTGAGCATTGCCATGGCCAGGGTTTGAACACTGGGAGATAAAAATGCTGCTGTATTAATGCCTACAAAAAATATATGTTTAGTTAATATATTCATGTATTTCCTTAATTCATTTTTTAATTTTTTACTGTGATAATGTTCATGAATATGATTTAGTGTATCAGTGAATGATGAATGACAACTTAAGATCTACAGGATTTATGTAAATGTTTAGTGAATGCTTCATGGCTTCCAATATAAAAGCTTAATGGTGCCTACCTCCAGTGTTTTAATTTCTGCTGTTGTACAGATCTGTTGTAGTCCTGTACATTTTATTATACTACTGTTTTGATAGCATTTGACACTTTTGTTTAGATAATATCATAATGATTATGGATTTTTCTGATCAAATGCTTCCTCTTTTTTGGGTTGCTGTTTGCCTTCTGCGCCTACTTGTATGCTCTAAGGACTGTTATTATCCATTCACATGGTTAATCAGCTATACTAGACATTGAATAGATGTTAATAAAATACAATTAATGGGAAATTTTATGAACAATATCAATAATTCTTGTGTTTAATCAGCTATACTCATAGAGAAGACTCCAAATCCAGATCTGTTTTTACATTACTGTGACGGTTGGGTTTAAGGTTGGGGTTAGATGTTATTAAAATACAAGTAATGGGAAATTTTATAAATGATATAAATAATTATCGTTAACTTCCAGCAGTAGATGTATGTGATCCAGCTTATTAACCATGTGAATGGATGATAAGAGCCTTCTAAGCCTACCAGTAGGCGCAGAAGGCCCCTACTGTCCCATATCTATCAGCTGATAGCACTGATAATGCCTATACAATCGAGTGAATAAATCAATCAACTTCTCTTCCCCAAAGTCTTAAGAATTGTGTTTTAACTCAAATTAATTAAAATTAAAAAGTAGATTGAACAAGCAGTGAACTTATTTTTTTGAGTGTAATTCTTTTTGTTTTGTAGGTCACAAGATGCAACTGACCTTCTCACAGATGATCTGGTTTTGGTAAGGCATTTCTACCCTTACCTAACATTAAGTCATTGTTGCTGAGATACATTACATGAATACAGGTCAATGTAAATGAATGCTCCATCTGCTTGCTCTAAGGTTGAACAGCGCGTGGAGCCAGCCAAGAAAGCTGCCCAGATCATCCATAAGAAGTTGGTGGGTTGCCTGCAGAGTCAGCAGGGACTGGACTCGGAGAGACGAATGGTAAACTGACCCAACATTTAATCATGTGGTTCGTAAGTGTGTTGGACCAGCCTTTGAAGCAGATTAAGCAGCGGCTGTGTATGAGAAATGAGTAATGCTCAAAGAGACAAATGTAACGGTCCAGTGATGAAGTGTTGTGGCTGTGAAGATCATCAGCATGGACCACCATCACAGAGCATGATGGAGGGATTTCTTCCAATATTCTGTCTTGGCCTACTATTTTGTGAAGGATCTACATCGTTAATGGGGAGTCTGTCTTTTGAGGTTTTTGTTTTGTCTGCGTGTGGATAGTTATGTCTGGACGAAATAGTTTGGATATGTTTTCAAAGTGGTTGCAGCTATGAAGTGCTAAATACAAGACTGTTTTATTTTTCATGAACATTCTTAATTTACTGTTTTTTTGAAAAACAGATTTTGTGTGGAATATACAAATGGCTCAGTGGTTTGTACTGTCGCCTCACAGCTAGAAGATTGCTGGTTCAAGTCCCGTCTGAGCCAGTTGGCATTTCTGTGTGTAGTTTGGATGTTCTCCCCTTGTTTGCGTGGGTTTCCTGTGAGTTCTCCGGTTTCCCCCTCAGTTCAAAGACATGAGGTAAAGGTGAATTGAACAAACTAAATTGGCCATAGTGTATGTGTGTAAATGAGAGAGTTTATGGATGTTTCCCAGTACTGGGTTGCAGCTGAAAGGGCATCTGCTGTGTAAAACATATGCTGCCTAAATTGTTGGTTCATTCTGTTGTGGTGACCCCTGATAAATACGAGACTAAGCTGAAGGAAAATGAATAAATGAATAAAAGTAAATGTGGTGGCTTGTGGTTAACACAGTGGTGTCACAGCAAGAAGGTCACTGGTTGTAGTCCCGGGTGTGGAGTTTGCATGTTCTCTTTGTGTTTGCAGGGGATTTCTCTTGTTCCTTCAATTGTGAATCATTCCACTGTGGTGACCCTTGGTGAATAAAAGTAAAATGAATGAATGATTGAATGAATGAATGAAAGACTATCTAACACAATTTCTAATCGTAACTTTTTGATTTAGTGGTTAATTTGTATAAATTTGTACAATCTCATTCGCACAATTTTGTACAATTTAATTTTCTTTTATTTGACTTTGTATGACACTTCTATGTTGTATACTGTAAAAAATGTCAGTTATTTCAATGGCAAACTATAAAATGCTACAGTAAAAATCTGTTACCTAGTTAACATTAAGTTTCCTTAATATAAAAATATAAAAAATATATATATTTAAAAAAAAAAAAAAAAAAAAAAAAAATATATATATATATATATATATATATATATATGTATGAAGGTCAATAAACATAAATCATTTTTTCAAATTTGGCTGTGTAACACTTTGCTTTTGCGTTTTGTACGCATTACTATGGTTCTTTTTAGTTTTTTCTGCATCAGTTGTGTTATATACATTAGTGTTGTACGTTACATCTAATGTTGAGAAATAATGTTTATTCTATTACTTTAACTTTATATCTGTTACCTTTATGGTGTGTCTTAATTGTGTGAGGCGACAGTTGTGTGTAGTTGTGTGAGGCTATTTATTAGTATGCTTTTAGTATATGCAGGAAAAGTTGTTTAAAATGAGCATTGGTTCTTTATACGACATTCTCATAACTTTATAGTTGTGTTTATGTGTGGTAACAAAGCATGTGATGTGTAGATGTTAGTACTTCAAAAGATTTGTGTATTAACATTATTAATTATTGAAGTAAGTTTGTATAAGGTAAAATTGTGAGTTTATTTTAAGTTTTGCTCTGGACCTTTAACAGTAAAATACTGTCAACCGCAGCTGTAGTTTTTTATCGGAAATTTTACATATTTTTTTTTTAACTGTGTTTTTTTGCACACAATATTTCATATTTGGATGCTGCTTTATGAGTGAGTCATTGAATTATTCACTCCGATGAATTAATTCTGGAAAGAAGAACTACTCCTCTATATTGAGTTGTTATTGTTTACTTAACACACTGCTTATAATTAACTGAATAATAACACTTTAACTGTAATTATCTGCAGCCTTGTGTACATTGCTGTGTGTGGTGTGAAGTTTCTGATTTAGTGTAGAAAATCTGGTCTATTTCCTAGATTTTTGCTTAGCCTAACTTTCATTTATCCTTTGTGTCTTGCGTTATGTTAGGAAATTGTACAATTATGTTGTGTTGCTCATGCGAACTATTATATGATATGATATTTTAAAAGCAGAACTGTCAAAAACGTGACATGCAGCACACATCCTGGTTTCCTCACTTAGTTTGCTCATTCACACTTTTTATTATTTACAGAAAAAATTACCCCTCATGATGTTGTCTGTCAGTATGGCTGAGAGCATTAAGGATTTCGATGGTGATTCTTCTATAAGGTGAAGGTTTGAATGATTTAATCTCTTATTATGAATGATGTTCTAAGTTGCAGCAATAGATTTGAAATAAATAGTTTTCAAATACAACAGGCAGAGCTTTGCTGCAGTTTGATTAGATGGCAAAAGTCGAATATCATGGACAGCAGGCTTTAAATTTTGTGCAAATTCAGTGCAATACGGAAAGTAAAAATGTTTAAATCTAACATGTGATGTTTAATTTTACAATGTAGATTGTCAAAGCAGCTTAAAAAAGAAGTTCAAGTAGATTGAAACAGTGTCAGTCCAGTATTCAGAGTTGAAGTTTAGTTTAGTTCAGTTCAGTGTGGTTTAAATTTCACTGCTGAAAGTCCAACCACTGAAGAGCAAATCCATCATTGTGCAGTCCCAAACCAAGCAAGCCAGTGGCGAGAAACAAATTTCTCTAAGTCAGTGGTTCTCAAACTGTGGTACGTGTACCACTAGTGGTACGCAGGCTTCCTTCTAGTGGTACGCGGAGGAATGAAATATGTCATGTACATGCTACACACATTTCAAAATTTATCAAAAATGATGTATATAATATGCCATATATGACATGTAGCCTATATTTCTGAGGTAATCTGCCACTTTTTTTAACTGTGCAGAGTTGTAGCTGCTTTACTGGGCCTACTACGCTACTGTATTTCAAAACTGCTCATTTTGGTGGTACTTGGAGAGTCAATTCTTTTCTGAGGTGGTACTTGATGAAAAAAGTTTGAGAACCACTGCTCTAAGTGATGAAAATGAAGAAAAAAATCCTTGAGAGACAATGAAAAAACCTTGAGAGACTGCGTCCTTTACGATATCTATTGTAATAGACGCAGTATCCAAAATGGCTAACAAAAACATCTGTCATGATACTTTTTGAAATGTTGATATACCCCAGGTACAGCTAAGCATGATGTCAGGATTGCAGTTGCTTTGGAAATACACATTTTACAGTCAGTTTCTAAGAACACCTGAACTCTTTTTTTTTTTTTCGTAGGAAAGTTTTGGAAATGTGCTGCTTCATGCAAAATACCCTGGCGCAGACTTTGGCTGACTTCGAAATGAAACTGGAGAAAGAAGTTCTTGTGCCTCTGAATAAGCTTAGTGAGGTAGTTATTTATTTATTTTTTACTACCAAACCAGGTGAACTAAAACAGTCATAATTCATGACCTGTTTCTGTTATCTACACAGGAGGACTTGCCAGAGATCTTGAAAAACAAAAAGCAGTTTGCTAAACTTACTACAGACTGGAATAATGCTCGTACCAGGTGATTTTCTCATTTATGTCAGTGTGACCACATATGATTTACACTTCTTCAACATGAATTACAACTTCATATCTTTGCGAGCTTCTTTTCTTTTTTTTTTTTTTTTTTTTAAGATGTAATTGTGTCGTGAAAAGTTTTGCTATGTTTGACTTTTACATGTATTCTCACTTTCAGATCTGAGACCAGCACAGGCCCACAGGCCAAGCAGCACGGACTGAGAGAAGATGTGGAGGAAGCCTGGAGAAGACTGGAGTCTATTAAGGTTAAACTTAATTAAAGCTGCTTTCTTTATTATTCAACCATAGTCAGTTTATAAATCTTGTTTAGTCATGATAGCTCCTTTATGCTATCAATCACATAATTTACTACTTGGCACGAGCTGGTTGGTTTCTGCTGATTCTGCAGTCAATGAGATCCTTGCTTGAAATTGAACTCTTTCTCTGACGGCGTTTTTAAAAAAGCATGTTTGATTATTTTTGCCTCTTTTTGACAGCGCACAGAATGTTTTTTGCTATGAATATGTGAGCGTATTATATAGCAAAATAAAAAGATTGGCATTTTTGCAATTTTATCAAAGCATTGTATCCTATCTTTTTGTTCTTAACACCACTAGAATGCAGATAGGTTTAATAAAAATTCAACCTATTTTTAAAAAAATAAAATAAGATCCCGAACATGAGTGATCAGAGTCAGAGTCAACAAACGACTGCCTTTTCAGCTGTACACCTCTTCAATTTTACATGCAATCTGATCTGCACTTTTATATTTCATATGCTATCTGATACCCTGATTGTTTTTGTATTTCGCACATGGGAGACCCAGAAGTCCTGTAACTCTATGTATGTGCTATTACTTCCCTTACAGTAATACTCTTAGAACATGGATTGCCATAATAACTCAATGAACAGTGGTGTGAACCTATACAGTTTGGTTTGGTTGTGATAATCATAGGTTAACCATGTCATCTTTTTTCTGGTAATATCCTCTTTTGGGGCTAAAAATGTGTACGGGCAGGATTTCGAAATCTGCTAAAATATCCAGGATTTAGCATTTGCTTTCTACAGCCATCATTAATTGTACTTGTTTTTTCATTACTTTACCTTTTTCTTTAAGCCTGATTTATTTGTCTTGCTCCACAGTCTCCGCTGATTGCGAGCACACAGCCGGCTTTCCTTTACTGATACCAAACTGACTGCAACTGCATTACGCTGTATCAAAAAAGCAATTCCTTTTGACAATCTTCTCGTTAATGGCAGGGAAAAATTTAAGTAGTCTGATTGATTGTTTACTGAAAGCTGATTTTAAACTGTTTTCACAGACAAAACTTAAACCAGGCATAGGCCTTACATTAAATTGCGGTAGTTTAAGTCCATGTGGTATGAAAATGGACAATGTTTATTTTGCTAGGTCTCATTGTTATTCTTAAGGTAAATTATAAATTTGTGAAAATTAATCCAGTGGAAACCTGAGGGCTTCCATAGCAGCCGTATACTAATACCCTTAGCCAAGCCAATTTTACTGTCAGATTGCTATAAGGGAATGATGATGCACAAAGAAAGCCCCGCCCTACTCAATACTCCAATATTCAGTTGAAAGCACATCAGCATACTGAAATAAAAGTCTCAGCAGCTTTTAATTCATGACAGACTTTATACAGCCTTCCTAAAGATACCTTTGAGAAACATTACAGGTGTACATCTAGAGCCAAAACACATATGGACATATTTAAAATTTTATCACTGAAGCTTATTTTAGGTTTAGGAAAGCAATGTAGCACACATGCATTTTGGTCTGGGACTAGCCTTAAGCCTTGTCTGTGAAACAGGAGGTTGGAGTTTCTCAATGTAAAAATATCTGTAAATGAACAGTTTTTCATATTTAGTGATTTATGTTTTTATTTTTTAATATTTATGATTATGAATTGCATCTTGACACCTTGATCCTTCTTCTGACAAAATTTAACCTTAAAAAGTTGGAAAACGTTATTTTTATGAGCATTTTCAATAGTTTAAGTGATAATTGTTTGGGTTGGTGTTGTATTTTTTGCTGCAGAAACCTTAAACTATACTGCAAGTACATTTTCTGTTATTTTACAAACTTAGTTCTCTATATATTATTTCTAATTATTAATATTATACATCATATGATTTAAAACTACTAAAATGTCAATAAAATTAACTCTGTTATATTTTGGAGTTGAATTTTCAACATCAAAAGTAGACAAAACAGAGATCAAGGTCCCATGATGAAATTCACAATCGTAAATAAACGGTAAACACAAAATACTGAAACTGTTAATTAACTGATATTATTTACAGTGCACCTCTCCCAGCACTGATCTGCTAGATTTATGTATATGTATTGTATATCCTGTATGTCACCTCAGTGCCTGTCTGTCAATTAGCGAAAGCAAGTCTACACTTGCTGAGTAGCAGCAGCATTGTGCAGATGTAGCCTATCAAGACCAAACAAACTAACAATATTATATCCTTTAAAGTCTCCCTGAAATCAAAGTGAGTTTTAAACAACTTTTATTATTAATATGTCTGCCTTAACGACGCAGTGGCGCAGTGGGTAGCACGTTCGCCTCACAGCAAGAAGGTCGCTGGGTCGCTGGTTCGAGCCACAGCTCAGTTGGTGTTTCTGTGTGGAGTTTGCATGTTCTCCCTGCGTTCGCGTGGGTTTCCTTCGGGTGCTCTGGTTTCCCCCACAGTCCAAAGACATGCAGTACAGGTGAATTGGGTTGGCTCAATTGTCCGTAGTGGATAAGTGTGTGTGTGTGTGTGTGTGAATGTTTCCCAGAGATGGGTTGCGGCTGGAAGGGCATTCGCTGTGTAAAAACTTGCTGGATAAGTTGGTGGTTCATTCCGCTGTGGTGACCCCGGATTAATAAAGGGACTAAGCCGACAAGAAAATGAATGAATGACTGTCTGCCTTAAGTTTTTGTATAAGCTAATTTCCAAATATTTATATTTCGAAGATAAAAACTTGTAGTCTCTAAATTCCAACAATATGGATTGGTGATTTTGATGGCATCACTCTTCGCTTCAGCTTCTCATCAGATTTTTGGTACATTTGAATGCTCTCCTCCCTCTACACGGCTAAAATCTGTCACTTGTTGACACTATCTGTGACCCTGCACCGCAAAACCTTATGTCGCATTGGTATTGTAAAGTGTATTTTAATTTGACCTGTGAAGACACATGAGTTGGTGCATGTGAGGAAACACAAGTGTGAGTCAAAGAGCTTTGTGTTCTCTAGCATACAAGTCTGCTATCATCATTATGAAGAGAATGAGATAAACATACATCACAGGAATATTTTGGCAATTGACAAAAATATATTAGTTCAAAATGACTGATGGGAACACGGTGGCACAGTGGGTAGCACAATCCCCTCACAGAAAGAAAGTTGTTGGTTCGAGCCCCAGCTGGGTCAGTTGGCATTTCTGTGTGGAGTTTGCATGTTCTCCTCATGTTCGCTTGAGTTTCCTCTTCGGTTTTCCTCGACAAGTCCAAAGACGTGTGTGCTATAGGTGAATTAGGTAAGCTAAATTGGCCTTCAAGAGTTCACACTTAGCTGATGATTGTTTATAAAGCTTGTTTGGCATGCTGACCCAGGAGAGAGGCCTGAGCTCATAAGATCCTCGAGCCCAGGGCTCCCTCCTGTTTGCAAGGCGAGAGGGGAGTTTGAGCTCAGGTAGATTTTGAGAACCTTCTGCTGTATTAGCTAATGAACAGATAGTGATTGCTCTTACGAGATAACTACTTACTAGGAGCATGTCTCTGATGCCGATTTGGATTAGTCAATTAACATAGGTTTCATGTTTTTTGACGGTGGGAGGAAACCAGAGAACCTGGGGGAAACCCACATGAGCACAGGGAGAATGTGTAAACTCTGCACAGAAACGTCTACTGTTTTGGTTAGGACTAGAACCAGAGACATTTTTGCTGTGAGGCAACAGTGCTAACCACTGTGCCACCGTGCCACCCAACTAGAAAAGGAGGAGATTTAGGGGTGTAAGGGGGGATTCTTCAAAAACAAGATGGCTGTCATATGGAACTTAGGGTATTTATAGTGTCTTAAGTATCGTCTGATTGGTGAATCATAAATTGAATAATGCGGGGCTGGCTGCAAGCAATCATGAGCATGTGATCCTCTTGAAATTAGTTTAAATAAAATTCACGTTGTGTATGTGTGTGTGATTAAGTGTATATGGGTGTTTCCCAGTGATGGGTTACAGCTGGAAGTACATCTCATAAGTTGGTGCTTCATTCCGCTGTGGCAACCCCAGATTAATTATAGTACTAAGCTGAAAAGAAAATGAATGAATAAAAATTACAGATTTTTCTTTTATGAGAAGAAATATAAGGGTATTAAGTAAACAATATGCTCAATGAAGATACACACACACACACACACACACACACACACACACACACACATATATATATATATATATAGTAGTGTGCATTTGTATTTATTATACTAAAATATGACACTAAAATGATGATACCCTCTATTTGGCCTAACTAAACTAAATTGCTCTTCTTTCTTCTGTTGAACAAAAACCAAGATATTTTGAAGAATGTTGGAAACCTAGCCATTGACTTACATAGTTTTTTTCTGCTTTGGAAGTTAGAGGTTAACTGTTGCCAACATTCTTCTAAATATCTTTGTTTGTGTTTGATAGAAGAAATCAAATCTTTAATGACAGATGAAACTTTTGTTTAGATGGAGGTCAACTGTTTTGTGGTCAACTTTCCCTTTAACCTACTTAAAGTTAGCTGATTTTAAGCCAGAATCATGAAACACAATCTCTTCATATTGTTGTATGTTAGGCTACTTTTACAAATGGTTGTGATAAAATTAAATTTGGCTACCAGCTGAAACTTTACAGCCTGTTTAAATCAAGCTCACATTATGTGCTGATCTCATTTCCTCCTGCTGCTGTTCATACTGTCTAAAAAGCATCTTTCAATGTGCTGTGAAAAAAGTCAGTTAAACAAAAATTATTATTAACAATTATTATTACTTTAGCTTAAGCTAATTGGGCTCGCTAAGACAACATTACATAATATTTTCAAAGAATTCACAGGAAGGAAATCAATAAAACAATGCATTTTCTTTTTCTCAGGATCAGTACTCTGCAGACCTCTATCATTTTGCCACTAAGGAGGATGACTATGCCAGTTACTTCACCCGTGTGAGTAGATGTTTATTAATCTGTATATTTGTTTACCTCCACAGGCCCATTCAGTATTGCCGAATCAGGATCTATTCCATTTTAAACTCATATTACACTATACATTATTCAGCATTATCATTAATATTCATGAAGGCTTAATTATTAGATTATATTTGGTATTTCAAAACATCATTTTGATAAACAAAAAATGAAAAACTTTTTTACACAACAATTCAAAAATTTAAAACCAATGTTATGGTCCCTACTTAAACAAGACTCATGTTCTAAGACAACGTAACTTAAAAAAACAATGGTCATAGTGCAACATCTGAATTATTTATTAGTATAAAAATATTAGCAAAACAAACCAAGACGACAAGAGATGGGGAACCCAACAACATATTAAATAAATAACTAAACAAACGTAAAGCAGAATGGAACTCCCCACTCCAACCTAAAGTCAAAAAGAAAATACAAAGGAAAACACAACAACTAAGCTGTCAGAAACTGTGATGGCATGGAGGAATGAGCGATAGCGAGAAGTCCGCTTCCTTCCATTTTAAAAGCCTGACATCACCAAATCAACCAATAGAAAACTGAAAAGGGAAAAAGACAAAACAAGATCAACTGAAATTAAAAGTGAAAGTGCTCTAGGGTTACAGAGGCTTATTTTACATCTTGTAAAAAAGGGCATAGATTCTCTATTAGGAAAAGCACAATAGGAGAACCATGTGACTTGCTTCAAGTAATTTCACTTTCTTTGGTGGGAAACTCTGGAAAGCATTGAGGTGTCATTATTTTACTCTTCTTAATTTGTAGAAAATGTTTAGGATACAGCAATAAAATAATAATTATCTTCTCAACTGTTATATTGTGATTTCAGTGAATTTCTCGTTCACTTTTTTAAAGCAATATCATGATGGAAATGCAATTCTGTTTCAAACATGCTGTGTGGTATCTGGTTTGAGGTTAACATCTTGAGCTAAAAGCACAAAATGGAGGAAAATGTCAACTTTGTTATTGTCAACTGTGGTAAAACCACGTATAACCATAATCTAAACAGCATTTAGATACACAATCAAATGTTCTCTATCACATATAGACATATTGTATTATTTATTACAATTATAATGGATTCAGTTTACTGCAAATTAAATATTTTGTGATATGTCAGCCCAGTTTAAGGAACAGGAATGGAAAATGCTTCAAATGTACCACCAATTCTGTAATCTGTCACAGGGGATATATGAAAACGGCAATACTAAAAACAAGAATGAAAAACTGGTTTTAGTTGATTGTTGTTGAGTAAATGTACATTTAGTATTTATTGATTTATTTGAGTTTGTTTTACAAGAAAATAGTATTTCAGTTTTTCTAGTTTAAATCAACATGTTACTGTATCTATAGTTATTAGCTTATTCTGAAAATGTACCAGTATATACATTTCTGGAGAGTGCCAAATGCGTCTCAAGAGCTAGGTTTTTTGCAGTTTTTGTGAGTCCGTTGTGTTTGCTTTTTGAGGTTTCAAATTCAGATCTCTCTTATGAGTGCCATTCGCAGCTGCTGTTCTCATGTAAATCGGACTGACTGATTGACTGACTGATCGACTGACCCACCCTCCTCTTTCCCTAAACCCAACCAAGAGTGTTTTTTTAAAAAACACAGATTGACCTGCCCACCCAATTCTCTAAACCAGTGGGCACCTAACTTGTTCCTGGAGGGCCGGTGTCCTGCAGATTTTAGCTCCAACATTAATCAAACACACCTGAACAACTTAATCAAGGTTTTGCCAAGTATACTTGACACATCCAGGCAGGTGTGTTGAGGCAAGTTGGAGCTTAACCCTACAGGGACACCGGCCTTTTTGTTGATTGTTGACCCCTGCCCTAAAGCCTTCCGACAGTTTTAAAAAGCAATCCAGAAAAAGAAAAGCACTCACCTGATTTTTACCTAGTTTTCAGATTTTACCACATTCTCATCCTGTTATTTACTTGCTTATTTTATTTTTGTCTTGACCGTATTTTGGAACCGCTTTTCACCGGACTCGAACACTGTCGTTGTGGTCAATTCGACTCAAGTCTCAAGTCCACTGACAGACATAGTGAACTAACTAGACAAACTGGTAACAGCAGGAAAGGCGTCCATAGGGAGGTAAACGGTCAGCCAATAAGCACGAAAAGGAATGCCATCATACCGCCCCATAGCGTTCGTTTTAAATTCGAAATGCAGCCATACGTACTTCTGGCTACATAGTTTGCGATCTCCAGAAATGTATAAGTTTAGAGCTCTGTTTTCAAAATGAGCCTATGTTGCAACACCTTGTGTGAGTTCTTGATGCACTTTTTTTTTTCAAGAAATACATACATTTATATTTATTTTTTCTTTTCATATGTCTTGACTTATTTGTGTTAATTAATATTAATTATGAATCAATTACTTAATATTAATTGTAATAATCAGTTCGTTTTTCATAAATGTTTCTGCACGCTAACTGAGATCTTCTGACAGCTTCTAGAACTACAAGCTGAATATCACAAGGCTTCATATGATTTCCTGGAGAGAAACATAACTGAGCTCAAGGAGAGTCACAGCCACACAGGTGAGCTGAAGAAAAGGATATTTACCACCCGATAGACCTCTGCGGTACCACCATTTCCATGTGTGTCTGTTTGACTACAGAGCCGCTGGTGAGTTCCTCTGAAAATAAGGTATTTGGAGAGCCGCTGCTGTCTCACCTTCAGAGCTGCAGGAGGAAGATTGCTGTCCCCATTGAGGAGTGTGTGAACATGCTGTTACGTACAGGACTCAGGGAGGAGGTATGTACACACATACGCGTCTGAGATCACATATGCAGCTTTGCACTATAACACAAATAACTGCACACCCACTGAGTGGCAGGCCTTGTATTTTCAGTATGTTGTTTCACTTTCTGACTCATATCTGCTATCTGTCTTTACACATGTCATCTAGGGGCTGTTCAGACTAGCAGCCGCAGCGTCTGTTATGAAAAAACTGAAAAGCAGTCTGGATTCAGGCACAGTCGACCACACTGAGTTTAGTTCTGACCCTCATGCTGTTGCAGGTGAGACTTATGCTAACATTTTTGTTGTTGTCTGACTAATGTTAAATGTTCTGAGTTTTTTTCTGGCTTTTGCATGACTTTCCACCTAACATGTCAAACATTTTTAGCTTTATTTAGTTTTTGGCAGTTCATTTACATGACAACAGCGTTTTGAGGAATATTAGGGTGATGCAGTGGCACAGTAGGTTGTGCTGTCGCCTCACAGCAAGAAGGTCACTGGTTCGAGCCTCGGCTGGGTCAGTTGCGTTTCTGTGTGGAGTTTGCATGTTCTCCCCGCGTTCGCGTGGGTTTCCTCCGGGTTTCCCGGTACTGGGTTGTGGCTGGAAGGGCAACCACTGTGTAAAACATACCGGAATAGTTGTCAGTTCATTCTGTTGTGGTGACCGCTGATAAATACAAGACTAAGCCGAAGGAAAATGAATGAATGAAAGTAATTGAGGGGCAGCATGGTGTCACAACAAGAAGGTTGCTGGTTTGAGTCCCAGCTGTATAGTTTGCATGTTCTCTTTGTGCTTGCATGTGATTTCTGTGGTTCCTTCAAAGTTCAAATATATGCGGTATACAGTAGGTGAATTGAAAGTAAATTAGCGGTTGTGTGTGTGGAAGACCTTTCTGGACACAAATTTCTATAATTAAGTGTTTCACAAGGAGAAGTTGACTTATGAAGTAAGAATATAACCCAGGTCACCATTTATGAAAACATGAACAGTTTGTTGTGAGGTTTGGGTTTAGGGATAGGGTTGGGTAATAGAAAATTCAGTTTGTACACTGTAAAAAATGCTGGGTTCCACTCAATCGATTTGTCTTAGAACAGCATGAAGGAATTAAGTTGCTTTATTAGTTTTTAGAAATTTAAGTGGATTGAACATAAAACAAAGTTGTCGCAGAAAAAAAAGCTCATTTTAAATAAGCAGTTCGTACAAACAGCAAACCACATTTTTGAGTGTACAGTATAAAAACAATGGAAACACATTAATTGTCCCCTTAAATCACTCACAAAAAACATGTGACATGTACAGGTTTAGTTAGTTACTTATGATGGCTTAATTGTTTTTACTTATTTAGTGACATATGAAAAAGACCCACTGATGGGGACATTTTACTTCCCCTCACTAACTATAAAAGCTTAACAATTGGCCAGACCAAGTTTTTAATGACTGACACTTTTTTCTGTGAGGGGATGTGCTTTAAATAGTAACAGATTGAAAAAATGTGTTAACGCTAACATAAGATGATGATAATATCTAGGGCTCTATTTTAACTATCCAGACGCAAAGTGCAAAGTGCAAAGCGCAGGGCGCAGGACGTAGGACGCAAAAGCATTAAGGGCGTGTCCGAATCCACTTTTGCTATTTAAAGGACGCAAAAAAAAGAAACCCTTCACTATCGAGAAAACAGTTAAACAGAGCATCTGCAGTGTGAGAATGAGAGATGAGCCTCCTCATTATTTACTTTCACTCTCTTGGATAAGCAAACTTGTTGTGCGCACAGACATCAATTAGCCTATACATAATTATTTCATTTATTAAGCACAAAGATTTGTTTCAAAACTATTTCTAAATTCTGTGCCCCATATGGTCTAAAACCTGACAGGTGGGCAAATCTAAGCTTGTTTTAATAAAACAAATATAAATATGGATACAATAAATAATGCTACTACTAATAATAAAATTATACCAAAGCATATTGTCATGAATAAACAAACAATTTCCCCAGAGATGAAGAAGGCATGGAGGCGTTGGTTTTTATATTTATGTAGGCTAGAAAATAATAATTTTTGTAATATTTTAATATTTAAATTATTTTTCATATGTAAAGATATTTGCGTATTGCTCTACATCCTGTGTGTATTAAGCAATGTGTAAGCGAGGCGCACAACTAACGCGCTCTGCGCTGGACTATATACCTTCTCTAAGCTGGTTTATTAAACAGTCTATTTTAGTTCCTCAAAATAGCAACGCGCCAGCAATGCACCTCAACATGCCTTCCTTTTTAGACCAGAACGTCTATGGGTGCACATATGAGCACAAATGCATTTTTTATTTAAACAGAGTGGCGCAAAACGTCAAAACAACTCTTGCATCGAGCTGAAACTAGCCAACAACAATTGCGCCACATTGCGCTGGGTGTATGATAGGGCCCCTAATGTAGTTAATTTACCAAATGAAGCTTTGTTTTAAAATGTTATCTCAGACCCCTCTGAAGACATCTAGCTTGATGTGGGGAACATTTTTAAAAACCAGAAGTCAATTTAAATGCTTCTAACCACCAAAATCCTTCCTCTTTATTGTAGCAAAACATTTGTCTGCATATTTTAATCATGTCAGTGACTACATTTTTATATAAAAACTGCCTCGGTACATCTAAAATGTATTTTATTTTTAAAATATTTAAATAAAAATGTTGATTTTGTATGTTTCAGCTCCCATTCACTTTCATTGTAAAAGAAAAAGATGTTACGCTAAAAAAACAAGCTTCTAGTCGTGTAGGTTAGGAGCAGCATAAACATAATTACTAAAAGCTATTTTTGGGTGAACTATTTCATTTGGTTTGACTGGCACACATTTAAATCTTATAAAATATTATATATTATAAGATAATATATATTTATGTTTTAATTAAAATGTTTAATTAATTATTTTTCATTTAGTTTTTTATTTGATTAATTGATTAATTAATTTATTTTTTGCTGTCTTGCAGGGGCTCTTAAATGTTACTTGCGAGAACTGCCTGAGCCGCTTATGACGTTTGAACTATACGATGACTGGTTTGAAGCTGCAGGGTGAGTCTTTATGGTCTTTTTTTCTTTTGTATGGATGATGTTAAAACACTCCAAATGCTGAGTTTGCATTATGATTGTTTGTTTTTTTAGAGAAAAAGAAACGGATGAAAAACTAAAGCTGCTCCGGACAGCGTTGCAAAAACTTCCCACAGAAAATTATAACAATCTTAGGTACGGCGAATACCTCAAAATATCTCTTATCTACCTCAGTGTTTGTGTCACACCAAACCATTACACACTGTGCTTATAAATGACTTTGTGTCTCCATCAGATACCTTATTCAGTTCCTGTCACAATTATCAGAGCATCAAGCAGTGAATAAGATGACACCCAGTAACATTGCCATTGTGCTCGGTCCTAATCTACTGTGGCCTCGCTGTGAGGGGTCAGTATATTGAAGTCTTAACCTTTTCAATTCAATTCATCTTGATTTCTATAGCTCTTTTACAATGTAGATTGTGTCAAAGGCAAGCAGTTAACATATGACTTCTAGTAATTTGAAACAGTTTTAAGAGTTGAAGTTTAGTTTTTTTTCAATTCAGCATAGTTTAAATTTACTGCTGAAAGTCCAAACACTGAAGAGCAAATCTTTCAATGTGCTTTTGCATTTTAATCTCCTAAAACATCTCTTTGCCTTATATTTTTGCTTCAGAGAGACATCATTGCTGGACATGGCATCTGCTTCTTCAGTGCAAGTTGTGACTATCATAGAGCCGCTTATACAGCATTCCAAGAGCCTCTTCCCAGAAGGTACAGGAACATGACATAACATATAATAACATAGTTGTTAAATATTAAACATAAAGCGTTAAAGCAATAACTTTATTTTAATTCATTTCAATATGTTTAGCACTTCCAAAAGTTTGTTTCAGTTTATCTTTGTTTGTATATTATTGTATGGCTATTGTCACTTTTTTTCAGTCATTGCATTTAAATGTTATATACTTACAAAGATTAAAGTACATTTTGTTTTTTTATATATATTAACAACCCATGTTATTGCCAGGATAAATTAATATACACACTACCTGACAAAACTCTTGTCATCAATCCTAGCTGTAAAAGGAACAAATAATAACTTGACATCTAGTTAATTGTTTGGAAAAGGTGGCAGAAGGTCGAATTTTCAGATGAGTCTTTTGTTGAGCTGCATCCCAATCATCTCAAATGAAGCAGAAGACCTATTGGAACCCGCATGGACCCAAGATTCTCACAGAAATCAGTCAAGTTTGATGAAGGAAAAATCATGGTTTGGGGTTACATTCAGTGTGCGAGAGATCTGCAGAGGGGATGGCAACATCAACAGCCTGAGGTATCAAGACATTTTTGCTGCCCATTACATTACAAACCACAGGAGAGGGCAAATTCTTCAGCGGGATAGCGCTCCTTCTCATACTTCACCCTCCACATCAAAATTCCTGAAAGCAAAGGTTAAGGTGGTCCATCATTGGCCAGCTCAGTCACCAGGTGTGAACATTATTGAGCATGTCTGGGGTATGATGGAGGAGTTTCCACTGCATCATGACTTTATATTTTATACTGTACATTATTTCTGTTAAGTGACAAGACTTTTATCTCAGCAAAGTCAGTCCTAATTAAGAACTAATTAAATAAATAAAAATCTAGGCAGAACCATATTTTATTTTGTTAAAACAAGCGTAATCTAGAGGCCTTTGCCTTTTATATAAGCCACTTGTAATACAAAATTATTAACTAGAAGTTAACTTATTATTCATGTTTCTGAACCTGGAGAGGTGACAAAACTTTTGTCAGGTAGTGTATGCGTGTCTGTAAAAATCTTTGGTGTTTATTGTTGGAATACAGGCACAAAAGGGTTTTCATGGTATGTTCATTCTTGTCTTTCAGTTATCATGTTTTTTTTTTTTTAGACCAAAAGCAACCAAACAAAAATAAAACACTTAGCACCATATTGTCACCTTTAGGACTGAATCAAAGCATACAACACAAAATCAATACCTTTTATGGTGTAAATGTATGAAAGAACTTACAATCATAACAATTATGTGTGCTGTGCTGACTATGTGTATCCATGGAAAGCCTAAAATGTGCATAGTCAAAATAGCACCAGGAAATATTTTGTTGCACCCACACAAATGAAAATTTGCTACAAGATGTGTCTTGACATCCGTATTGAATTGTGATGTGCAGCACTGCAACTACGGTTTGCTTGAACTTGGTATGCTTGAACCCTTAGTGGCATCTTGTCCTATTTTTGACTTTTTTGCTTTGCAGTTTGGATGACAGAGGAATCTTGCTGAAGTTTAGTTTAACCACAACCAAACCAGCCAAGTCTAAACACACCCTTAGTTGTGATGTTATCTCATTTCCTTTTGAGTTCCTTTGAAACAGGCAGGCCAACAGACTTGGTTTTAATCAATTGACAGACACCTTCCAAATTCCTGATGAACGACCATTAGGGAAATAAAGCTTTATTTTATGCATCGAACTTAAAAATAACGAAACTCCAATTATAAACTTTCCTCATTTTCTTTTCAGAAGCTGATTTTGAGGTCCCAGTGCTCCCTGAAAGCCCGCTCTCAACAACATCCCAAAGACCTCTTTCTGACAGCATCTTACCTTCTCCTCCTTTTTCCTCCGGTCGACCATCCATATCAAAAACTGACAGGTAATTAAATCTCCTTTGTAGTTTCTAAGATGAAACCTCTCTCCTTGAATGAGACTCACCGAAATCTTATCTTTTATTTTAGCTCAGCCTCCTCTGATGACTTCGGGGTGACAATAGTTGTTAAATCAGCTCCTGTGAACCGCGACGCTGTTGTGTGGGACAACGATTCTGATCCAACCGATCAGCCACTGACACAGGATCACATGCCCACAGCACTTCCTCGTTACACTCCGGTACTCACTCCGAGCCAATCACAGGTTATGCCACAGATCTCCTGCATATCCGAGCCAACTCAGGATCTGCCCACCCAGGAGCCCACATTGAAGATCGCTGGTCCTTATAAACGTAAGTCTACAGTTATAAAAGCTTTTGCTTTAAGGTCTAGTAGGAGAAACTAAAATTCCAGTTGATTTCTGCAGCAAGGAGGTCATTCATCCAACAAAAGGCACCAAACTACACCAAAGGCCTTCTTGTAAGCCCAGCAATGTCATTCCCAACAGCCCAGACAAAGTTGCCTCCTGTTCCATTGCCTAGAGGCTCAGAAATAAAACCACCACTTTCACCCAAGCCAGAAACCATGTTAGTACCACTGCCTACATTACCTGAAGGAGGACCACCAAAGAAACCTCAAGGCAGAAGACCCAAAGTTCCTCCTCCACAACCACCGCAAGCATTGAACAAGCAGCTCTCATCTTCTGCTCAGTGAAGCCCAAAGGATACTTCATTTCTTTATCTATGAAGAAAATGTAAGTTAGCATAAGTGTGCAGTAGCATGCACAGCCTTTCACAATTACTCTGTGTGACAGTGTGCACAAACACAGACACTTAACACATGTGCAAGAAAAAGATTCATGTCAGTGTCTCCTAGTGTGATTTATGCCCAGTTAAAAAGAGATTCTGTAGCCAGATTTTGACGCCGTACATTTGGCATCAGGCATGTGTGACTCTTGGGATTGAGTTCAGCACAACACACCTGTAAATTATGGGTGCTTCTCAATGTCTCTACTTATTTTCTCGTTCCTCTGTCCTACGACAGCAAACACCGATCAAGTTCAGCCATCTTGTAGCTATCTTAATTCTCTAAATGCACATTATGATGTCATGAGAAAGGATTCTTTGCGGATGTTTTTATTGACTAAACATGACCCAAGTTATATTAAACCAATTGGCTTGACTATGTCTCCCAGTTATGCTTTCACATTTTCTACAATGTAATGTACTTTTCAGCACAAATTAAAATCAGTTAATAACTTATATTAATTATTCATTATTAAAGTCTGAAAGTTGATGCACTTCCAACTGAAATGGAATTTTAAGTAGGGGGCGGGGCTTTCTTTTTGCGCATCATTGCCTCATCGCAAACACAATGAATGTTGTGGCTAAAGCCGCCAAACTGACGTCAACAGAGAAGGACTATCTCTCCAAACTTGAAAGCAGGTGGTCAGACTTTGATTGAAGATTAACAAAACAAACCTTTTTTTTTGTAGATTAACTTGCACTGTTAAATCGCTCACCTTAAGTATCTATTTTGATTTCATACATTTTAATTTATATAATTGATTTTAGTAATAACTGGCAAAATTAAATAAAAAGACAAATGTGGGGTTTTGTGGATGTTGAAACCAGTACAATATAAATGATGATTTTTAATATTCAAGAGTCCTGACTTGAAACCAAAATCAGGGGTGTAGAGGATTCATTAAATGAGGATGCCTTGAAATGATGCCAAAAGTCAGGAGACATTACATCACCTGATTCAGTTACTCTATCCTCGCATCTTTTTCTTAGCTCCACCCCTAAGAAATGATGTAAGACACAAGGCAAGGAAATGAGGATATACAAATAAGATTTGCGAAGCACCCTATGTTTGAGAAGAGATGGGCTAACCTCTTTACCTATTCCAAATGTTAAATATATCGCCCTTCAAAGGGCAATTTGAAGTGAAAGTCAATATGGCTACCGTATTAAAGTGTCATTCCAAACCAATGTGCTAAAACTGGCCACTTTAAAGGGCCTTAAGGCATTAAGGATTTCAAAGGGTACAACTGATGGACACTTATAATCCTTTGCTCAGGGAAGATGTTTGGTGTCACACATTGCTTTCTGTTCGGATGGGCTCATCTCTATGCTTTAATCCTTTCGACGCTGTCCCTCTGGAGTGTTAATGCATTGAAGGCACAAAGGCATAGGGATGAACCCTTCCGAATGTAATGCAGTAACTGTATAGAACAGGAGTCAAACTCAGTTCCCGGAGGGCTGCAGCTTTGCACAGTTTTGTTCTAACCCTAATTAAACACACCACATTAAAACTAATTGAGTCATTCAATCTTGTTTGAAACCTCCAGGTAAGTGTGTTGAAGCAAGGGTGGAACTAAACTGTGCAGGGCAGCAGCAGTAGTAGCCCTCCAGTATCTGGGTTGCTAAATATATTCTCAATTTCGGTTCTGGAGGTCCGGTGTCCTGCAGATTTTAGTTCCAACCCCAATCTGACACACCTGGGCTAGCTAATCAAGTTCTTATGCCGCAGTCACACTAGAGTTTGAGCTTGCGGAATTCTGTCGTACGGCGCTGCAAAAAGGGGCGGGATTAAACAAGATGTTTAGACATTTAAAAAAGCGAACGATTGATTCATATTTTAAATTTCTGTCCAGAGAAATCATGTTTTGATCATCGATTGGCCTCATGCAGTCAGGTTATGTGATTTCGCAGGACAGAGTTCACCAAGCTTGAACTTTTCAATGCAGCGAACTGTGAAACTTTCCGCACTATGATCTGACACATTCGCATGCTTATGATTGGAAGACTATGTGGAGAAAAGTCTAGTTTGACCGCAGCTTCACTATATGCTTTCTAGAAACATCCTTGCAGGTGTGTTGAGGCAAGTTGGAGCTGAAATCTGTAGGACACCGGAACTACAGGACTGAGTTTGAGAAGTCCTGCCATAGGGTGTCATGGTGGTTTGTAATCAGGTTCTGTGACATTGACCAAAAGGAACAAAGAAGGTTTTTCATACACCACTTTCAGACTCGGTGAAAAGAGATAATGCTGCTATCTGGAAGCACAACCCTTCACTCTCCATTGCTTGTTTTCAGAAGTTATTCTACATTCACATTATCAGCAATAATTTGCCGAGATGCAATGTGTTATCTGATTCTGACATTTCATTTTCATGACAGAACAAGAATTTTGTAATCAGAACCACAAAATCTGACACAATTGTAACTTAGTAGGTCCTACAATTCAATTAAAAATCACTTCATTGTTCCATATAGTATGACTATCTATATTTTAAATCAGGGGTGTCCACACTCAGTTCTAGAGGGCCATTGTCCTGCAGAGTTCAGTTCCAACCCCAATCAGACACACCTGGGCTAGCTAATCAAGCTCTTTTCTAGAAACATCCATGCAGGTGTGTTGAGGCAAGTTGGAGCTAAAATCTGCAGGACACCGGCCCTCCGGGACTGAATTTGGACACCCCTTGTGTAAATGGAATTCTGACATACTAAATCCCCCATGTTGTCCTTATCACGTGATCACTTATTGTACCTGTGATTCACAATACTTTACAGCTCCTCTCTCAAATGTGCACTTTAGAATCTCTTTGGAGGAAATAGGTCTCCCATGTCTAGTAGTAGATGTACTACTCATCTGATGTTTTTCGATGCTATGCATTCGGACATACTAATAGGCTTTCATGCTGATTTTCCACATATTAGGAAATTTAGAGCACAAAACAAAATTACAGTAGTCTGAACGTAGCATTACACATCCTGAAAAGTGAAGCCAAAATATTCTGATCCCTCTAGTGGCTGGCTGCATTATAAATCATTCCCGTTCTAGTGTACACATAAACATAGAAGTATACTTTGGATCTGAGTCTTGGAAAGTGGAGTGGAAAAAGCATTGGTTTGTTATGACATCTAACTCTTTGTACTGCTTGTCCATATGCACATGTTTTAATTCACTTCTGTTTAAAAGTTTGAGGTTTGCTAGATTAAAAAAAAACGTCCCATGTGTTCATTAAAGCTATTTTTTTGAGCGAAACTACAGAAAACAAGTACAATTGTAAAATATTATAATTTAAAACAGCAGTTTTCTGTTCATATAAATTTATAATAGAAATGAACAGTTTTAAATAGTCATTAATTCAGACCTAACCCTTATGTACTGTTGGGCATGTTTTTATCCACTCTGTGGTGATTTGAAGTCTTAATTCGACCATGACTTTTTTTGTGTTTCAGCTGACAGAATGATTTTAGGTGACAAATCTTATAGGCATAAAAACACCCATTAAATTAAACTGCTGTAAAAATGTATGAGGCAATTTAGTAGTTTTGATTAGGACTCAGGTTGATTGACAAATTTCTGCAAGTAAATTTGTTAATCAACCTAAGTCCTGATCAAAACTACTACACTGCTTAGAAAATTACAGGATTTTAACTCTTTAATTGTCAAATTTGTAAATGATGTAACTGGTTTGTTAAAAAAACAACAACACAAAATGATGTATTTTCAATATAAAAAGTAATTGTTGACTGTATTTTTTTTTTACCTTTTATCACAGTCTTGGACATGTAAAACAACATTGCCTTTGATCAGTGGTCTCAAACTCAGTTCCTGGAGAGCCGTGGCTCTGCATAGTTTAGCTCCAACCACCTTAAGCTCACACCTGTCTTTAGTAGTTTTGAACACTTTGATTAATTTGATCAGCTGTGTTTGATTAGGGTTGGTGCAGAACTGCGCAGAGCTGCGGCTTTCAAGGAATCAAGTTTGAGACCAAGGCCTTTGATGCATGGTTTTTGATTGATTTTCATTTTTCCTCCCTAATTTACTGTTTTTGCCCCATTGACTTCCATTATAATTACTTTTTTTCTTTTTATGCGTGCAAAGCCATGACACCATATAATCATACAGTTTTGATTGTTGGGGGTTTTCCTTGTTGGGGATTGGGAAAAAGAGGTAAAATTTGTAATTGTACTGTTGAGTATCAGTTGGCACCATTAACAGTTAGATAGGCCTGTGCAAAAAAAGTTTAGTTTCTGGATTTTACATGGAGTATAACAGTAAATTAAAGTGTGAGTATGTGTGTCTGAGTGTGTATGAGTGTCCACTTACCTTGATGTGTCTGAGAAAATTAAAATATGCATCTTAGCTCTCAGGACTACATGGAGTAAACAAAAACAAAGACTGTATTCATCAAATGTGGTTTTAATGGGGAAGTCAAAGGGCAAAAAACAACCACCAACAGAAAATTAGGGTAAAAAATTATTATTTTTTTAGCAATGCAACAAATCAATGTTGTTTCTAATTGTTCACATCTCCAAGACTTTGATAAAAGGTGAAAAAAAATCCAGTCCACAAACACTTTTTATATTGAAAATATGTGATTTGTGTGTTGTTTTATTCACAAAATCATTTGAAAACTTGGCTATTAAAGAGTTAAAATGCTGTAATTTTTAAAAATCATTTAGTAGTTTTGATCTGAAACTGAAAATTAATCACGACTGAGGTGAATTAACAGATTTATGCAAAAGAAAAAAAATATTTATTTGATATTTTAACAGCGGTTAAATTCACTAGATGTTTTTATCCCGAACATAACAAAAGGGTAGGGAATTTGAACAGTGCACAAGGGTTAACTAAAAAGAATAATACATTTATTTTGGCGATTCTCATATAAATATTTTCTAAACATATTTGGGTTCACTTTTAATTTCAGTTTAAGTTTAAAATGACAACTACAGACCCACAAACCTTCAAACACTAGTGAGTGTCTATTTGATCATCCAATGAGTAGTCGAGACACGGCTTTGGAGACCTGTTAAACACAAATATAACACAGCAAAATCTGACTTCCTTTGGTTTCAGTCTGACACGCTTTACATAAGCTATTTATATATAAGCTTATTCTGAAGCTTGACATTCAAAAATGCCACATTTGAACCGTGATCACACTTGTTAAAGCATTTCAAGGCTGATGTTGTTCAGAGCTTTTTTTAATGAAAACTTTATTGCTGTCATAACATACAATGCTCTTTTGTAAATTTCTTGTGCAAAGCTGCACACAGGTAAAGTATGTACATATTATATTGTGATTAAAGGAATGGAGAGGTCAACCCCTCTGTCATAATAAACAAAATTCAAAGAAAATTTAAATCAATATTTAATACATTTCATAATACATTGATAAACGTTGGTGACCATCGTATAATATACCTGAATACTGTGTTGAGCTGAAGATATTTATCATGTAATAAAGTAAAACAAACAAAAAAAAAACAATATGCTGGTTATGTTTTGTTTCTTATGAGAAAGCATTAACGCACATCACAGCTTTTTGCGTCACAGTGACATAGATCTTGTCTGGTTGGTTTCTCAGGAAATGTGTTAAAAAAAACTGTCACACAAAGTCAGCCACAAAATGAACTATTAAACTACATGCTTGTGTTCTGCATATATACAAGTTAGCCAGCAGGTATATGTGGGTACTTCTACATGGATCACTGTACACTATGTAAAATAGAGGTTTACTTGAATTCTAAATAATTGAAATATAATAATCTGAATGGCGTATTGTTACCATTTTATAGCTAACTGTGCTTATTGTGCATTATTGTGGCAGATTCTATTTCCCTGCATCATGAAAAGGCTGACAAAATTGTAAATGCTAATATTAATTTTCCATCTTTGTCCAATATTAGCTAAATGTCTTTGGAGATCTACTCCTATGACTGTTTTTTTCCTGTTCTGCCTGTTTTGTACAGTATGTGGAAAAAAAACATCAACAAGATTTTGTGTAAATGACAATCCACTACTTGTCATTTTTCCCATTGCATATTTGAAAATTGTTGTTAACTAAACATTTAAAAAGTGTGACTTTCTTAAGTGGAACATAAAAAATAAAAGTTTAAGCTTACTATTATTGTTGCTTTTTGCCATATAATGAACCTAAATGAGAACTGGGCCTGTCAAACTTATAACTGACAAAAACGTTAAACAAAATAATCCACAAACTCAGGGTTGAACTCCAACTCTTCTTGAGTCGTATCATAATTTGCACGAGGAACAGACCAAATTTCCAGCCGATTTGAATGTTATCACCCGATTGAATTTGCGTTATCAGTGGTTATCAGATGATAGATATGGGTCAGTAGGGGCCTTCTGCATCTACTGGTAGGCTCAGGAGGCTGTTATCTTTCATCCACATGGTTAATCAGCTATAGATCACATACGGCTGCAGCTGGAAGTTAACAAGAATTATTTATATTATTTATAAAATTTCCCTACCCCAACTCTAAACCCATCTGTCACAGTACTGTAAAAACAGATGTGATCTGGAGTCTTCTCTATCAGTATAGCTGATTAACCATGTGGATGGATGATGTAGAAAGCCCCCACTAGCCCATATCTATCAGCTGATAACCACTGATAACGCTCATTCAATCCAGTGATAACATTCGAATTGAGAAAAATTTCATTACATTTAAATTACAAAATGTATTTGTTATTCATTTAACTACTTAACTCAACCTAACTGACTGACAAAAAGATGACGTTATTCAAAATATCATGCCTTTTGTTCCAAAGAAAGAAAGTCATGGGATTTTGAAACGACAGGGTGAGTAAAACAATAATTAATAATCTTGAATTGTGTTAATGATTTGAAAATTCTGATCCTGGTTATTCTAACTGAAAATGGGGTAACATTTTATAATTACAGTACATGAATAATAATGTGTTAATGTGAAAACTAAACATGACTTTTTTATAAACTAATGATGAGTTAAGGCATGCACTAATCATGTGTGAAAAACGACTACCTTAATTACTTGTTAGTACATGTTGTAATTAATGTATTAATTACCATTTCCGTTTAAGCTTAATGTGATCAACATTAACTCATAAGCTGTTAATGTAAAATTATGTCATGACTTTACTTGAAGGGGAACATCATCATTAACCCCTCCTCAACTACTCATGATCTCCTGTGTGTAAACTGTTCACGTTGATGTTGACTGAACACTTTTCTGTTGTTATTCAGTGTAAACATACTGGATGGACATACATAAGATGTTCATAAGCAGTTAAGAATGGGTTAATGATGATGTTCCCCTACAAGTAAAGTCATGAAATGATTTTACATTAACATATCATGAGTTCATGATGCTTCAATTGAGCATAAACTAATGTGGTAATTGACACATTAATTAACAAACCATTATTTACTAACAAGTAGTTAAGATTAAGCTGTTTTTCACACATCAACTCATTTGACTCATGTTGTAAAGTTAGTTCACGTATAGCGCACGCATTAACTCATCATTAGTTCATAATAAAGAAATGTTTAGTTTACATATTAACACATCATTATTCATGTACTGGTATTGTACAGTATTACCGAAAATGTCAGAAATCTTGTTAAAATAATTGTAATAATAATAAAGCACTAATTTTATGATACCTTCATAGTATCAATATACAGTTGAAGTCAGAATTATTAGCCTCCCTTTGATTTTTTTTTTTATATTTCCCAAATGATGTTTAACAGAGCAAGAAAATTTGCACAGTAAGTCTGATAATATTTTTTCTTCTGAAAAAAGTCTTATTTGTTTTATTTCGCTAGAATAAAAAGCAGTTTTGAATTTTTTAAAAAACATTTTAGGGGCAAAATTGTTAGCGCCTTTAAGCTATATTTTTTTCTGATAGTCTAACTTGCCTAATTACCCTAACATGCCTAAATAACCTAATTAACCTAGTTAAGCCTTTAAATGTCACTTTAAGCTGTATAGAAGTGTCTTGAAAAGTATCTAGTCAAATATTATTTACTGTCATCATGGCAAAGATAAAATAAATCAGTTATTAAAAATGAGTTATTTAAAACTATTATGTTTAGCAATGTGTTGAAAAAATCTTCTTTACCTTCCAAAATTGGGGAAAAAAACAAAACAAATCTAAGCTAATTATTCAGGGGGGCTAATAATTCTGACTTCAACTGTATATTTTGACCCAGTCTTTACTCCCTTTATAACAAAAAAAGTTCCACAGAAGAAATAGAATTTTGACATGACAGTAAATAAATGAGGACGTCTTTTTCAATTCTGATTGAAGTATCCTTTTAAAAGTGCTGTGTGAATTCGACTTCTCATAATGTTAGACCTTGATTTCCTCATCCTCATCAGGATAGCAGTATGGCGCTCTCCTGTGAGAGTTGTTGGTGTTTGTATTCCTGAGTCCCCCACTCCCGTAATGACGTGCCAGCACATCAGCAGCCCTCTGGAAACTCTCTGGCTCCATGCCACGATCCTCAATGGGGAATGAGCGTAACTGATCACCCGTTGTCGATTTTTTAGGTGACTCATCACTCACAAAGTCTGAATTCTTCCATTCGCCTCCATATAGGCGAGTCCGACCGTCATCGTCTTCTCTCAGCAGGGAATCAACCAATGAAGTAGTTGCGTCCGAATCAGAGTTATACTCAACGGATTGTGCTTTTTCACTGATGGCATCAGGCTTCTCACACATAGGGCTGTCAATCAAAGCAAAAACTTCAGACATGAGGGAAGGGCCCAGATCAAGAGTGAAGGAGTTCATGGAGTCGGAGGGACTGATGGAGTCTGAACAAGGTAAGGATGGGATGTTTGTGTCCGTCAGCGAGCCTCTGTGGATTTCAGGAGGGCAGGCTGATGGAGAACTACCCTGGGCTGGACGCTCAGTGCGGGACAGTCTTGGCAATGTCACGAAGCCAGACTCCAAACCTGCAAAACAAAGAAAAACAAACCGCTTGAGTTTGAACAATAGAGGGCAGTAAGGACCAGCACATCACATTTAGCGCTTCCCAACTTCAACATAAGCAAAAGTAACAAATCATTTCTGCCATGTGGTTGGACTAGATGCATTTAAAGAGATAGTTACTCTAGCCCAATGTTTTTGTGTGTGAACTATGAAAGTTAACGAGGTCCAGATGTTATTTTAGACTCTTGACTTTCAATGTATGGACATAAATCCTGTGTTCTACAGAGTAATTTACATAATTATGTGAATAAATCACAACAGAATTTTCATTTTAGGTGAACTATCCCTTTAAAATGTGTTACACTGGCCACATTAAGCTCTTTAAAATGGATAGTTCACTAAAAAATTTAATATCTGCCACATTTATATTCTTTCTTCTGCTGAAGGAAGTTATTTTGAAGAATGTTGTTTGCCCATTGACTTTCATAGTGATTTTGTTCTATTGAGGGAGTCAATGGGGGTCCCATAAACCAGCATTTTAAAAAATATATTATTTTGTGTTCAACAAAAGAAACACATAAAGGTTTAAAACCACATGAGAGAGAGTAAACGATGAGGTAAATTCCATTTTTGGGTGAACATTTACATTAAAATAAGCAGCGAATACAATTTACAGGAAAATATTTCGCTGATCCAGAAAACCTTCACATAACTGAATTCAGGGCTCTAAAATGGGATGTTTGCTCAGCACTAAAACATCTCATTCATTGCTCCCGGTCAGAATAGCTTTGGCATTAGGTCATCTGAAGTAAACCCTTAGTTTGCATACTAATACTTTCCATATATTGATAATTAAACTTATTATCAGACTGTTTGGTTTGGAACAGAGTTTATGAGCGTGTGGAGGTTTGTTTGTGAACAGGCTCTCCCGTGGAGCAGTCAGTGAGGCATGTTTGAGGTATTTGAATGGGTGAGGCAGATGCTGATCACTGAACTGTAAAGTCTGGCTCGAAGAAGTCTGCGATTGCCACAGGTGTTTAGATGGTTTATAAAAGACCTTGTGTTTGTCTAAAAGAGAGTAAAGTTAGCAAACAAATATATTTGATTCAGACAAAACATGTCTGAAATACGTCTAAAAGTTTGAAGTCGGTAAGGTTTTTTCATCAATAATATCATATATCCTCTTTTATCTGCAGCTCCCACACACCCTTGACTAGTCAAATTCTTCCAATTTATCGTATTTTTTTATAAATCTTAAAATCTTTATCAGAAATGTCTAGCTTTCTAGATTCAAGCCTTTATGCAAAGTGATCTTCAGAAATGGCTAAATTTATTGATTTAATTTTTTAAACGATTTATTTTTGGAGTGTTTGTTGTTATTTCCACCCGAAGTTACTACTTCGTCATCATCTTCATCAGGGCCGTCCTCAGATGCCATGGCATCGTTTCTTCACCCCCAGAATATTCATCTTCATTTCTGATCTTTTTCTTATCTTTCTTGACACCTTTGCGTGACATTTTACTTCCCTATATTTTTATATTTGTGGTGCTTGATTTTAAATACAGTTCTGGTTGGTATTGTAGGATTGATTGCAAACTAGCAGCAGAACTAAAAAGTTGCGACCTCTCCACAACCGGAAGTTTCAGAATTTTTATTTTGTGTTTGTTATTAAGATATAGATATTGACAGGAAGTGAAGTTGGATAGAAAGAGGGAGATGTTATCGAAAGTTGGGTGAGTTGGGACTCAAACTTGGGACGCAGCCTAGTTTCACTATATGTTGGCACACTGACCACTAGGCTATCGAAAATGACACTCAATTTAATCAAATTTAATTATTCCAAAGAGACATTAGCTACTGGTTTGGTATGCATAATGTAGCCCTTTTACATGTTTTTGGTGGATCCATCTGAATGGGAATCATTCTGACTTTGCTGTCACCTGAACACAGATTGTATTTTTTTTTTTCAGATTTTAGTCCATCTTGGTTCTTTAAACACCCTAAAATGGTTCACACTGATTTGTGAAACAAATTACACATCAACATCTAGCAAATGATGTAGTATAAAACATTCAAACTATAACAAGACTGTTCATGACTATCTACTTTTCCTACTAACCCTAACCCTAATAGGAACACTTCACTTTTTTGGAAATAGGCTCATTTTAAAGTCCCCAGGATCATCTGGAATCTTCTGGGTATAGAGGAAGCATGTTTAGCTTAGCATAAATCATTGAATTATGCAGCGCTTGAAAAAGGGATGCTAATAGTCTAATCCAATTCAATGATTTATGCTAAACTAAAAAGTTTGAATGGGTAAATGCTTTTTAAAAATGGTATAACTCAACAGATTTCTGTAAAATGAGCCTATTGAAAAAAAAATGGAGTGTTTTTAAAAGTTTAGAACCCAATTCAACCATGTACACAAGTGTATACACACTGCATTTGAAAGTGGTAGACTCACCATACAGGTAAGTGGAGTTCTCTGGTGTTTTGGGTGAACTAGGGAAGAGCACTTTCACAGGACAGCCATTGGGTGAGTCCACGTCCAGCCGAGGGAGGGAAATGGCATTCTTTATGATTGGAGAAACGGCTGGAGGTGGGGGTGAAAGGTCTTTGGAGCCACCACGGGGCCTGTCGGGAGTCTTGCGGACATGGCGAAGCGTGCGGGTGAAGAATCCCTCATTCTTCTCTGAGGTGGAGGATTCTGCGTCTGCATTATTTCCTGCTCCACCATGGTTGCTCAGGAATGAGGTATCCCCAAACACATCCCCTCCACGGCCCACATGCATGGTGTGGCGGAAATCCCCCAAAGGGGGGCTGATCATTTCTGGGGTGAGGTCACCTTTAAAACGACGCTTTCCTGAGGAATGGGAAACCAGGCCCTTCAGGCCAGACAACTTGCCCAAATTCATGGCTTTTCCTGGTTCAAATCGTAAGTTTCCAAAGGAGGTTAAAAAAAATCCACAGCAATTATTTTGAAAAAGGCGAGAACAGCATAAGAAAGCAAATTATACACGTATCAAGCTTCAAAATCTCTCAGCAGAATAAAAACCGCAGTTGAGTGGAAAGTTTCTCCAAAGGCAGACACATTCAGCTATGTCCCGTTTTGGCCATCGGTCTTTGTTCATATCCAGAAAGATTCGGTGAAGATAAATGCGAGCTGAAAATATGCATGACTCCAATTCCTGAAAACCTCGGCTGCATATGTGGTCAAAGATTCTGGGCTTCACAGTTGTTCTGGGTTTGTGCTTCTGAAAAAAAATCAGTTCAGAAATAAATTCAGCTCTAGCTGCAGATATCCCTGTGGTTTAAGACTAAAACCATGTGCTTCTCCTTTAGAAAAGCCAAGAGAAATAGCAAAATGTCTGTAAATAATGCAATGGTTGCTGAATAAGATTCAAATATGCCTGTTCTATAAAAATGTGATAATATGAAGTTTTTAATCCATCTTTTTATAATTATTGAGTGCAGTGCCCTTTAAATACTTCAATTCGGCTTTGACTCTTTAGTCATTCACTTGCACCGTACAGCATTTCGGTCATTCACTTGAAGGGTATCTTGTTACAAAAGTATGCGTATTTACCAGAGCATTTCTCCAGTGCCAGAACGTAAAAGCAAAGAGACACTGAGGCTGCATTTCACAATGGCAGGAAGTTTAAAAAAGAAAGACATTTTTTAAAAAATAAACTACATCAAAAATCTAAACAAAACCGCAAATAAATAAATAAATGAAAGAAAAGAAAAAAAGGATGATTCCTTTAACCTAAAATAAAAAATAGCCCAATGGTTAAAAAGTGATTCATAATTTAATTTATCAAGGACTTTTTAAGTATTCTTATAAGTTAATAAGTTAAATTATAAGTTGGAAGTAAACTATTATCACTGTTCTCGTATTCTAGTGTACTACTCGGATTTAAATTGGCCCACTTTGTTAATTAAAGTATACTTTTAAGTTTATACATTTTTGCAGTTTACAGCAGTTTTTGTACTGCGACTACTAATCGTTTACTATTACTTTGTTTTTGTATATTATAATTATATAATAACTGGTTAAATGCATGTACACTTAAATATATGCTCAAAATACTAGTTTCACTGCAAGTGTATCTTTCTATGAGTAAAATTAATACACTTATAGTATATCTTTATATATATATATATATATATATATATATATATATATATATATATATATATATATATATATATATATATATATATATATATATATATATATATATATATATATATATATATATATATATATATATATATATATATATATTTATATATATATATTTATATATATATAATTTTAAGTATTTATGCTAAATATATTTTGTTTTTATATACATTGTTTAATGATGCATATATATTGAACAGTACTTGAAGCATATTCATATATATACACTGCAAGTAAAGGGCAAATTATACTTGTACTATTTTTCTATCAATATAACATTAAAATTAGACAGAAAATACGACTTGTTTTTAAAATAAGAAAGTTTTTTTCATCATACATTTTTAGTTTAAAAGAAAAGCAAGCTTAAATAATCCTCTTTTTTGTAAGATAAACAAGGAGTGAAGTCCAATGTCTCATTCCATCAAACCACAACAAACTTTGCTTTGGCTGAGTTGCACATTTCACGCTAAATTGCAACCAAACTATGTGTGATAAGCACAAGTAATCCAGCCAAACCCTTTACCTGATTAGTGTCAGGTCATAAATCATATCCAACCTGCTGTTTGAGCACTAAAATGTAATATTGACTACTTAAAGCAACATACCTTCCTTTCTGTATAATCAATGTGACCGCATGCTTGTCCAGACCAAGTTCATTTGGTGACCTCTGACCTGCACCCCGCTGGAGTGTGAGGCGGCAGGGAGGTTTGTTGCTTTATCCCTGCGTGCGTTTTCTCCACATGCTCCTCTACTCCCAGCAGCCACTGCTCCTGAGCCTTTGTTTTTTAAGGTACTCAAATCCAGCGGTCCACTCGCCAGGAATCCCCCGAGGGAGATAAAGGGGCTTTAAAAGCCAATAAATAAATTAAATGTAATAATCTGGGCAATAGTGCAGCTTGACGGAGGCTCCTTAAGGATTGGTTATGTTCAGGATTAGCCCCTAATCCCTCTTGCCTTCCTTCCTTCACCCCCAAATCTCCCCCGCTGCTGGCTTGAGTCCACTTAGATGTCCTGCTTTGAAGAGGTTCTTGTAAAATCAACAAACGTCCTGTGTGAGAGAACGAAACAGGTGGATGTTTAACACAGATCTGGATCAGAGCAGGCCAAAAATCCCAAATCCAGCCCATATTTCAGAATGACAGCATTGAGTTTGATCCTCTTTTTCTTGGTATTTTGGATTTTCACGTGAATTATTTTTTAAAAGTATTTATATACAATTCATATACTTTTACAAAAAATTATGGTACCTGTCATTCATTCATTCATTTTCCTTCTGTTTAGTCCCTTATTTATCAGGAGTTGCCACAGCAGAATGAACCGCCAACTCCAGCATAAATTTTAAGCAGCGGATGAGCCGCAACACCCATACACTTTTACATTCACACATATGGCCAATTTTGTTTACCCAATTCACCTACAGCGCATGTCTTTGGACTGTGAGGGAAACAGGAGCACCCAGAGGAAACCTGCACCAACACAGGGAGAACATGCAAACCCCACACAGAAATGCCAACTGGCCCAGCCAGGATTTGAAGCAACAACAGTCTTGCTGTTAGGTGACAGTGCTAATGATTACAATGTCGCCTTGTTTTAAGTATTTATGTACTGTTACATAAAATTACAGTACCGGTCAAATGTTTGGAAAATGTATGCTTTTATGCTCTCCTAGACTGCAATTATTGATCAAAAATCTCGTTAAAACATAATCTTTTTTATTTTTCAACAGTCACTAATACTATACTCAAGTCTTGTTGTACTTGTTAGTGTTGCAAAGAGGCAAAAAAATACTTAATCATTTCTGGTTAAAATTAAAAAAAAACTTCCCAGAAAGTTTCCTCAGGAGCTTCATCTGGAAAATTTGCCAATTTGGATTTTAACCAGGAATTTAGAGAAATTTATGGTGATAAACAGGAAGGAGTTCAAAGCATACAATTTATGTATTCAAAATGTGCATATGCAAACATAAACATTTTGTTTCTAATATAGATAACGTGCTAAATTTAGCATATCTGATTTACTGGCTGGCCACAACTGTTTTTTAATAACTAGTTTTATTAGGGGTTTAGCGTTACGGTATAGGACAGTAAAGTTGAGAGAGGAAAGTGTGGGAAGCAGAGAGAGGGAAACAGGATTGGACCTTAAACCGCGAATCAAACTTGTGTCGCCGTGAGCACCTCAGCGATATTTATGTCATCATGTTTAACCACTAGGCTATTCACGCCAACAAGCTATTTGCCCAAGTATTATCAAAATCTATTTAAACTGATGTAACATTTGGACTCAACTGCAGAAATATTGTGTCTATTGCTGTGGAACCTGAACAAAAGGGGGAAACCCCTCTTCCTATCCGAGTTCATGAGAATGTGGAGGGTAAAAATTGAATTGAAATTGCATTAAATCATAAGTCATTTTAACCAAGATTATGCTGCAAGATTTTTTTCCAGCTATATTTAACTGTATTTCTTGCTTTATGCTAATCTGCAGTATTGTAAATTCTCAGTTAATTCCCATGGAAAGTTTCCATTTTTAATGTTGCAGCCTTAATCACAATATCATTCAGATATGCGGATATGCTTCAACAGCATAATAATGAAAACTATTATTAATGAACAGGGATCCCAAATAATGAATAATATAAAATTAAACAACTTTGCCATCACAAGAATAAGTGTCCTTTAAAAAAATGAATCAAATCGAAAAGGGGTTTTAAAATGATGATTTTTCCCTGAATAAATACAGCCTACTGTACTGTATGTATAAGCAAATGTGAAAACAATAGGAATTTTTATTATTATTAAGAAACCATTAACCAGTAGAGTAATTAATATCAACTAATATTAATGTCACTTTAAAAAAGTATTAGTACTAGGTCAACATCGTATCAACCATGGGATCCAAATGGATTTAGGGAACATTGTTCTTAAAGGTAATTATATATTGCCGCATCTTCTGAGAAACTGTCCTATAATGTGCTAAACATAACATAACCAACTATTCCTCTGACATTCAGCAGAGCTCCTGTGGCCTCCTGACATGACAAACGGCAATAAACCAAAACACACTGTCACATAATTCTTGCAGCTGTTTCGAGTGGATGAAACAATGCCATTATTTCTGTGGAAATGGCTGTGCATTGTTTGAAAGTAGGAGATGCTCACGTCAACCCGTAAACCGCAGATTAATAGAAGCCGTGTGTGTAAATGCATTCCTGGGGGAAACATCTCTGTCTATTACAGACATCCACTACAGTACCCATATCCCAGATTGGAAACATGTTTTTTTTTTCTCTCTCTTCTTTCTTTTTGTGGGACTGGCGGCTTTTCTTCATGTGGGCATAAAAGCTGATCTGTCTGATCTTTGCTTTTTGCAGCCGTCCACTCTAGATTCATATGATGTCATTAAAACAAGTGAACTGACCATCAATCACACTGAGCATTTATTATTTGAACTAAAAAATTGCGTTTCTTAAAGGAATAGTTTACCCAAAAATAGATATTCTACCATCATTTACTCACTGCCAAGCTGTTGAACACAAAAGAAGATATTTCGAGGAATGTTGGTAACCAAACAGATTGAAGACTTTTATAGCCTAGTAAAGTTTCTTTACTATGGAAGTCAATGAAGACCACCAACTCTTTAAATACAAGAGCAAATTTAGTTTTGGAACAGCTTGGAGGAGAGGAAATGATGTCAGGGTTTTTATTCCAGAGAGAACTATCTGAAATATTTCCCTCTTTCCCTGTTCGGCTAGGCTACACTATAACTTAGCTAACTAGATGAACAAACATTCGAGATAAGGCCTCATTTTTCCTTTTCACCCAATGCCCTCAATGTTTTTCTGGCATTTGAAGGGGTCTAATAAAAAAGTGACTGCCTAGGCGTAAATCTTGATTACAGAAATACACTCATTTCATCATCTGAACATATCCTATTTTTACTCAAAGCACTCAGCATGACTGTCTGGCAGACTTGAGTCCATGATGGAAAATACCAGCAGTGCAAACATAATCTCAGAGGTTTTATGTGAGAAAATACAGTATACTGCAACTGGCTGAGTCTGTTTATTCATCTTTATTATCTTATTTGCACTTCTTTATCTTAAATTAGGTCTTAATGCTATTTACACTACAAAAAATCCTGCTTGCCTTAAATGTTTCATCTGAATCAAATTAATTTTATGAGTCTATTGAACTTATACTCTGTTAAACTGACTTACAACAGCTTGTGCAACATAAAATAAAGTTAGAACATGACTAATTTAGTTTAATAAGTTACAATGACCTAAAAACATATGCTGTCTGGAGTAACTGATCGTTTCATTTTTTACAGTGTACATGAACAACTGAACTATACACATGCATACATTTTAAACCAACAAGTATTAAATATCATTTTTCTTATAATTAGAGTAACTGAAACCCAGATGAAAACAAACTACGTTTTTATTATTGAAAAAGAGTAGTAAATATGTATTTGGCACATTGATTACTATTTGTACATATTTGTGTTTTACAAAGTATCATGGTTAAACTATTTAGTGCAGCAAAACCACTGTGAATTACTGTGTATTAACAGTTTTTGGTATTTCATCTGTAGTAAAAAATAAGGATTCATTTTTGTGAGAGAACATATGAGACAGGGACAGATCAATGTTAATGTCACTATGTTAATATCAACATTAACATAGTTAATGTTAATGTCACTGTATTTCACTATACAGTCCAGAGATCCTGTCATTGTGTGAACTTTGATATCATTGCTTCATAAAAATTGTCCCTCAATTTTTCACTTAAAAGGTTGCAAAAAAGTGAATGACTTGCTGTTGCTTGCAAAACCGAATCCTGAATAAAGTTACGTGAACTTAAAATCTAAGTTATGATGACTCTAAACCCTTATTTGTCTGCGCTCATAACGGATATGAAGTGCAAGTATGCGGTGGCGCGCGCAAACTAATTTTACAGCAGCAGAGATTAGGTTTCATACGTCGTGCACACACAATAAGCAATAACACACAACTAGTCTCACGTCTTGATCAAATTAGCACTCGTTATGCGGTTACAGCACACACTACTCGCAAATTTAAATTAGTTGATTCAATTTAAAATAGGGAGACAAAAAGTAATCTGTCGTTAATGTGACAATTCAGTACAGTAAATCAATAAAACTCACTCTTTGGGTAGATGAAAAATCGTTTCTCGTGCCCCCAAAACCCCCGACTGAGATTTATCTGAACAAAAGGTAAGATCCAGCAATCCAGCGTGAAACTTTCCTCCTTTGTACAGTGTTGAGTTTGAGAAGCAGCGGTCAGTGTGTGGAGCTCCGTCAGTCTCGAGCTGCTGGAAGCGCGTTTGGTCAGAGCAGATTCTGGGGGCGGGTTTTCTGAAGACTTTCTGGACAAGATCCATGTTCTCAATATGTGTCCAGTGCCACGACTCTCGGTCGAAGAAACTCTTGAATCAGTATTCTGACATTTTATTGCATTTAAATTGACAAGGATTCATGTGTTATAGTCTTTCCAAAGTTTTAACTTCAGTTACAGAGGTTGGACTGAAACGCCTGCTTGTAAACAACAATAATTCATTAGTATGGTGTAGGGCCTCCTTTTGCGACCAATTCAGCATCAATTCCTCTTGGTAATGACAGATACATGTCCTGCACAGTGGTCAGAGGTATTTTGCGCCTTTTATGCAGAATAGTGGCCATGTCAAAACGTTTCCTGACTCATTCCTCCAAAACACCCCAAAGTGGCTCTATAATATTTTGTTCTGGTGACTGTGCAGGCCATGGGAGATGTCATGGGAACTTCACATTCATGTTCATCAAACCACTCTGTGACCAGTCTTGCTGTGTATTGATGCATCATTAAAACCGTTCATTAAACAGTCTAGATTGTACGCTTCTTTGGGACTTTTCCACATCGTAACTTCACCAAATGTGTAAAAGAGAGTGACGGTGGACTCATCAGAGAGCAATACATTTTTTACATTGTCCACAGCCCATGATGTCTCTGTTGGCACCATTGAAATTGATATTTTGCACTGGCACAAGTGACCAAAAGGTTTGGCTATAGCAGCCCAGCCATGTATGACCCTGTCGATGCACCCGATGAACAGATTTGGTGGAAACAGGAGAGTTGAAGCGCACATTTAATTCTGCAGTGAGTTGGTTTAATGTTATTTGGATACAATCCGGGTTAGTTCCTGGATATGCCTTTTAGACAGCTTAATCTTACGGTAATCTTACTGTTATATATGATGTGGTATGTTAATTTTAGATAGTAAGATATTGTAGGTTTGACTTTTTTATGAATCTGCTAAAGTATGTGTGATGTGTTGTATACTAATTTAAAGTACATCTGAAAATCACACTTTTGCTAAAACATTTACTAACCTGTAAAGAGGGAAGTTTTGGATCGTTTAACAAAAAAAAAATCCGTTTTGTATTGCAATCCATTTAAACATTTTGGTACGTGTGAAAATGTAGACTTTGTATTGTTCTTACATAAATTATAGCCTATCTTTGTTTCTCACACACTCCCCCTGTCAATATCTTTGTCACTATCACGCTTCTTTCCTTACCAACCTGTATTAGATACGGTATTTGATATTTTCTAACACACTAAGTTCCAAGCGATCCCTTTTTATACAAATAATTGTAACAGCAAAGCAGGAATCCTGAGTAGGCTTTCAGTTGAAATTCCGATCAGTTTGTTATGATTGTCAATTTGTGTTTTTTATATTCCAAATATGGCAAAAAATCTATGGAAATTGCAATTAGTCTGTTTTCAAACTGTTGTTAGCTGCTTTGTTAGCATGCGACAAAAGTGCTGTAAATGTATTGCTTTTTGCTGCTTGTAGAGAATGAATGAGAAAAGTGTTTAAGAATTGTCAACAATGTTTATGGCACACATTTTGTGTGAAAGCAACAATTTAAAAAATTTGAGCTTGTGGTTTCAGTGCTGCACATTGCTTGTTAGCGGTGGAAAAACAGTAATCTAATCATTAAAATGTCAAATAAATGTATATATAATATATGTTAAATATTTTATATAAACACTTAATAATAGTAATATCTTATTTTATTTGCTAAAAAACCCTCAGTTTTACAGGTTTTGAATATATTTATATTTAATTTAAGAAAGTCGGAATCAACAGTTATGGAAGATAACAGCATGATGATCACACACTTCAGTGAATTACAGCTACATCCATGTTTAGAGTGTTGCATATTTTATTTATGATCAAATTGCTTGAACGCTGTCTTTTCCACGCAAATTCATAAGCATGGATCACAGATGTGCTATGTCAGATAATGTAATTATTATAATCGAAATATGACACGTTACTTGGTATTAGAAAAGAAACTTTAAAAGGGATAAAAGAATAAGTGGGCGCAAAGAGTAGGACTTTCGCCTTACAGCAAGACAGTTGCTGGTTTGAGCCTCAGCTGGATCAATTGGCATTTCTGTGTGGAGTTTGCATGTTCTCCACGTGTTCGCGTGGGTTTCCTCCGGGTGCTCTGGTTTTCCCCACAGTCCAAAGACATGCGGTACAGGTGAATTGGTAGGCTGAATTGTCCTAAGTATATGTGTGTGACTGAGTGTGTATGGATGTTTCCCAGGAATGGGTTGCAGCTGGAAGGGCATCCGCTGCGTAAAACATATGCTGGATAAGTTGGTGGTTCATTCCACTGTGGCGTCTCCAGATTAATAAAGGGACTAAGCCGAACAGAAAATGAATGAAAAGAATTAGTGATGAAAATGACTAATGTGTGAATATGTAATCCATCTGTAATCTGATCTTGAGGATGTTAAAATGAAATACAATCTAAATCTGAGAACTGAGTTTTCTGAATCTGAACATATAGTTCAGTCTACATTGTATCCTAATCAGTTATATCCAGCACTCTTGCTAAAATCATTTTGAAATGACATGACCATCCTGTTTACATTCATGCCATGTCGCAACTACTATAATTATGAGATAATTGATATATATATAGTCCAAGAATATGAACAACTCTGAACTTGAAATTATTGTAATCATGACATAAAGTGATAACAGCATTTATGCCACTTGTTTTCAAACCTTAAATATGAAAATAATATGTTATACTGTAAATGGTTGTGATTATTTGTGGGTGGAAATCATATTTATAGTTGAAATTTATATTATCAATTCAAAAACCTACAATGCTTTTGATTTAAAAATCCTGTGTTTTATTAAATATACTATTATATCACATATATCAAATATATTATTTATTACTATATTATTACATTAAATTAATATATTAAGCGACACGGTGGGTCAATTTGGGCTGTCACCCTTACAGCGAGAAGTCCGAGTCCCGGCTGGGCCAGATTCCTCCACATGCTCTGGTTTCCCCCACAGTCCAAAGACATGCACTATAGGTGAATTGAGTAAACTAAACTGGCCGTAGTGTATGATTTTGAATCAGTGTTTAGGGATGTTTCCCAGTACTGGGTTGCAGCTGGAAGGGCAGCCGCTGTGTAAAACAAGTGCTGGATAAGTTGGCCGTTCATTTTGCTATGGCAACCCCAGACGAATAAAGAGACTAAACTAAAGGAAAATGTATGAATTATTAGATTAAATATATTATTTTATTAGTTCATTATCAAAGCATAAGTCAAGTTTTAGATTTTCAAATTGAAATAATGCATCCCTGTCTGAGAATGTTTGCTTTCAGCAGGGATTGCATAGACTGTAAAAGGGCCTGTGATCAAAGTCTGGATGGCTTTCGTTCTGGTGTCACCATTGGGTCAAAATAATTCATAACCCAGAGCAGTGTTGTTGATGTAAGCAGATCAGTAGATCAATGAACGTCCGACAGTTTGTATCCAAGAGCTATGCAGGAGCATCAGTGGGAAATCGATTGTGATTCAGAGCAGTCCTCTGATGTATCGAGAGAGAAAATAGACCGGAATAACACGCTGATCCATTCAAAACCACTGCTGCAGCTATTAGGAATGAGAGATGGATTGGTGAAAAAAGTCATTTGGGCAGATGAAGTTTCTAAAGTCTTCATGGATTATAAAAGAGTCAATATATCATGGAAACGACTGCATGAGCTGCATTTAATATAAGCAGCTACAATCATTTTGACAGCGTGGTTCTGTTTGTTTGTCAAGATCCTCTCTCTATCACATATCTTTACATCTTTTTTCTGCGTTTTTCTCTCTGCTCTTTCATTGTCCCATCAGCTGCTCTATCTTGTTCTTCCTAGAGTAAACAATCCCCTCTGCTCAAGCATGCCAGCTATTTGCTGTGAATAACATCTTGCTTTTGGATACTTTTCAGATGTTGGTCCCAAAAGGGAGGCAGGGATATAATTTTAGGTTTTTCTCTCTCTCTTCTGAGTTCACAACAGTCTGTCTTTTCCTTTTTTCGTTGTCCACCCCAGTTTCTCTCTCTCTGTCTATTTCTCCCTAGTTCCTCCTTTCCTTTATCAGAAATGCAATGATGCTTAGTTTACCCAAAGATTTAAATGCACCCATCCTTGATACTTGATCCACTCTCAAAATGAGATTCTTTCTTCTTTTTAAATGTATTATTTAATTATTAGATTTTTCAAAAACTCATAGGGGGATTAGCGTACTAAATCGCACTAATGAATCATCAATCACTAATAATCGTACTAAAATGCACAAATGAAACATACAAATTAATAGGAAATCAAAAATCTAAAATTGCTGCGAGAATGCATTGGATTTTCACAACGGTTAAAAAAATAAACATCCAAAACCACAGATTATACAATAAAAAGTTTTACAATAAGCACAACAGAGTACAAGTACAGAAATGAGTACTGAAAGTTGCAGGGTGCTACCATGATGCAAAATATAAAATAAGGTTAAAGGTTAAAGGTTAAAGAAAAAGTTGTTTGCCTTAAATATTGTGTGCTTCAAACATAACAAAAGGTACAGGCTAAACGTGCAATACCTTGGGGGTTCCCGGAAAGCAGGTTTTGGATATACCCTGGTAAATTTAAGGATGTATAAGCAGATGACCTCAGCTTTTGGTTCAAAACACAGAGGTACAGTAACTTTCAGGGTATACAAAAAGGCACAGCAACTGCTCTGCACATTATAACTCATTCATTTCTTTTTGTATATTTTGTTATAGTTACTGCTGAAATGAAATGACAAAGAAATAAGGCGGAATCACAGCCAATTTCTGCAAATGTTTGTGGATAAAACACAAGACCTGCAGATATTTTGTTTTAGCATTCTTAAAACATAGTACAAACGTTAGTTGTTGGAATTATGCAAATTTACCATAAATATAAAAAAATTACAATGTTTATTTTGTTAG